ATATTAATAATAATATTAATAATAACAATAATAATATTAATAATAATAAAAATAAAAAAAGCCTGGGCCAAAAAATTACCAACTACTTGACGCTTTTCCTTTCCAGGTTTCTTGTTCGAGACGTCGCCTCCAATTAGATCCATTCGATCCAAAATACCTGTAATTATTCGAGTTATTCTAGTAGATTGTGACTACTACTTTACCTTCCGAAACCGCTTTGTCGCTCCTCTCGACGGCCGGACAGCATCGATCTTTTGCCATTCCTCTTTCTCGCTAATCTTCAGGTGATATGTCTACTCATGAATATGGGTTTAACGTCGGCCTGGACGCGACACTGCAGTAGGGTTAGTACTGGCTAACGGAATCGCACCAGTCGAGAATCCCCGACACTTTCAACATAGCACATCCGAGAAGCTCGAATGAGAAATGACCACGCCGCGCCCGCAGGTTATGCGGGGCACGACGAGCCCGCAAGAAATGCAGGCTTCCCGCAACTCGAGGAGCTGCGAGAACTGACGAAATTGCGTATCCGCCGGTCTTTTATAGTGCTACTACTGTCGGTGCAAAACTTGCAATAGAGCGCATTTGTCGTAACGAACTGCAAATCTACGCCAAATCACCATGGATTCTCTTAGGTTAGCACACTCTCTGATTTCAGATCACCATGTAGAGGGGCGGAGCTTGGATTTTGTTATTAAAACTGGCGAGCAATTTGCACCTGGTTACGATGAAGCACATTTGCATCAAAGAAACGCCGTAATAATAAGTAATCGCGATTTTCAAAGAAATTTCAAACCGTGGTATTGCTAGCTTTTGCGTAAAAAACAGCTGAATTTCACACTTGAAAAGTGAAGGTTTAATTTAATAATCAGCGGGATTAATGATTTTTTTTTTGCGAATAACCGCCTAATTGAGCGTTTTCGTTGTGTTTTCTTGTTATACATTTTTTTCTCTTTTCCACAGGGAAGCTGATCACTTTCTAGAATAATTTTGCTTTCTTTTTCTCTTTATTTTGGAAAGGTAATTATGTCTGGACAATTTATTTTTTTTAATGCACGACTTCAAATTATTAATAATTTATTCGTTTATTAAAAATCAAAAAATAGTGAATAAAAAATACAATGATAAAAATAAATAAGATTATTGAAGAATGATGAAGCAATAGCAATTTAAAATTGATATAATTAAAACTTTTGACACCGTTGTGGTAGTTGTTGTTGAAGATTTTGCAGTTGTAGTGTCTTTATTACCTTATGACCGTAGCTAATAGAATAGGTGTGCACGAAGACATTGGGTTTGATGAATCTAAAATGTTTTGAATGAGAATCAATATGGGAGAGTATCAAGTCATACCTATTCATCCTCCTCGTCGTCGCTTTCCCAGCGGACCATTTCCCCATCTTGAAATTCATCTTCGTCCATTTCCTCTTCTGATTCGAATCCTTCATCGTCTTCTCTCGATTCGCGGAACTTCTTCATAGTTTCTATAAGGATCTCCGCCCTTTTGTGATTCTGCTCGTCTTCGTTCATGTCTCGAATTTCAGTCTCCAGCATGAAGAATGTATTCAGGTTCCATTCGACTTCGTTCGGGTCGAATAAAACTGCTGGCTCCATTGCCACTACCGTTCGGTACAGTGCCGTCCTACATGCTTCTTCCACTTCATCCAACTCGGATTCGTTCGAACGAGATTGAATGCCAGCATATTCGAGCAGGATGCAATTGATGGAGAACCAAGCCCACTCTTCATAAGAGAAGTTTTCGCCGAATTGCTCAAGGCGCTCAATAGAATTCATATTTTGCCTGTAAATGAAATGTTAAGATAGCAGAAAAAGAGACCCAAGCCATATTTACTGGGTAATAGGTTTGGCATAGCAGACCGAAAAAAAGAAAACAGAATGATGTCGGAAATGATCATTTAACCGTGCTATTTATACCCAATTTTTTGCACCCATTCAACGTTTTCCCATCTGCCCATTTTTTGCACGTCTACCTACACGCTTAGCACATTTCAGGTGAAGAAGCACGAAGTCTTCACACATATCAGCTTTACCTTCACTTGTTAACATGCTTTGTCACATTTCAAAATTAGAAGTGCGATAATGGAAATCTAGCACTATCGGTTTTCACACTACACGATCGATCATGCAGAGAAAATCCTATAGGGAAAATAAAGGTACTTTGAATATTTAGGTGTCCATGATTTTATCTTGTTCGTTCAAATTCCAAATACCCTTCCCTTTAAAATTTTGTAGGAAAACAGTCGCGACTCGGTATATTTCTGAAAAATTGCAATGTGAAACCAAAAGCATAAGAATCAATTTATTCTAAAAAGAGCTGGCACATATTAAAAAGCAACACGAGAAAGAGAAACACAGCCGATATAAGGGTAATTGCATAAAATACAATTGTGGCGTCAATTTCAAAAGTCGACCCCTCTGTCGTTGTTATGATCTGTTTAGGAGTCGTCGGTTCAGTAGTCGTCGTGTTCTGAGAGGCATCATATCCAAAGAAGGCGTCGATATCAAAGTCAAATTCTGGATCCTCCGCTAAAAAAATAAAGTGGATATTTTGAAATGATTCGAATGGCTTACTGTTGGAGCAGAGGCTGGAGACGACAAGGAAAAGAAGAATGGCGGGGAGCTTCATGTTGCCAGAGTAGACAGTGTATGAATGATATTTTACGTAGCCATCTAGCATAATTAAGTGGGCTTTGAATTTACTCCTGGAAATTCATATATCTGTATATTATTTCATATAAGTCATGTACATATATAATATTAATAATGTCATGTATATATGAATAATAATAAAAAAAAACAAAACAATGACAAGGGAATTCAGATTACAATGACAAAAAGGGTCGATTGTAACTGTTCTCTGGTCATGAATTGTTTTTTTTTTCTTTCAGCGGTAAGTTTGTTGAAATTTGAGATGAATGAAAGTCAAAGATTTAGTATTCAATGCTTGTTTCTTTCAAAGCTGGGTTCCGTTTTTTGGTGTTTCAAAGTTTCATAATTATTCCTATATGTATATCGATCAATGGAAATCAAAGTTTTTCGTTCAGTCCTTGCTGTTATTTGTATAAATTCAGATAAATTTGGGGCAAACCCTACAAGGGAGCGTAAATGTTGTCAGTTGTAGGGAAAACGTTTCATCGCCAAAAATTTCAAAAAATCCTTTCATCCACCACAAGGTTCAATTAAATTATTGTAAAAAGTATATTTTGCTTCAGTTCAACAATAATAATATGAAAGGCGCCTGTTAAAGTCCGTGCGGTTATGTAGGGTGAATAGAATTTTTGTTCATCCGCTTCATTTTTTAATGCAAAATGTGCCGTAGTTGCACAATTTTTAATAGTTTTCAGGAAAATGGTCTCACCACCCAATTTTTATACTTTTTTGAAAAATATTCGAAGCATGGTGAAAATAGGTGAGCAATATTTTTGTCTATATATTTTTTTCCAGATCTTTGTTGACATTACCATTGTTAACTTCATATAATCGAAAATGAGACAAGTAACTAAAAGACCAAAATTCCATTGACGGATATTGATGGAACTATTCAGTGACACCAAGGAATGACTGGTCAAGTTGAAGAGAAAAAACTCATTTTGTCGAGGTTCGTCTTTATTCTATTCTTATTATACTACAAAAAATCAATCAATAATCCTCATTGGGGACAAAGCAAAATAAAATTCAATAATGACTATTGGATCCAAAAAAATTCAGATTTTCGTTCTGGTGGATTAACTACGAAACTGAAGCAGAAATATTCAAAGAGCCTGATCACTATAGAGAAACATTTTGAAATAGAACTGGACATACGTCTGAGAGTTTAGTGTAAATGATTTTTTTTTGTTTTGAAACAAAATATTGCAAAACGTCTTCAGTGGGGGCCAAGCAATATCAAATTCAATATATTTGTCGTGAAAATTAAAGCAAACGCAATCAACTTCAAACTGTTTTTGGAAAATCCTTCGAAATACCTTTAAACACCACAAATATTCAATACAATTATTGCAAAAACTAGAATATGCAGTCAACTACATTTTTTTGGTTCAGTTCTATATCAGCAAATCATGCTGCGGACAACATCCTGGCAAAATGTTGAAACAATTTCGAAGCTGAATTTGTTCAAATTTCTTTAAAATCCTAAAGAATCGTATTTTTTTAATGTTCCAACTGTTAGTAATGGCGATTATTTTAAATCATTAACTAATTTACATTCATTTATGAACATGGAAATAAAGGCATTTAAGGAAAACAAATTATTTCAGAATTACAGATTTTTTTGTTCTTTTCCTCATGTCAGAAGAAAATCGACATTTTTGGGTTTTCTAATATGATGATTTCAGGAATTTTAGCTGATTTTCGCGCTTCATCAATAGCTTAATAGCCAAAGCATAAATATTTGCAATATCCACCTAAGAATTCAAAAATTATTCTTCTAAATCATAAGAATAATATTCAATCTCGATTGATTCAAAATTTATAATAAATATTTAAATTTCAAGGAATAAATTCGAAGCTTTGCCCCAAATTTATCCGAAATTCCTCTGATAATATCCGAATATTCCAAAATTAATTTAAAAAGTTGAAATAGTTTATCCCAATCATCTTCAATTATAAAATAAATAAATTAGACCATAATACAAATTCTTAAAAAATGTCGTCATCTGTTATTAAAATTGAAAATATAAATGTTTGAATGAATTTCAAGGAGTAAATTTGAAGCTTTGCCCCAATTTTATCCGAAATTCTTTTAATAATATCCATAAAATATAAATTCGAGGATCGAGGCGGTTAAATCGACAAAGAAGCATTTCAGTTATGGCCAGTTGATGCATGAGTTTTTTTCTGTTAATACATCTTCTATTGCAATTCGTTTTCGATGACAACTTTGATTTTTTCAACGGAAGCACAAGTGTTGCTGGTTTTTATAAAAACGTATACTTTTTAAAACTTTATTACCAAACTAAAACACATTTAATTTGGCGGACTTATTGGTGAGCTGGGCCATCCTGAAATAAAAAAAAATTTAAAAGAATTCTGACATTACTCAAGATTTCATTCAGTCAAATTCTAAATTTTACGTCGTTTTTATAAAGAAAGCTACTCTTACTAGAATATGCATGCTATCTGATATTCGAAAAACATCTCAAATTGAGCAAATATGGGCTCTAAGAAAAAACTTCCAAAATTTTCACTCACTGGTGGGTGGCGTCCACTCAAGCGTCCAATCGCGCTTGACAGCTTCCGTTTAGCATCGGTGAACTGAAAAATGTCTGTTATTTGATAATATTAAGTCCGTGACTACCTTCTTCTTGATGACCGATAAAAGTCCGGGTCCATTTGGCTGCCTCAAGATTCCCTGAGCGGAAGCAATCTAGAAAATAAATAAACTTTTAATTTTTCATGGGCTTGGGATATTTTTAAATGAGCGCGACTTACCGGGGTAGAAACCGGGACTGGTTGCTGAACAACCGGCGAAATCGGTCGAGAAGGAACTGGGGAAACGACCCGCGAAACCGGGGCCACAATCTTCACTTCCTTCTTTTCCTTCACATCCTCCTTCTTGATCTCTTTCTTCTTCAATTCGACTTTTCCTACTTCGTTCTTCTTTGACTCCAACTTCGCATTGATCGTTTCGTTCTTCTCGACCGGCTTCTTCTCGGTAAATACCCTTAATTGTCGCGTTCTACGGACTGTTACCTGAAGAACATCTACCTTGATGAGTTGATACTGTCTTATTCTTACATTTTTAGCCGCTCCACGCTTCGAAAATTCTTCGACAGTACTGAAATTATAAATGGATTTATTTTTTGTTTCGATTAATACAATTTAAAATTGAAATGTTAGAAAAAAACTCACCTCATGCTTCTTGCGATCGAATCTTCTTGCTCGGAGGACATGTTGAGGCAGTTTGACATTCGTAGTGAATGAATGACCGGTTTGCCCAAAGGTTGGCTTGTGGGCGGAGTCTTCCTCTCTCTTTGAACAGTCACGCCTCTTTGCATCACCCTTACTCTGTCTCTCTCTATCTCTCTCTCCCACTGCAATGAGAATACGGTATCTCTACCTTAAAAGAGGTGCGAATAAACGGAGGCATAGGGCCGATTGAGGTGATTTACAATACCACTTGGAATTCGGCATTCTTTTGAAAGAAAATAGGTGAAATTCGTCGCAATATGGTTATTGCGATATACTGGTGAAATAAAAAATTGTTGGAAAATTCGAAAAAAAATTTTTGTTAGCATTTTTTTTTTATTTTTTAAGCTAAAACGTTTTCTCCATGTTGTAAAGCATGACATTCTGACTATTTTCTTTGTTTGGATTGTCGGATTTCATTCACAAACAAAACAGTTAGAGACCACCATACAGCAGCTCACCACCACTCTGAAAATGCTTAAATTCTTATATGCGATTTCAGCCTTGGCGAAATGTGCCGGTGTCGTGTAGTTGTGGTTGATGAATAGATTTTTTGAAATTTTTGTCGATGAAACGTGAAATTATGCTAAATTGAACATTTTTCCTGAAATCAGCATATCATAAAACACAAAAATATCGATTTTTTCTATTCAGCGGAAGGCGCAAAATAAATCTGAAAATCTGTAATTCTGAAACACCTCCAGACGATTAGATCAAATACAGCATTGAGATTGTTAAAATTACGACTAGAAGACTCATTAGTTGTCAAATTTTCCTGCCGAACACTTCGAGCTTCATTTTTGTTATCCGCATTATTTTGTTGTGTGCAGAAATAATGTCGATTAACATCTTGCGCCATTGCAAAAGCTCTTTCAAGCAGTTTTCGATACTCATTATTGAGAGGAACAACGGCTCGTTTTCTTTCTTCGTGATCTTGTTGCATTCGAAACAGGATTAAATTAGCTTTCTGGATCAATATTTGCACTTAAAGCACTCTTTCTCTCGATTAACTGCTCAGAAAAAAAACGTGAGAGAGTATCCTAATGCAGTATTGTGTTTTGTTTTTAGCAAACCATATTGTCTAATGCTCAGAAAAAATCTTTCCTATAGCTCGAAAAATTTGTGGCTGAATACTCCGAGAATGCGAGAAATGTCTGAAGAATAAAAATATTGACAATTTATTTGTCAAAATTAATTCAAAATTATTATGAAATCAATTTTGTTTCCGAATAATTTATTGCGTTTCAATGTGAAAAACTAATTCAGAAGATGATAACATTCAATGAATGTCAGGAAACAAAATGAAACAAAAATAAACAACAATTACAGAGGTGATCGAAACATTTGCAAGAGAATATGTGAGATTTGGATAAGTGATTAACTGGGATTGGTTAAATGATTTGTAACAATTGGTTAAATGGTATGTAAAAATTGGATATTGGATTTGGTTACAAAATGTCTAACAAAATATACACGAAAAACAAAGTAACAAAAAAGAAAACATTTCTACAAAAAAAAAAAACAAAAATGGCGCGCAGAACTTGGATAACAGTGGCAAAAATGCTCAGAGAGATTTAAGGGCTTTCCTGAAAATTTCATTTAGTTATATTTAGACATTAAATCACAATTACTTGGCTTTTCTTGCTTCTCTTGGCATCGTTTTTGTCAGTTTCATCAGAAACCGATTCTGACCTACGGCGAATTCTGGACGATGAAGCCGATTCAGTTGACGACGATGGATGAGCCCCATCGGACGAACCTGACTCAGCGATGAACGAAGGTGGACGAGATCCATCGCGGTCACTTTCTTCACTAGTGCTTTCGGTGGTTGGAGCAGAGCGTTCCTCAGTACTAGCTGAGGCACGATCACTAGCCTATAAAGTAATACAGTCTTATTATAAAAACCATTAAAATAAATTACTGTGGTATTAGTGGCTGGAGGTGTCAGAAACTCCGAGCCAGTGAGGAACAATGACTCCAGGTATTCGGACATATTTTCACTCATTTGGTGGATTTCTTCCATTGAGATACCCCTCGAACTTTCCATCACAACGCGGAAATCCTTGTACACCTGAATGAGTAATCTGGAATTAAGTAACATAGAATTGGTTTCTCACCCCATTGCGGATAATTTCGAATTGTATTTCGACCGGCTCATCCCTGAAATAGAACAATGTATTTAACGAACATTTAAATAATTTTAAAATCTAACCTCGCACCGTTGTCGGCTTCTTCTGGTTGCCCTCCGGCCTCGTTTTCCACTAGAGCATTTTGTTCGAAGTCGGCAGCTTCTCGCACTGGACTAGGCTCTCGAATAGTTTGTGTAGAAGCATCGACTTTATCTCTTGCCGATTCTAAAGTGTTTGCTGGATCAGCCAGAAAGTTTTTCAAAAGGTTATCGATCTGATCCTGTAGTCTCTTGATTGCTTCCTCGCCCATTGTTGGAGAACTGGATGGAAAGTCTACAGTGACTCTTGCAACAGCCTGAATTAATAAAAAAACGTCATATCGAAAACGGATATTTTAATCGTACCTGCTCAGCTCCTTGTGTTCTCTCGACGATCAGCCGATTTGTTGGTCTGAATATTGTAATTAATCTCCAAGTTTGACAAAGCATCAAAATTTTTTAAAATTAATTTTACCTCTCTTGATTGGGGTTGGCTGCTTGTGGTTGGATGTCGCATTGGATAGAAGAATCTACCGAAGTATTGGTATGGTCGGTATTCATTTTGAGTACTGAAATTTGGAACATTTTATATAATATTCAAAAAGGTCATTTCTATTATTTCAGTTTTCTCTCCTTGAGAGAGAAGAAAATGAAGACAAACGAGGATGACGATATTCGAAAAGAACGCGACGCGGCACGCGTGTTGCTAGAGTATGCTGGGTTGCCGGAGTACACTATAGCGTACTTCCAAGTGTTTCAAGTGTACAGAGAACAGTTGACTACACAGTAGTTGTTACGAAGACAATTTGAAAAGAAAAAAAATTTCACAATAAAGAAGAAGTGAAAATTTCAGATGTTTGTGATAATAAGGATTTGGATAAGAGATTGCAAAAAAAAACCATTGCCAAATGGTGTTCCGCACTCTCTTGCTTACGGTAAAACTCGTTCCAGCTGTGATTGCTCCCGACGCGAACAGTTGCGCGCGCATTTCAAATGTTTAAATTAATATCAAATTATAATTAAAAAAAAACCCTAAAAAATTTACCACTGAAAGGAAAACAGTTTATAATTAGAGCTCAGTTATACTCGACTATTTGTATAATAAAAATTTGCAACCCCAATCCGATTCACTACAATTTTAATTGTATAATGGAATTTCAGGCAGTATCTGCCAATTACAATAAAATCCGAATTTCAAAGAGTAAATTCGAAGCTTTGCCTCAAATTTATCCGAAATTCTCCAGATAGTAACCAAACTTATTCATAATTACTATATAATGCGAGCATTGAAAGAAAGTAACTTTTTTTTTAGTTAAGACTGAAAAATTCATGACTATGAATATTTCAGTTCAACTTTTGCCAATTATTTTTATATACGAATTTCAAAGAGTAAATTCGAAGCTTTGCCTCAAATTTATCCGAAATTCTCCAGATAGTAACCAAACTTATTCATAATTACTATATAATGCGAGCATTGAAAGAAAGTAACTTTTTTTTAGTTAAGACTGAAAAATTCATGACTATGAATATTTCAGTTCAACTTTTGCCAATTATTTTTATATACGAATTTCAAAGAGTAAATTCGAAGCTTTGCCCCAAATATATCCGAAATTCTTCTGATAATAACCGTTTATTCAATTCGGATGCTAAAGTTGAAGGAGTAAATGTAAAAGCTGTGCCTTCAATTTATCCCAACTTTTTAAAAATAATAAATTAAGTGAATTAAGTGGAAGACAATAAAGTGAAGCCTAAAAATTTTTTTGCATAATATAATTAAGAAATAAAAAATCGACTGGCATTGATTAATAATGAATGAATGAACCGACTCCCCACAGGTCGGCTTGTGGGAGGAGCCTCCTCTTCTCATTGGTCAGACACGCCCCCTTGGCAACACCCCTTTCCCTTTCTGGCATTGAAAGACATAAAGAGGCATAGAGAGATCACATGGAACCGTCTACGGCGCTAAGCCATGCTTAACAATAGTAGTCATGATTTTGTCTGGACCAGAGAAAGGTAGGATACTTAAGTAGTGCAAATATGCCAGAAAAATAGAAACATAGCATATCAGATTCCTCGGAATAAAAACTCTTCTAAATTAATAACAGTTTATTACATTCGTTAAATTACAAAAAAAGTTTAACACAGGGTGAGAAGTTGAAATGGTGGGTGGCAGGTGAGCCCCGCCAATTAAACAACAAGGAATTTATTTAGGCTCGGCGGTCACGGTGTCTGCGTCGGATTTGTTCGATCAAGTCCCGGGCGTGGTTGACAAGAGCCTATAATATTGTTGATGTGAATTGTTGTTGAATCAGAAAATCGTTTATGATAAAACTTACAGTAATACGCTCATGGTCATGGGTGAAATACACAAAATCCTGAAAGTCGTCAATTATTAACTGCAAAAAACAATGTATTTACCTTTTCGGCTTCTTCCTCGCCAACTTTGGCAAAAAAACGCTGAAATTAACAAATTTATGACAAAAACAGCTATTAAATAATCTTACACATGCGAGATGACGCTTGATTTGTTAGCGAGTGGGTGATGTAGAAAATACGCGATGAGAAGACATTGGCTCTGATATGATATATTATCTTATACCCAAGTTCGATCGAAATATTTAGATGGGACCATCAAACATTGTATTTAATCTATTGAGCTTAATAAATAAGCTTGTTTTTAAGTACTTGCACTAAATTTTTTTGGATGGAGTAGACTGTTACGAACAGTTTAAGTACCGCAACATGCTACTTTACTTTTATTTTGATCGAAAAATTGGAGACGGACCATCAAAATTTCAATTTTCTTGTTAAACACAAAGAATGCTTCTATATAATGCCTGAATTTTTCATATTAAAAAAATAATAAATAACATGGCAAAAAAACTGAATTTTTAATTGATTTAGCACAAATTTTGTATATATCTGGGTATACGGTAGGATTACTGTAGTTTTTTCTACCATACCACATAGCAATTTTGATCGGTGTGTTAAATTTCAAATTCTCGACAAAATTTGAGCCAGAATGCAAAAAACCGCTTCAAAATTGCTTCATTTTGACCGATTTTAGACCATTTTAAGTTAGGAAATTTAAAGGCGCATAGCAGGTCCTGCAACGATCGGTGAGTCACAAAAACACGAAAAATCGTCTCCACTCATGCCCCCCTATAATCCCTCCAATTTTCATGCAAATCGGAGCATTTTGAAATTTTGGCCATTTTTGATATTTCAGATTTTGAATTTTGAATTCCCGCTCTGCCGCATTTTCGCTACAAGAACCCAGAGCGTCCTTTAAGAGTGAGCTCAAGCCTCTATCACTTGGTTTCTTTGATTTTTACCTATTTTTTTTAATTTCGTCGTTTCTCCTCGAAATCTTCATCGTTTTTCATAGTTTTTTTTTTTTCTATTCCACTCAAAATTTTGTGATCTTTCTTTATAAATTAACGGCAAACTTGTCTGATGTCAATTTCATTGCGAAAAATCAGTTTTAAAAATCCGCTTTAGGCCAAAAGCTAAAAAAATTCGCCATTAGGTCAATTTTCAACAAATTTTAATTTTTTTTGCATCAAAATTTTTAAATCAATGAGTTCTATCAATTTATTGTCACTAAAACATTGTAGCCACGAGCGATTGCAACAAAAATTCATTTTTACTCTTAATTTTTCCAAGAATATTTCAAAAATTCGTAAATCAACGAAATTTCCACATTTCTTTACAATTTTTTCGCCATTGGATAGAGAATTTGAAGCGTTAATTATATTTGTTATGCCGAGAAGCATAGCTAAAAAATTGAACAGCTAAAAATCGATTTTCTCCTTGATTCACAAAATTTTCCGGTTTTTGTCATTTTTTTTCGTAAAAAATTTTTTCATCTTGATTTTGCAATTATATTTCTATCGAATCGTCTCCATCAATTGATTGATTTTGTTTCCACTGTTCTCATTGTTATTTTTATTTTATTTTCAGAGCCAATGTCTTCTCATCGCGTATTTTCTACATCACCCACTCGCTCTCAAATCAAGCGTCATCTCGCATGTGTGAGATTATTTAATAGCTGTTTTTGTCATAAATTTGTTAATTTCAGCGCTTTTTTGCCAAAGTTGGCGAGGAAGAAGCCGAAAAGGTAAACATATTGTTTTTAGCAGTTAATAATTGACGACTTTCAGGATTTTGTGTATTTCACTTGGAATTTGTATGCTGCGGCATCGGTTGAAACACAACTATCATGTGGAAAACATCATCTTCCTATTCTTGGAGCCCTCGTTATCAATCACAAACGCGCCAAAGTGATGAGAATGCGATTCGTTTGCCGCCGATGCACCGAGGAAAACGACCCGCGTAAATCGAAAGCCACGAATGGATATCGAAGAATTCGAAAAAGAAAACGCGTTTGAAGTGCATGCATTCTGCGAGCAATGCCTTTTCGAAAAGAAGCTTTGCTCGAAATATCCGTTTGAATTCCTGAGAGCAGTGGAGAATGGATTCGATGAGGAGGTGAGTACAGCACGAGTCGTTTTTAAGACAATTCTCAATATTTCAGAAGATCCCAACTCCGTTATACGAGTACTACAAAACGCTCATGCCGCCACCATCGCCGACTCGAACAATTTGCCGCGAGCCACCAATCGACTTCTGAATCGTTTTTTAAATGGTCTATTACTGTATCATGTTGTTTTTTACTTCATCGAGTGTGTTGATTTTGATTTTTGTCTCCTGTTATTTCAACTAATAAATTTTGTTTGAAGGAACTCTGATCGTTTTTTTCCAGTATTTATTCAGAGAGAGAGAATTAAGAATGTCTATTTAATTATTAAGCAAATTTTAGCCAATTTTAGTCGAAATTTTTTAAAAATTTTCTAATAATATTAATTTTCTGATATTTATTGGCTACCCAATATGTGAACCGTTTCTTAAATTTTCACAATCGAAAAAAATTTTGCGAAAAGGGGACTCGAACCTGACTCTCAGTGTTCAAAAAGTAGGAAAAAAAAATAAATAAATAAAAGTAAAAAGTAACTTTTTGGTTTCTGAATAAAATCTGATGATCCAAAAAAAGAAAATAGTCAGAATTTGATGTTTTACAACGTGGCGAAAACGATTTTGTCTGAAAAAAGAATAGACTTGTGAGAAGTTTTTACTGATATGATTTTCTAGCTAATAGATAACAATAATTTTCTAAATTACCACCTAGCCCTAATATACCAAAAAATAGAATTAAAAATATTTTCAATAAATATATTTCATAACGATTCTAAATTCAACTCGATTTATACCAGTTATAATAAAATCCGAATTTCAAAGAGTAAATTCAAAGCTTTGCTTCAAATTTATCTAAAATTCTTTTAATAATTACCAATTATTTTATAATCAAATAATGTTATATATAAAATTAATATATAAAAGTAAGAATTGAATAAGAAGTCTTTTACTTCCATTCAAGGCTTTTTCAAAAAAAATTTAAAAAAAATTAAATTCTAAAATGTTTTCTTATGAGTAATTTACTAAAAATTTCAACTTTCTTACCGTAAAAAAGGAATCTTATTTAAACTAGCTTTATTCCAAAAATATACGAATTTCAAGGAGTAAATTCAAAGCTTTGCCTCAAATTTATCCAAAATTCTTCTAATAATAATCAACGATTTTATAACTAATGTATAAAAGTGAGGACTGAACTTTTTCCATTCATGATTATCTTAAAAAATTTTAGATCGACTTTTGCCAATTGTTTTTATATACGAATTTCAAAGAGTAAATTCGAAGCTTTGCCCCAAATTTATCCGAAATTCGTTTGATAAACGAACTCACCACTGAAAGAAAAAAGTGAAGAGAAAAAACCACAAAAATGAACTTACCATTGAAAGAACAAAAAACAATTCATGATTAGAGAACAGTTACAATCGACTATCTGGCCGTTGTAAGCTGAATTCTCTCGCCATTGTTTTGTTTTTTTTTTGAATTTCGAATATAAAGAGAATTAAATGTTCGAAATTCATTGTCCGAATGGGACATTTTAAATAAACAAAACAAAATTTAGAAAACACGTGATTAGAATAATTGCTAATGTTGATTATAAAGCCTTTTGAAATTTTAGAAACCATCCCGAAAATGCAAAATATGATAGCTTCTTTCAACTATTTCGAAAAATTGAAATTTCTCACTCGGCGAGGAGGCACAGGGAGATCAGATGGGACCGTCTACGACGCTATGCCATGCTTAGCCTATAACCGAGGTCCATTTCACATTGGTCGAAGTAGTCAAATAGAAGTTCACGCATTTACATATTCGGGGGCAGCTAACTATCTAGAAAGATTGAAAGAAAAACTTAATGATGATGTGACTAAATAAAAAACTACAGCTCGAGCTCGAACTACAGCTTTGCAAGCTCGAGGAAGAAAATTAATTGAAAAGGCTTTGAAACGGGATTAATGATAATGGGGAGAGAATCAGAAAAATTTAGGAGAACATAAAATAGGAAGCATTACTGATTTCGTCTGTCCAGAGAATGGACGACACTCTCAACAAGGTTTTCCATGAATTCCTCTTCAACAACATAGTTGGGATAGTTTAAATAAAGAAGGTAAACAGAAAAATAAATAACTGAGCCCGACACCAAATGAATAGCATTAACCCAAACGTCGTTTTCAGCAACAATTAAATATGGTCTAGTGAGTTCGACGTTACGAGCACGAATCTCGAGAAGCCTCGAGACACCATCGAAATTAAAAGTGGTACCGGCTGGAATAATGGTGGCATCGACGTCGGTAATGAGAGAAAAGAAGAAGTAGGGTTTGGAAAGTAACGGATCGATGAGAACAGATTCTTCCTCGCCATTAAAAACGGAGTGTAAGAATTGTTGGACCTCATCGACTTCAGCATTGACTCGCAAGCGGAGGAAGTGCAAGTGGACCCTGCGCTTCTCTGCTAGAGTCATTTCACGGTGGTTGACCGGTGGAGATGGAGATCTATCGGACATGTTCACAAAAGGATTGAATGGATTGCTGCAGATGGTAGCTAAAAATGCAACTGAATGAGATGTGGCAGCTCGATGAGATATGAAAGTAGGCGGAGCTCAAGTGACAAAAGTAGGAGGAGTCTGTGTCCACGCCCACAAGTAGTTGCTCCTTCCGGGACACATTTTTTTACACGTTGCTAAATATTTCTGTTATTTAAATTTGTGGATTGCTTGTTTTCTACTTTGTCCATTGCAGAAAACGACTCATGAAAGAAGGAAAAAGAGCCTATTGATGGTTATGGGGGTTTATATATGGTGCTATTACAATCAAAGAATTTAATAATGGATTGATAAGGATTACATCAGCTACCGGTCGCCCACGGCTTCCGGTGGAGCTGATGTATTAGATTAAGTTTTTGTGATAGAACATGATGGGTTTTCCTTTACACCTATCCCCCCCCCCGAAATAAAGCCTCGCGAGCCGCCAAAATTGCTAATTACCGTACGTTTTTGCATATTTTAAAAATCGTTTTCAAATTAGTTCGAATTATATTCAATAGTTCGAATCAGATGATCTGTGGAAATTCTGAAAACCTCTGTTTGGAATTTCTGCAAAACAATTTTCACTTTTTTAGCCAAAATACACGATATCATTCAATCGACATTTTAAGACCATATATTTCAGAATGAAGAATTTTTTGCCAAGTATTATATCATGACAATGAACATTATCGATGAAAACGCCGAATGTGCGATGCATCATAAAATCGCGAATTTTGGAGTTTTGCTAAATCGAAAGCCACGAATGGATATCGAAGAATTCGAAAAAGAAAACGCGTTTGAAGTGCATGCATTCTGCGAGCAATGCCTTTTCGAAAAGAAACTTTGCTCGAAATATCCGTTTGAATTTCTGAGAGCGGTGGCGAATGGATTCGATGAGGAGGTTAGTACAGCACGAGTCGTTTTTAAGACAATTCTCAATATTTCAGAAGATCCCGACTCCGTTATACGAGTACTACAAAACGCTCATGCCGCCACCATCGCCGACTCGAACAATTTGCCGCGAGCCACCAATCGACTTCTGAATCGTTTTTAAAATGGTCTATTAATGTATCATGTTGTTTTTTACTTCACCGAGTGTGTTGATTTTGATTTTTGTCTCCTGTTATTTCAACTAATAAATTTTGTTTGAAGGAAATCTGATCGTTTTTTTCCAGTATTTATTCAGAATTAAGAATTTCTATTTAATAATTATGCAAATTTTAATAAAATTTAGTCGAAATTTTTTAAATATTTTCTTGAGGATAATTTTCGGCTACCCGATATGCGTGGTCACAAAAAAGCAAGAAATCTGTAATATGCCCCAATTTCTTTTGTCGGGGGGGATGTTGCAAGGAGCAAGAAAAATGATGAAAGATCCTTGCGTGTGTCCTTGACTAGACCATTTTTATACCTAAAATTATTGATTTTTTGTGACCACGTCAAGTAAATTTCAGCTGTATGTTCTCCGATCGAGCTGAAACTTGGCTATAAGTTTTCAGCGGGTCTGAAAACCCTAAAACCACTCAAATTTCCCTTATAGTGACGGAGAGCTTCATATTGCTTATTTCGAAAATGAATGAAGCTGACACCCGTTATGCAGGCATCTATCGTATTGTGAGGAGCCTTGAAATCGTCGGCAGTGTTTCTGCTTTCCCAATATTTAAAAAAAAAATATTTATGAATCTTATTTATGAAAATGAAGTGGATTGGGAGTCCGAATCAGAAGAATGATTGGAAGTATCCACGTGTTGGAAAACTGCCTCCGTATTGTTTATAGTGACTCCTTGAACGTCTGATGTTTTAACTTCCATCGTACTATTCAACTGAAACGTTTGGGTTATTTCATCACAAAAAAAAATTAACACCATAACAGATAAAAATAATTTCGACAGGAAAAAGAAACTCACAGCGATTTCTGCCGTTTCCATGATTTTTTTGGTATTTTCTGGACTGGAAAATGACTGATGGTGGTCACTGGGCGAGCTCAAAACAGCGACGGAATTCTAAATATCGAATAGCACATATTATAACATATGTATGAAAGACAAGAAAAGACAAATTACCGAAGAAGCAGTAGCTGAAGACGTCGAATTCTCAGGAGCAGATGCAATTATTGAGATGAGTTCGTTGGCCATTGCCTCACGCATAAGGTCGATGTCGTCCATTGAAACCCCATCGAGGTTGGGCATCACATAATCAATATTTTCGTGCTTCTAAAGCTTTTAATTTGACTGAATTTAGAAACGGACTAGTTGCTTACGTTTGGTGCAAAGATCTCAAACTTCACCACGAGAGGCTCAAAGCTGGAATTAAAAACGTGTTTAAAAAAAAAAGTTTTTTTAAAATCTTACTTCAACTCATTTGAAACTGTAGCCGACTGTATTCTCTCTTGGTTCTCATCGGCTTCTGCAGTTTCCGTAATTGGTGTCGGGACATGAAATGTTTGTGTTGAAACAGTTTTCTGCAATGGACAAAATAGAAAATGTGAAAACAAGTAATCCACAAATTTAAATAACAGAAATATTTTGCAACGTGTAAAAAAATGTGTCTCGGAAGGAGGGTGCAGACAAATTTGGGCTACTGTAGTCATCGCAACTAATTGTGGGCGTGGCACAGACTCCTTCTACTTTTGTCACTTGAGCTCCGCCCACTTTTATATCTCACCGAGCTGCCACATCTCATTCAGTTGCATTTTTAGCTACCATCTGCAGCACTCCATCCAATCCTTTTGTGAACATGTCCGATAGATCTCCATCTCCACCGGTCAACCACCGTGAAATGACTCTAGCAGAGAAGCGCAGGGTTCACTTGCACTTCGTCCGCTTGCGAGTCAATGCTGATGTTGATGAGGTCCGACAATTCTTAAACTCCGTTTTTAATGGAGAAGAAGAATCTGTTCTCATCGATCCGTTACTTTCCAAACCCTACTTCTTCTTTTCTCTCATTATCGACCTCGATGCCATAATTTTTCCAGCCGGTACCACTTTTGATTTCGATGGTGTCTCGATGCTTCTCGACATTCGTGCTCGTAACGTCGAACTCACTAGACCATTTATGATTAATGCCATTAACGACGTTTGGGTTGAAGAAATTCATCTGGTGGGAGAATCAGTTGTTTATTTTTCGGTTTACCTTCTTTATTTAAACTATCCCAATTATATTGTTGAGGAAGAATTCATGGAAGATCTTGCTGAGATTGTCGTCCACTCTCTAGAAAATCAAGACGAGTAATGCTTCCTATTTCCCCGTTGCCCTCTAGTTTTTTTTTTTATATTTAATCCCCATCATCATTAAAGCAGTTTTTCTTTCTCTCTCTAGATAGTTAGCTTCTCCGAAAATGTAAATGTGTGAACTTTTTTCACTACTTCGACCAATGTGAGACGGACCTCGGTTATAGGCTGAGCATGGCATAGCGTCGTAGACTGCCCCAGCTGATCTCCCTATGCCTCCTTGCCGAGTAAGAAAGTTCATATTTTTCGAAATAGTTGGGAAAACGATCATATTTTGCATTTTGGGATGATTTCTAAATTTTCCAGGCTTTATAATAAATACCAGCAATTATTCTAATCACGTGTCTTCTAAATTTTGTTTTGTTTTTTTGAAATGCCCCATTCGAACAATGAATTTCGAACATTTAATCCTATTTATTATCGAAATTCAAAAAAAAAAACAAAACAATGGCGAGGGAATTCAGATTACAACGACCAAATAGTCGATTGTAACTGTTCTCTAATCATGAATTGTTTTTTTCTTTCAGTGGTAAGTCTGTTAAAATTTGGGATGAATGGAAGTCGTTTAATTCTCGCTTTTCTAATCATTAAACAATTGGTTATTGATAAAAGAATTTCGGATAAATTTGGTGCGACGCTTTGATTTTACTGCTTGAAATTCGAATATTATTATAATTGACATATGTCGAGTTGAAATTGAAATGTTTAAAATTAAGGTGAATATTTTTCAATGTTTTTTTGGGTAGATTAATTTTAAAGGGATTTTAGAATTTTATACTTTTTTTATTATTGAAAAAAAAACAATTCTAATGAACGGAAGTCAAAGATATATATATATATATATATATATATTTATTTATATATATTCAAGCCTCGCTTTTGTATACTAAATAGCGAGCAAAAAAACATTTTTAGACTTTTTTTATTGTCTTCCACTTAATTCACTTAATTTATTATTTAAAAAAAAGTTGGGATGAATTGAAGGCAAAGCTTTTACATTTACTCCTTCAGCTTTTGCATCCTAATTGAATAAACGGTTATTATCAGAAGAATTTCGGATAAATTTGGAGCAAAGCTTCGAATTTACTCTTTGAAATTCGTATAATATTAAAATGTCATATATCGAGTTGAAATTGAAATATTAAAAAAAATTGGCAATTATAGAAAATAATCATTATTAGTTGACGAAGTTGTTACCTATATATTAGTTAGAAAATAATATCAGTGTAATTTTAGTCACACTTGTGATCGTTTTTGTTTCAGTAAAATGGTTCACTGTACGTTGTAAAGCATCGAATTCTGACTATTCACTTTTTTTGGATTATCGAATTTGATTCAGAATCCAAAAAGTTAGATCACTCTGAAAATGCTCGAAATCTTATATGCGATTTCAGCATTGGCGAAATGTGCTAGTGGGAGGGGAGGGGGGGGGAATATAATAAGAAGAGCCAAAACAGTGAACATTGGTGACGGACCATTAAATTTTTTTTTGGAAGTCGTTTAAATCTCGCTTTTTTAATCATTAAATAATTGGTTATTGAAAAAAGAATTTTGGATAAATTTGGGGCGATGCTTTGAATTTACTCCTTGAAATTCGAATATTATTATAATTGACATATGTCATACATGTATATATATATATATATATATAGTAAAGGGGTTAAAAAGGTGCCGTCCTGCCGAATAGTGGCAGGGCGGTGCTTCCCTTTATTTCTCACTCACTTTTAATAGGCGTTAGAAATAACAAAAACGCTCGAAGAAATTACTGCTTTATTTCTTCATTAAAGTGGGGAAATCACAAACAAATTGGTGGTGGATCGTATTGGAGAGAGTTGGTAAAATCGGAGCCGGCATGTGCGACTCATGAAAGAAGGAAAAAGAGCCAAGATTGATGGTTATGGGGGTTTATATATGGTGCATTACAATCAAAGAATTTAATAAAGAATTTAATAACGGAGTGATAAGGATTACATCAGCTACCGGTCGCCCACGGCTTCCGGTGGAGCTGATGTATTTGATTAAGTTTTGTGATAGAACATGATGGGTTTTCCTTTACAATATATATATATATATATATATATATATATATATATATATATATATATATATATATATATATATATATATATATATATATATATATTTTTAGGCTTCATTTTACTGTCTAATCCATTAATTTATTAGTTAAAAAAAGTTGGGATAAATTGAAGGCAAAGCTTTTACATTTACTCCTTCAACTTTTGCATCCGAATTGAATAAACGGTTATTATCAGAAGAATTTCGGATATATTTGGGGCAAAGCTTCGAATTTACTCTTTGAAATTCGTATATAAAAATAATTGGCAAAGGTTGAACTGAAATATTCATAGTCATGAATTTTTCAGTCTTAACTAAAAAAAAAAGTTACTTTCTTTCAATGCTCGCATTATATAGTAATTATGAATTAGTTTGGTTATTATCTGGAGAATTTCGGATATATTTGAGGCAAAGCTTCGAATTTACTCTTTGAAATTCGCATTTTATTGTAATTGGCAGATACTGCCTGAAATTCCATTATATAATTATAATTGTAGTGAATCGGATTGGGGTTGCAAATTTTTATTATACAAATAGTCAAGTATAACTGAGCTCTAATTATAAACTGTTTTCCTTTCAGTGGTTAATTTCTCAAGGGTTTTTTTTATTATGATTTGATATTAATTTAAACATTTGAAATGCGCGCGCAACTGTTCGCGTCGGGAGCAATCACAGCTGGAACGAGTTTTACTTATTTGGAAATGGTTTTTCTTGCAATCATTTATCCAAATCCGTATTAACTAATTTTAGTGTCATTTATCCGATCTAAGTAAATGAAATCTCCCTATTTAATACAAAAACAAACATCTGAAATTTTCATTTCTTCTTTATTGTGAAATTTTTTTTCTTTTCAAATTGTCTTCGTAACAACTACTGTGTAGTCAACTGTTCTCTGTACACTTGGAACACTTGGAAGTACGCTATAGTGTACTCCGGCAACCCAGCATACTCTAGCAACACGCGTGCCGCGTCGCGTTCTTTTCGAATATCGTCGTCCTCGTTTGTCTTCATTTTCTTCTCTCTCAAGGAGAGAAAACTGAAATAATAGAAATGACCTTTTTGAATATTATATAAAATGTTCCAAATTTCAGTACTCAAAATGAATACCGACCATACCAATACTTCGGTAGATTCTTCTATCCAATGCGACATCCAACCACAAGCAGCCAACCCTAATCAAGAGAGGTAAAATTAATTGAAAAAAATTTTGGTGCTTTGTCAAACGGAGATTAATTACAATATTCAGACCAACAAATCGGCTGATCGTCGAAAGATCACAAAGAAATCAAGGAGCTGAGCAGGTACGATAAAATATCCGTTTTCGATATGAAGTTTTTTTTATTAATTCAGGCTGTTGCAAGAGTCACTGTAGACTTTCCCTCCAGTTCTCCAACAATGGGCGAGGAAGCGATCAAGAGACTACAGGATCAGATTGACAAACTTTTGAAAAACTTTCTGGCTGATCCAGCAAACACTTTAGAATCGGCAAGAGATAAAGTCGATGCTTCTACACAAACTATTCGAGAGCCTAGTCCAGTGCGAGAAGCTGCCGACTTCGAACAAAATGCTCTAGTGGAAAACGAGGCCGGAGGGCAACCAGAAGAAGCCGACAACGGTGCGAGGTTAGATTTTAAAATTATTTAAATGTTCGTTAAATACATTGTTCTATTTCAGGGATGAGCCGGTCGAAATACAATTCGAAATTATCCGCAATGGGGTGAGAAACCAATTCTATGTTACTTAATTCCAGATTACTCATTCAGGTGTACAAGGATTTCCGCGTTGTGATGGAAAGTTCGAGGGGTATCTCAATGGAAGAAATCCACCAAATGAGTGAAAATATGGCCGAATACCTGGAGTCATTGTTCCTCACTGGCTCGGAGTTTCTGACACCTCCAGCCACTAATACCACAGTAATTTATTTTTATGGTTTTAATATTAAGACTGCTTTATAGGCTAGTGATCGTGCCACGACCAGTACTGAGGAACGCTCTGCTGCAACCACCGAAAGTACTAGTGAAGAAAGTGACCGCGATGGATCTCGTCCACCTTCGTTCATCGCTGAGTCGGGTTCGTCCGATGGGGCTCATCCATCGTCGTCAACTGAATCGGCTTCATCGTCCAGAATTCGCCGTAGGTCAGAATCGGTTTCTGATGAAACTGACAAAAACGATGCCAAGAAAAGCCAAGTAATTGTGATTCAATGTCTAAATATAACTAAATGAAATTTTCAGGAAAGCCCTTAAATCTCTGATAATTTTTGCCACTGTTAGCCAAGTTCTGCGCGCCATGAATCAAGTTAAGGTAATTAAGTTCGTGGAATGATTTTTGTTTTTTTTTTTTGTAGAAATGTTTTCTTTTTTGTTACTTTGTTTTTCGTGTATATTTTGTTAGACATTTCGTAATCAAATCCAATATCCAATTTTTACATACCATTTAACCAATTGTTACAAATCATTTAACCAAACCCAATTAATCACTTATCCAAATCTCACATATTCTCTTGCAAATGTTTCGATCACCTCTGTAATTGTTGTTTATTTTTGTTTCATTTTGTTTCCTGACATTCATTGAATGTTATCATCTTCTGAATTAGTTTTTCACATTGAAACGCAATAAATTATTCGGAAACAAAATTTATTTCATAATAATTTTGACAAATAAATTGTCAATTTTTTTATTCTTCAGTCATTTCTCGCATTCTCGGGGTATTCAGCCACAAATTTTTCGAGCTACAGGAAATATTTTTTTGAGCAGTTAATCGATAGAAAGATCCACATTTAGAGACAATCCCATCGTTATCACAATAATCCCTCGGATTGAGCTATTCTTTTATTCCATAAGCAATAGCTTCAGTTCAAAAAATTACTGTCATAGTTTGACAGTTATTGTTTTCAAGATAGATAGTACAAAGTCCATAGATCATTGTTTGCATGATGACCACAGGGATCTGCTGACGTTCCCACATAAGTTTTGATTGGAGCAGATTTGCTCAATTGCTGTCAGCGTTCCACATTATTGTTGAGACGAATCAGCCAAATTTAGTCACTTTTTTCGTGGTGTGGCTGAAATTTTTCAAGACAAACTCCTTTTATATAATTTAGGACACAGTTCGAAAGCCTCGAAAGAAAAGGCCAAAGAAGGTTGCTCCGTTTACATTTTGCAGGTCCCCGCAAGTTCAACCCAGACTGTTTTGTCGAATGATGAACTACTCAGAAACAATTTCACAAAAAAAACCAAGACATATTTTTCAGTTCGCAAGGGCTGAACGCAAGTTTAAAAACGCGATTCGACATTTGACCGGAGGCCAGCTTGAGCCGGTGAGTTTTTTTTTGTAGAGCAATTTTCTCAATTTTAATGAATTAAAATAGCTGACGTTCATAGATAATTTCTATTATTTCAGGACTGTCTTGAATTGGTTTTTTTCTAAATAAACCATTTTAAAATATCTTTTTTGATAGAGTAATATATTTTTGATAGAATAAATTGAATGGTTCCGGTACTGACACGTAATCTAAAAAGAATCTCTAGTTGTTTCCAAAATGACCACGGTCTATTGGCTGTTTACTAAATATCCTCATTAATTGCCAAAAAAAAAACGAATTTGAGTGAGAAATTTGCCCTGAACAACAATTTAATTGAACCTTGTGGTGCGTGAAAGGATTTTTTGAAATTTTTGGCGATGAAACGTGAAATTATGCTAAATTGAACATTTTTCCTGAAATCAGCATATCATAAAACACAAAAATATCGATTTTTTCTATTCAGCGGAAGGCGCAAAATAAATCTGAAAATCTGTAAAATTCTGAAACACTTTCAGACGATTAGATCAAATACAGCATTGAGATTGTTAAAAGTTTTACTAGAGACTCATTAGTTGTCTAATTGCCAAGTCAAACACTTCGAACTTGTTTCAGCATTTTGCCAGGATGTCCGCAGCATGATTTGCTGATATTGCTGACCACAAAGTTTCAAAGTTGATTGCGTTTGTTTTAACTTTCACGACAATTTCATAAAATTTTTTGCTCCGCGATGCTGAGCTTCATTTTTGTTATCCGCATTATTTTGTTGCTTGCAGAAATAATGTCGATTAACATCTTGCGCCATTGCAAAAGCTCTTTCAAGCAGTTTTTGATACTCATCATTGAGAGGAACAACGGCTCGTTTTCTTTCTTCGTGATCTTGTTCCATTCGAAAAAGGATTAAATTAGCTTTCCGGATCAATATCTGCACTCAAATCTATATGTTAAATTAAATTTTTCAGCATATCTGAAATTAAAAAAAAACTTTCAGGAGTTCTTTCATGATCACATTTCTTGGCTAGACAACAATTCAGAGCTGGATTCAATAAAAGGATTAATTTTGGATCTATTATACAATCCTTTGGCAGATTTGCTAACATAACCGAGGGAAAACCTGAAATGGAATAGACTAATGCAATGTTTCAGCAACACCACGGAAAAAGTGACTAAATTCGGCTGATTCGTCGCAAAAATAATGTGGAACGCTGACAGAAATTGAGCAAATCTGCTCCAATCAAAACTTATGTGGGAACGTCAGCAGATCCCTGTGGTCATCATGCAAACAATGATCTATGGACTTTGTACTATCTATCTTGAAAACAATAACTGTCAAACTATGACAGTAATTTTTTGAACTGAAGCTATTGCTTATGGAATAAAAGAATAGCTCAATCCGAGGGATTATTGTGATAACGATGGGATTGTCTCTAAATGTGGATCTTTCTATCGATTAACTGATCAAAAAAATATTTCCTGTAGCTCGAAAAATTTGTGGCTGAATACCCCGAGAATGCGAGAAATGACTGAAGAATAAAAAAATTGACAATTTATTTGTCAAAATTATTATGAAATAAATTTTGTTTCCGAATAATTTATTGCGTTTCAATGTGAAAAACTAATTCAGAAGATGATAACATTCAATGAATGTCAGGAAACAAAATGAAACAAAAATAAACAACAATTACAGAGGTGATCGAAACATTTGCAAGAGAATATGTGAGATTTGGATAAGTGATTAATTGGGTTTGGTTAAATGATTTGTAACAATTGGTTAAATGGTATGTAAAAATTGGATATTGGATTTGGTTACAAAATGTCTAACAAAATATACACGAAAAACAAAGTAACAAAAAAGAAACATTTCTACAAAAAAAAAACAAACATCATTCCACGAACTTAATTACCTTAACTTGATTCATGGCGCGCAGAACTTGGCTAACAGTTGCAAAAATGATCAGAGAGATTTAAGGGCTTTCCTGAAAATTTCATTTAGATATATTTAGACATTAAATCACAATTACTTGGCTTTTCTTGCTTCTCTTGGCATCGTTTTTGTCAGTTTCATCAGAAACCGATTCTGACCTACGGCGAATTCTGGACGATGAAGCCGATTCAGTTGACGACGATGGATGAGCCCCATCGGACGAACCCGACTCAGCGATGAACGAAGGTGGACGAGATCCATCGCGGTCACTTTCTTCACTAGTACTTTCGGTGGTTGGAGCAGAGCGTTCCTCAGTACTGGTCGTGGCACGATCACTAGCCTATAAAGCAGTCTTAATATAAAAACCATTAAAATAAATTACTGTGGTATTAGTGGCTGGAGGTGTCAGAAACTCCGAGCCAGTGAGGAACAATGACTCCAGGTATTCGGCCATATTTTCACTCATTTCGTGGATTTCCTCCATCGAGATTCCCCTCGCATTTTCCATCACAACGCGGAAATCCTTGTACACCTGAATGAGTAATCTGGAATTAAGTAACATAGAATTGGTTTCTCACCCCATTGCGGATAATTTCGAATTGTATTTCGACCGGCTCATCCCTGAAATAGAACAATGTATTTAACGAACATTTAAATAATTTTAAAATCTAACCTCGCACCGTTGTCGGCTTCTTCTGGTTGCCCTCCGGCCTCGTTTTCCACTAGAGCATTTTGTTCGAAGTCGACAGCTTCTCGCACTGGACTAGGCTCTCGAATAGTTTGTGTAGAAGCATCGACTTTATCTCTTGCCGATTCTAAAGTGTTTGCTGGATCAGCCAGAAAGTTTTTCAAAAGGTTATCGATCTGATCCTGTAGTCTTTTGATTGCTTCCTCGCCCATTGTTGGAGAACTGGATAGAAAGTCTACAGTGACTCTTGCAACAGCCTGAATTAATAAAAAAACGTCATATCGAAAACGGATATTTTAATCGTACCTGCTCAGCTCCTTGTGTTCTCTCGACGATCAGCCGATTTGTTGGTCTGAATATTGTAATTAATCTCCAAGTTTGACAAAGCATCAAAATTTTTTAAAATTAATTTTACCTCTCTTGATTGGGGTTGGCTGCTTGTGGTTGGATGTCGCATTGGATAGAAGAATCTACCGAAGTATTGGTATGGTCGGTATTCATTTTGAGTACTGAAATTTGGAACATTTTATATAATATTCAAAAAGGTCATTTCTATTATTTCAGTTTTCTCTCCTTGAGAGAGAAGAAAATGAAGACAAACGAGGATGACGATATTCGAAAAGAACGCGACGCGGCACGCGTGTTGCTAGAGTATGCTGGGTTGCCGGAGTACACTATAGCGTACTTCCAAGTGTTCCAAGTGTACAGAGAACAGTTGACTACACAGTAGTTGTTACGAAGACAATTTGAAAAGAAAAAAAATTTCACAATAAAGAAGAAGTGAAAATTTCAGATGTTTGTGATAATAAGGATTTGGATAAGAGATTGCAAAAAAAAACCATTGCCAAATGGTGTTCCGCACTCTCTTGCTTACGGTAAAACTCGTTCCAGCTGTGATTGCTCCCGACGCGAACAGTTGCGAGCGCATTTCAAATGTTTAAATTAATATCAAATCATAATTAAAAAAACCCTAAAAAAATTTACCACTGAAAGGAAAACAGTTTATAATTAGAGCTCAGTTATACTCGACTATTTGTATAATAAAAATTTGCAACCCCAATCCGATTCACTACAATTATAATTGTATAATGGAATTTCAGGCAGTATCTGCCAATTACAATAAAATCCGGATTTCCAAGAGTAAATTCGAAGCTTTGCCTCAAATTTATCCGAAATTCTCCAGATAATAACCAAACTAATTCATAATTACTATATAATGCGAGCATTGAAAGAAAGTAACTTTTTTTTAGTTAAGACTGAAAAATTCATGACTACGAATATTTCAGTTCAACCTTTGCCAATTATTTTTATATACGAATTTCAAAGAGTAAATTCGAAGCTTTGCCCCAAATATATCCGAAATTCTTCGGATAATAACCGTTTATTCAATTCGGATGCAAAAGTTGAAGGAGTAAATGTAAAAGCTTTGCCTTCAATTTATCCCAACTTTTTAAAAATAATAAATTAATAAAGTGAAGCCTAAAAATGTTTTTTTGCATAATATAAGGAAGAAATAAAAAATCGACTGGCATTGATTAATAATGAATGAATGAACCGACTCCCCACAGGTCGGCTTGTGGGAGGAGCCTCCTCTTCTCATTGGTCAGACACGCCCCCTTGGCAACACCCCTTTCCCTTTCTGGCATTGAAAGACATAAAGAGGCATAGAGAGATCACATGGAACCGTCTACGGCGCTAAGCCATGCTTAACAATAGTAGTCATGATTTTGTCTGGACCAGAGAAAGGTAGGATACTTAAGTAGTGCAAATATGCCAGAAAAATAGAAACATAGCATATCAGATTCCTCGGAATAAAAACTCTTCTAAATTAATAACAGTTTATTACATTTGTTGAATTACAAAAAAAGTTTAACACAGGGTGAGAAGTTGAAATGGTGGGTGGCAGGTGAGCCCCGCCAATTAAATAACAAGGAATTTATTTAGGCTCGGCGGCCACGGTTTCTGCGTCGGATTTGTTCGATCAAGTGCCGGGCGTGGTTGACAAGAGCCTATAATATTGTTGATGTGAATTATTGTTGAATCAGAAAATCGTTTATGATAAAACTTACAGTAATACGCTCATGGTCATGGGTATTATTGGCACATTCAGCGACTTTGGTGAAAATTTGCACGATTGTTCTCGACAAGGCGTCCAAAATAGGAGCCGTCGCTCTGTCATACGGACCAGAAATCTCAGACTGAAAATGAATTTGGAATTTTCAAAAAGTCTTGGCAAAATTACCAGCTCGCGAGTGATTCTTGATAATTCATGGAGAGCGTAATTGCGGCGATTTGCACAGGCTTCCATTTCTGAAAAAACGTAAAGTCAAGAAAAAAATAATTATCGAAATATTGGTGATCAAAAGAGAGAAGAGGGATATGACCACTCGGTAGAATAAAAATGGGGAAGAGTTCCATTTCTTAGTTTTTCTCCGTATTACCTAAGAAGGCCTTACATATGAGGGAAGAAAATATAATCGACGAGAAATTAATTGCTTTACAAAAACTGAAATGACAGGAACACGTTTTAACACTTTAAAATTTAATTCGAAATTTCAGAAAAATAAACTCTGAAAAGATAATGTTTTTGATTTCTTCTCAAAATTTTCAATTCGTCTGTAATAATTTTTTTAAAATTTGTAATTCACCCGTAAACAATTCTGTTTGAATGATTGATATTTCTCTAAAAAAAAATTTAAAATTACAAATTAGGATATCAAGTACGAAAGTGAGGATTTTACGCATGAACATATGTATATCATTTTGGTCAATTTTTTTCTTCAAAATTGAATTTCTGAAAAAATCGATATGGCAGAAAAATATTGTTCAAGAATTTTCTATAGTCGGCGTCTGGCGAATGCTGTACCCGGGTAGATTTACGGGGTTGTGTCCTTGTGAACGAGCCAACGTAAATAATATATTTATTAGACACAATAGGGAAAACTCATTATTGAGCATAAAAAGGGGTTTTTATATCGCTCCTATGAAACGTGTGTCACGTGACGTGTCGAGGCCACGGCTCCAACAACGGGGATGCGTCTTTCTCTGGGTTTCGCTCGGAATAACTGGTTATTTTGTATTTTATGGGTCGGACGTTACAAGTTCCAAGAAATGCCAAATGCATTAAGAAAAAATTAATCGTTTACGTGTAAACAGCTGAAATAAGAGTTCACACGTGGAGAAACCTTTTTAAAGAGCATGCGCGTAAATCTACCTGCGTACAACAATCGCCAGACGCCGTCTAAATTTCTTTTTCATAAAAAAATGAATCCCTCTGACAACCATACTGTAAGAGTGCGGTGATGTTGCTTATTACGACGGTTTATGGATTATATATAATAACAAAAAGTAAAATAATAATATAAAAGATGAATACGGTTGGGGGCCACAGGGGGAGACGTCCGTGGGGAAATGAGACTGTTCCTAATTGATAACGGCGCCCTTTTATACGGGGCGCCGCGGCTCCATTCGGTTACAATACAATCTAGAATCATTATCTGAAATCTTCGAAAATTTCGAATTCGGACTCCCTCTAACCCCTTCTTCACTTTCGGCCCAACCCGGAACCATTTCTTAAATTTTCTTTTAAGAACCATTTCTTAAATTTTCACAATCGCAAAAAAATTTTGCGCAAAGACTCGAACCCAAGACACCCAGTGTACAGAAAACATGTACCAAAAATGCAAAAGGTCCCTCAGTCGTCCCCCTTCGAATTTGATTCTTGATTCTCGCTTCATATGTACATGTTGGTGTGCCACGTTACCACCTCTTGGCCCGAGAACTCGTTCATAAAGACCTATGTGAATAGTGTTATTTTTAGCTGACCCTTATGGTGGAAGGAGCCACCATTTTTAAGGCGTCACATAAGGAAGAAACAAAAAATCGACTGGTCGGCTTGTTTGTGAGAGAAGAAACAATATATTAATTTGTCAAAAATTCTTTTATCAATAACCAAGTATTTAATGATTAAAAAAGTGAGAATTAAACGACTTCCATAAAAAATTTTAATGGTCCGTCACCAATGTTCACTGTTTTGGCTCTTCTCATTATATTCCCCCCTCCCACTGGCACATATCGCCAATGCTGAAATTGCATATAAGAATTCGAGCATTTTCAGAGAGTCTAACTTTTTGGATTCTGAATCAAATTCGATAATCCAAAAAAAGTGAATGGTCAGAATTTGATGCTTTACAACGTGCGATGAACCATTTTACTGAAAAAAACGATCACAAGCGTGACAAGAATTACACTGATATTATTTTCTAACTAATACATATATAGGTAACAACGTCGTCAACTAATTGCCAATTTTTTTAATATTTCAATTTCAACTCGACTTATGACATTCTAATATTATACGAATTTCAAAGAGTAAATTCGAAGCTTTGCTCCAAATTTATCCGAAATTCTTCGGATAATAACCGTTCATTCAATTAGGATGCAAAAGCTGAAGGAGTAAATGTAAAAGCTTTGCCTTCAATTTATCCCAACTTTTTCAATAATGTTATAAAATTTACACTCCCCATCATCCTTTGTCCCTCTCTCCTATTCCAACGATTAGACAATAAAATGAAGCCTAAAAATGTTTTTGCATACATGTATGACATATGTCAATTATAATAATATTCGAATTTCAAGGAGTAAATTCAAAGCGTCGCCCCAAATTTATCCGAAATTCTTTTATCAATAACCAATTGTTTAATGATTAGAAAAGCGAGAATTAAACGACTTCCATTCATCCCAAATTTTAACAGACTTACCACTGAAAGAAAAAACAATTCATGATTAGAGAACAGTTACAATCGACTATTTGGTCGTTGTAATCTGAATTCCTCGCCATTGTTTTGTTTTTTTTGAATTTCGATAATAAATAGGATTAAATGCTCGAAATTCATTGTTCGAATGGGGCATTTCAAAAAACAAAACAAAATTTAGAAAACACGTGATTAGAATAATTGCTGGTATTTATTATAAAGCCTGGAAAATTTAGAAATCATCCCAAAATGCAAAATATGATCGTTTTCCCAACTATTTCGAAAAATATGAACTTTCTCACTCGGCAAGGAGGCATAGGGAGATCAGCTGGGGCAGTCTACGACGCTATGCCATGCTCAGCCTATAACCGAGGTCCGTCTCACATTGGTCGAAGTAGTGAAAAAAGTTCACACATTTACATTTTCGGAGAAGCTAACTATCTAGAGAGAGAAAGAAAAACTGCTTTAATAATGATCTGGACTAAATATAAAAAAAAAAACTAGAGGGCAACGGGAAATAGGAAGCATTACTCGTCTTGATTTTCTAGAGAGTGGACGACAATCTCAGCAAGATCTTCCATGAATTCTTCCTCAACAATATAATTGGGATAGTTTAAATAAAGAAGGTAAACCGAAAAATAAACAACTGATTCTCCCACCAGATGAATTTCTTCAACCCAAACGTCGTTAATGGCATTAATCATAAATGGTCTAGTGAGTTCGACGTTACGAGCACGAATGTCGAGAAGCATCGAGACACCATCGAAATCAAAAGTGGTACCGGCTGGAAAAATTATGGCATCGAGGTCGATAATGAGAGAAAAGAATAAGTAGGGTTTGGAAAGTAACGGATCGATGAGAACAGATTCTTCTTCTCCATTAAAAACGGAGTTTAAGAATTGTCGGACCTCATCAACATCAGCATTGACTCGCAAGCGGACGAAGTGCAAGTGAACCCTGCGCTTCTCTGCTAGAGTCATTTCACGGTGGTTGACCGGTGGAGATGGAGATCTATCGGACATGTTCACAAAAGGATTGGATGGAGTGCTGCAGATGGTAGCTAAAAATGCAACTGAATGAGAAGTGGCAGCTCGGTGAGATATAAAAGTGGGCGGAGCTCAAGTGACAAAAGTAGGAGGAGTCTCTGCCACGCCCACAATTAGTTGCGATGACTACAGTACCCCCAAACCTGTCTGCACCCTCCTTCCGAGACACATTTTTTACACGTTGCTAAATATTTCGTTGTCTAGCCAAGAAATGTGATCATGAAAGAACTCTTGAAAGTTTTTTTTTAAATTTCAGATATGCTGAAAAATTTAAATTAACATATAGATTTGAGTGCAGATATTGATCCAGAAATCTAATTTAATCCTGTTTCGAATGCAGCAAGATCACGAAGAAAGAAAACGAGCCGTTGTTCCTCTCAATGATGAGTATCAAAAACTGCTTGAAAGAGCTTTTGCAATGGCGCAAGATGTTAATCGACATTATTTCTGCACACAACAAAATAATGCGGATAATAAAAATGAAGCTCAGCATCGCGGAGCAAAAAATTTTATGAAATTGTCGTGAAAGTTAAAACAAACGCAATCAACTTTGAAACTTTGTGGTCAGCAATATCAGCAAATCATGCTGCGGACATCCTGGCAAAATGCTGAAACAAGTTCGAAGTGTTTGACTTGGCAATTAGACAACTAATGAGTCTCTAGTAAAACTTTCAACTATCTCAATGCTGCATTTGATCTAATCGTCTGAAGGTGTTTCAGAATTACAGATTTTCAGATTTATTTTGCGCCTTCCGCTGAATAGAAAAAATCGATATTTTTGTGTTTTATGATATGCTGATTTCAGGAAGAATGTTCAATTTAGCATAATTTCACGTTTCATCGCCAAAAATTTCAATTCAAAAAATCATTTCATTTACCACAAGGTTCAATTAAATTGTTGTTCTGGGCAAATTTCTGACTTAAATTCGTGTTTTTGACAATTATTGAGGCTTCTAGTAAACAGCCAATAGACCGTGGTCATTTTAAGAACCACTTGATGCTCCGAGAACACTGATTAGATTACGTGTCGGTACCGGAAAAGCATTCAATTTATTCTATCAATCGTCTAAAATCAGCTATAAAATGAGCAATTTTCACCAAAAAATGTGGATATATTCTGTTTATTTATCATTTCAACAAAAATGTATTTTAAAATGATTTGTTTAGAAAAAAAAACGAATTCAAGATATTTCATCATTCGACAAAACAGTCTGGGTTGAACTCGCGTGGACCTGCAAAGTGTAAAAAGAGAGATTCGCAAAATTTCGTGTCGTTCGGATCATACAAATCCCAATTTTGCTGTAAATAAATCCACTTACAGGCGTTGGAGCCTTTGTCGCCACCTCCGGAACCTTCATTTCGCCACCACAGAGGTACGAGTGATCTCCGTGACCACAACCGCAACATCAACTTTTTTCTTTTCCTCTTTCGGCTCACTACACTCTTCATTAGTTGGAATGGTAGTTGTATTGACACCACCAGATGTTGAAGTAGTCGGTTTGGGTGACTCGTCATCGGAAACCACCACGTAAACTGGTGGCGTTAGGCGAGACTCGTCCATTGAAGCATTACTTTCTTGCGGTTGATCCAATTGAATATCATCTTGGCTTTCTTCAATATGAGATAGAACTTCCGCGATTCCTGCAAAATTAAATACAGTGTGCTAAAAATTCTAGTGTACTGAAATTACGTTCTGCCTCCAACTCACGCGCAAGTCTCATCTTTGCGCGAACCGCATCGACTTTTTCACGAAGGCGTTGCTCATCAACATCTTCTGTGATAATATTTTCACCTCCATCAGGCCCTAAAAGAATGAAAAATTCGATTTGAAGCAAATTTAATAAAAAATGGTTGGCGTCTTAAAGATTTTGGCGCCAAAAATCATACAATAATTTCAACCTTTGTTTTTCATAAAATTGTCGTGAAAGTTAAAACAAACGCAATCAACTTTGAAACTTTGTGGACAGCAATATCAGTAATTCATGCTGCGGACAACATCTTGGCAAAATGTTGAGACAAGATCAAAGTGTTTGATATGGCGATTAGGCCACTAATGAGTCTCTAGAACTTTCACCAATTTCGATTCTGCATTTTGGACGGTATTTCAGAATTACAGATTTTCATATTCATTTTGTGGTTGTCGGCTGAATCGAAGAAAATCAACATTTTTGGCTTTCCCGATATACTGATTTCAGGAGAAATGTTTAATTTAGTTAAGTTTCAGGTTTCCGTGTTAACGTCTTCAAGTTTTTTTCTCACACGGAATTTTAAGGCGTACGATAGTTGAGTATATATGTTTTTAAGAGTGGTTAAAAGCATTGGAATCTTTTTTTTTTTTCAGTAGTATTTATTATCAACATTATTGTAAAAAAAAACAAGAGATTTTCATTAATAATTCATGTGAAGAGCTTAAATAAAATTGAGAATCACTAGATAATAATTAATGCCAAGGATATAAACAATTAGATTTGCATTGCGTTAATGTTGGTCACAATATAATTATGGATTAAATTTAAGCGAAACTCTGATAAACTTGTTCGATGGCGGTAGTGGGAGTCAATTAAGTTCAGCATTTCAATATCATCCTCGGCCCCTGGATCCGGATGTTCGGCATTACGCAACAGCACGTCCGCATTGTTATCTCGCACCTCCAACAGCTGGTTGATGTCGTGGGAGTTGAACTTCTTTCCGATGAAAACGGTGAAATGTCCGTTGAGGTTCGTCAGAAAGAAGTATGGATTGTACAAATAGGGATGAATCCGAACGGCGGTTTGCTTTCCATCGAAGAGACTGTGTAGAAAGTATTGGAGCATCCGCGGATGATCTCGCTTCTTGAACAATACGAGAAATTTCGCCACCGAAATTAGCTCGCTCTTTGTCATGCTCCTCACTTGGTGCGGTCGATACTCGACGGCAGAGGCATCATTCGAAAGAATTGGGAGATTAACGATTTCCCGGGGATCCATTTCTGAAATATCGAAAATATTGGTATGTCGAATTGAGAAAGAATACAGAGCAGTAAAGTAGAGAAACAGAAAATTTAAAAAAAAATTATTAATATACGCATTTCAAAAAGTAAACTCGAAGCGTTGCCCCACATGTATTCGAAATTCTCTTAATAAGAGTCAATTATTTTAGAATTAATATGAAAATATTAAATTATTCCCCCAGTTAGCCCTTTATCTGGCTAAAATTTGATATATTTACCTAATTCTTGAAAATTCCAATATCAACTCGAATTCTTCCACTTATATGAATATTTGAATTTCAAAGAATAAATTCAAAGCTTTGCCCCGAATTTATCCGAAATTCATCTATTAATTATCAATTATTCATTAATTAATATGTAAAAGTTGAAGGAGTAAATGTAAAAGCTTAGCCTTCAATTTATCCCAACTTTTTTTCAACAATATCATGAAATTGAAGGGAAAAACAAGAAATGTTAAAGAAGAAAAAAGTCGACGGACGCGGTGATTGATAGTAAATGAATGACCGGATTTCCCAATGGTTGGCTTGTGGGCGGAGTCTTCCTCTCTCATTGAACAGTCACGCCCCTTTGCAAAACCCTTTTCTCTCTCTCTATCTCTCTCTCTCACTGCAATGAGAATACGTTATCTATGCCCTGAAGGAGGTGCGAATAAACGGAGGCACGATTGAGGTGATTTACAATATCACTTGGAATTCGGCATTCTTTTGAAAGAAAATAGGTGAAATTCGTCGCAATATCAGCAACTTGATTTAATTGATGATACGACGGCAAAAGTATTACATTGCTTCAAAAACTCCATTGTTCTTGCACATTTCCGAAAACAAGCAACGATCATTGGATGGTCTTCAATACTCGAAATCGAGTGTCTTTATTTCTCATTTTGACCGTCTTGCGCGTCGTAGCAACCGGAAAATAATTAAAAAAAATTTGGAATTAAAAACGAGTATATTTATCATTAAGGAATACAATAGAATTTGACGAGGGGGAACGAGGAATCTCTAGTTGTTTCCAAAATGACCACGGTCTATTGGCTGTTTACTAAAAGTCCTCATTAATTGTCAAAAAAACGAATTTGTTTCAACAGTTGGGCTAGGATGTTGTCCGCAGCATGATTTGTTGCCTAAATAGAGTGATGTAAAAAAAAAAGAAGAAAATATACTTAATTTCTCAACACTTCCACTGCAAAAGTTAATGATTTCAGGATCACTGTATTTTTTTAATAGAAATTGTTTGCCTGCGTGTTCAAACGGATTCTGATTTTTAACTGCTCACGGTCTTTTTAGGTTGTGTATTTCAAATTTCCCCATTTGACCATTTACGGGCAAGATCAAACCACTAGCGCGCATTGATTGGTTGCAACGTCCTGAGGTCACGATTTTGTGATCAAAGAACAGATAAATGGATTTACATATTGCTCGTTTTCCAACAATTCCCCCTTTCGCGTTCGATTGCTTTCTTTGGTTTAATTCTCTGATTTTCACACATTTTAGAAATGTCCGAGTCTCACTGCGAAAGCTTCGGCAATCTCGCATTGTTCACGCTTGGGGAGTACGAAATTCGGCTGGTAAATTTCGTGAAATCATGAGAAAGTGAAAAAAAAAAATTTAGCGTCGCCTGACAGCTTCAAAAAGGAAATTTGCCAAGATCTCGGACAACGTTCAACTCTACCGCACTTTTCAACAGAATGTTTTCGAGATAATCAACAACTGCCACCGCAATCGTTGCGATCATTCGAAGCTCATGGTATGTATTTGAAAAGTTTATAAAAGCTGTTCAAAAAACCTAAACTGCAATTTCATATCAAAAGAGTCGATTTCAATTAAATTTAAAAAGGCAAATGTATTAGATTTGTGCCGATACCTGCCGATAAACATAAGAAACAGTCTCAAAATAAATTCACTTTTTGCTAGCTCTTAACAATGGTTTTTGTTTTTAAAAACTTGTTAATTGGAAAAATACTTTTTAAGTTAGTTAAAAATTTCAGAGTAAGGAATATAATTTTTTTCATTTATAAATTAAAATAACGGAATTTCTCTTCATTATCTGACATAGAATCCAAAAATTGTAAACATTTGGTAGAGTAGAAAGTAATTATCTATCGAAATGCATATATTCTTTTCAGTTTATTGTCAACATGTGCAAGGAAATTCTGATGGACCTGGAGAAAAAATCCAAGACTAACCTTCGGAAAAAACGCTCAAAATAATTCACTCGCCCTCGTTCCCCCTTGTCAAATTCTATTGCATTCCTTAATGATAAAGATACTCGTTTTTAATTCGAAATTTTTTTGATTATTTTCCGGTTGCTACGACGCTCAAGACGGTCAAAATGAGAAATAAAGACACTCGATTTCGAGTATTGAAGACCATCCAATGATCGTTGCTTGTTTTTGGAAATGATCAAGAGAAATGGAATTTTTGAAGCAATGAAATACTTTTCTCGTCGTATCATCAATTCAATCAAGTTGCTGATGTCTCAGAGCCGAAGAAATAAACTCACAATTTGAGTGGTTTCGCCTGTAATTTTAATTAGTTTCCGAAATTCCTAATCGAGCACAGATAAAGCGAGAAATTTGTGGAATTGAAGCTTTACGCTCTCTTATTATAACAAGATTGAAAAAATGTGGGACGAAAATGCCTACAGATGCCTACGGATTCAAGACAACAGTCATACAGCGTCTTAGGTTATTTCGAACACAATATATAGTTCATTGCATTTTCCAGCTTAACTACAATTTTATTCTATAGTGTATAGGGATTTTTAGTTTCGAAACACATAATTCATCATCAACAGAAATTGTTAATTAATCGTATTTCACACATTTTCCTTCAAAACGATGCCGAATTCCAAGTGGTATTGTAAATCACCTCACCTCCTTCAGGGCATAGATACCGTAATCTCATTGCAGTGGGAGAGAGAGATAGAGATAGAGAGAGAGAGAGAAAGGGTGATGAAAAGGGGCGTGACTGTTCAAAGAGAGAAGAAGACTCCGCCCACAAGCCAACCATTGGGCAATCCGGTCATTCATTCACTACGAATGTCAAACTGCCTCAACATGTCCTCCGAGCAAGAAGATTCGATCGCAAGAAGCATGAGGTGAGTTTTTTTAATCATTTCAATTTTAAATTGTATTAATCGAAACAAAAAAATAAATCCATTTATAATTTCAGTACTGTCGAAGAATTTTCGAAGCGTGGAGCGGCTAAACATGTAAGAATAAGACAGTATCAACTCATCAAGGTAGATGTTCTTCAGGTAACAGTCCGTAGAACGCGACAATTGAGGGTGTTTACCGAGAGGAAGCCGGTCGAGAAGAACGAAACGACCAACGCGAAGTTGGAGTCGAAGAAGAACGAAGAAGGGAAAGTCGAATTGAAGAAGGAAGAGATCAAGAAGGAAGATGTGAAGGAAAAGAAGGAAGTGAAGATTGTGGCCCCGGTTTCGCGGGTCGTTTCCCCAGTTCCTTCTCGACCGATTTCGCCGGTTGTTCAGCAACCAATCCCGGTTTCTACCCCGGTAAGTCGCGCTTTTTATCATTTAAAAATATCCCAAGCCCATGAAAAATTAAAAGTTTATTTAATTTCTAGATTGCTTCCGCTCAGGGAATGTTGAGGCAGCCAAATGGAGCCGGACTTATGTCGGTCATCAAGAAGAAGGTAGTCACGGACCTAATATTATCAAATAACAGACATTTTTCAGTTCACCGATGCTAAACGGAAGCTGTCAAGCGCGATTACACGCTTGAGTGGACGCCACCCACCAGAGAGTGAAAATTTTAGAAGTTTTTTCTTAGAGCCCATATTTGCTCAATTTGAGATGTTTTTCGAATATCAGATAGCATGCATATTCTAGTAAGAGTAGCTTTCTTTATAAAAGAGACATAACACATTTAGAATTTGACTGAATGAAATCTTGAGTAATATTAGTATTCAAATTTTTTTCATTTCAGGATGGCCCAGCTCACCAATAAGTCCGCCAAATTAATTGTTTTTTAGTTTGGTCATAAAGTTTTTATAAGTATACGCTTTTATAAAAACCAGAAACACTTCCATTGAAAAAATCAAAGTTGTCATCGAAAACGAATTGCAATAGAAGATGTATTAACAGAAAAAAAACTCATGCATCAACTGGCCATAATTGAAATGCTTCTTTGTCGATTTAACCGCCTCGATCCTCGAATTTATATATTATTAAAAGAATTTCGGATAAAATTGGGGCAAAGCTTCAAATTTACTCCTTGAAATTCATTCAAGCATTTATATTTTCAATTTTAATAACATATTTTTTTAATTATTTTATATATGAAGATAAATGGGATAAACTATTTCAAGTTTTTAAATTAATTTTTGAATATTCGGATAGTATCCGAGGAATTTCGGATAAATTTGGGGCAAAGCTTCGAATTTATTCCTTGAAATTCAAATATTTATTATATATTTTGAATCAATCAAGATTGAATATTAAATGCTTATGATTTAGAAGAATAGTTTATGAATTCTTAGGTGGATAGGGCAAATACTTAGACTTTGGCTATTAATATTTATTTGTTACCATTGGGAAAAGTTGGGAGGAAATTTTTATTGATGAAGCGCGAAAATCAGCTAAAATTCCTGAAATCATCATATCAGGAAAACCCAAAAATGTCGATTTTCTTCTGACATGAAGAAAAAAACGAAAAAAATCTGTAATTCAGAAATAATTTTTTTTCTACATTTCGAGTTTAAGAGAATTTGAACAAATTATTAGTTTTAGACATTCATTAACAATTATTATGTGATAAAAATCAAAATAACAAAAAATTCTTAATTGCCTGTCTTTGACGGAATTCATGAAAAATTATCGACAAGACTTTCACAAAAGGAGAATGGAGAAACACATTTTGGGTAAATTTAATATGATTCGGCCTTAAACCTCTGTGAATAGCAAGTTTCTAAGCTGTAGACGACACTCCTTCAACCATGTGAATAGTAGAAATTCATAGTTGTAAAAAATGAGCGAATTATTTGACGAAACGATGTATCTTTGCCATGCAAGATTGTTAAAAGGATGAACTGTCGACAACATATCGAACAACTGAATGCCATAAAAAAAGTGTGATGAAAATGGAAACAAACTACAGTGCTCCACAAAACTATATACCCACCCAAATTTTGTCGAATAAAACGCGAATAGCTCCAGAAATGGTTTCAATTAGGAAAATATGCGCATTTATTATTACTTTCATGTTACATTCACAAAATTCGACCAAAAATAACTATTTAAAAAATTTCGTCATTTTCACGAAAAAGTGGAAAAAATTTTCCCACAAAATGATATTCCCACTTCATTTTCTTTGGCGTTTTTTTTATTTTATTTCGTATTTGTTTTTGCAATTTTACTGTTCTTTAAGACATGTCTCGTGAAATGCCGCTCACCGACTTTGAAAAAGGTGAAATTGAAGCAAAACTGGCTCAAGGTCTCTCTTATCGGCAAATTGGGAATGATCTCGGACGCACACAAAATGTTATTAGCCGATATGCTAAGAATCCAGCCGCATATGGTCAGAAAACGTCGACAGGTCGTCCTTCACTGCTTTCGGACCGTGATAAGCGCAAAATTTTGCGAAGGGCGTCAAATTCGGCCGTGCAATTTTCGCGTAGAAACTTCAAGAGGATGCGTAGAATCCCAGTTCTCGACTGGCCAGCCTGTTCTCCAGACATAAACCCCATCGAAAATGGCTGGGGATTTATGGTGAAGAAGATTTACGATGGCAGCAAGTCTTTTCATTCAATTGCGGATCTCAAAAAGACAATCGTGGAAGCCTGGAAGCTTGTCGATCAACAGCTTCTTGACAACCTTTATTTATCAATGGACAGTCGAATTTTTGATGTAACACGACTCAATGGAGGTCCAGTTAATTACTAAATGTTCATTTTCTTTCAAATTCTAACTCTCGATGCTTTTTTCTGTGTTTTTTATCAAGTGGGTATATCATTTTGTGGAAAAATTTTTTCCACTTTTTCGTGAAAATAACAAAATTTTTAAAATTGTTATTTTTTGTTGAATTTTGTGAATGTAACATGAAACTAATAACAAATGCGCATATTTTTTTAATTGAAACCATTTCTGGAGGTATTCACGTTTTCGAGTTAGTCGACAAAATTAGGGTGGGTATATAATTTCGTAGAGCACTGTATATTAGCTTACCTGCTTTACTAATAGAAAAAAATACTTCGTTTTTATCAAAATTGAATTCCATGAAATTGTTGTGAATGTTAAAACAAACGCAATCAACTTTAAAATTTTGTGGTCAGAAATATCAGGAAATCATGCTGCGGACAACATCCTGGCAAAATGTTGAAACAATTTCGAAGTGTTCGACAGGGCAATTCAAGAGCTAACAAATTTCCTATTCATACTTTCAACAATTTCGATTCTGCATTTTGGAAAGTCTTCAGAATAACAGATTTCCAGATTCATTCTGCGGTTTTCCGCTCAATCGAAGAAAATCGACATTTTTTTGCTTCCCAATGTGATGATTTCAGGAAAAATGTTCGATATAGTCGAGACTTTTGTTTTATCACTCAAAATTTTGGAAGATCCTTAAAAATCCCTTTTAACATCACAAATATTCGATAAAATTTAAAAACTAGAATATGCAGTCAACTACATATTTTTGGTTCAGTTTTATATCAGCGAATCATGCTGCGGACAACATCCTTTGCAAATTTCTGAGACAAATTCGAAGTGTTCGGCAGGGCATATAGATTTCTATGATGAATTTTTTACAATTTCTAGAGAATCGCATTTTTTAAAATTTTCCAACTACTTATAGTGATTATTTCAAAACATTTACTTTTTAAACATTCATTTATTAACAGGGCAACAAAGGGAATATATAATATTATATATGCAAACATTCGATAAACTGTGGTCATTTTGGGAACAACTTGATGCTCGGAGAGCACAATTTCGCATGGGTCAACTGATTAGACGACGTGTCGATAGCGGAAAAGCATTCGGTTCATTCTCTCTCGAATATCGTCAAGAACCTCCTATAAAATGTTGATTAAAGTTCATAAAATATGCTATTTTTACCAAAACTTGGTCGTGATGGTGATTGCCATTCGAACATTCGCTTTTTCTACGAAATATTGCGCCGAATTGGTTGTGAACGTGCTGCAAATAGTTCATTGCTTCGTCATCGTTTGGAATTGTCGTGAACATCTGGAATAAATTTGAAACAACTGAAAATTTACGAAAGTTTTATAATTACCGTGTCTAGGGTTAATTGTCCAATTCGAACCAGCGCGGCGTTCTAAAATCTCTCACATTCAGGCTCCATGATGGTTAAATTAAGTCTGCAAACTAGAATTTGACAATTTTTTATGAACAATTGAGTAGAGACAAAAAATGAGAAGAAAAAACTTCTCGTTAATCGAAACAAAGAACGCTAAAAGGTTTAAATTTTGAAGAAAAAATTTAAAAAATCATTTCTACTAAATCTAGTGAATAAAAATGAAATTTTCAAATAGAATTGAAATTGGTGCAACTTATAGAGTTGAAATTGGTGCACTTACACCATCTGTGTGTTACGGTCATTCCAACATGTAGTGCGCTGCTAGGCCACGCCCCCAATGCTGGCTATTGCGGTTACAAAGAAAATACCTAAAATGCATGCCCTCACATGATATGCATTTAGTACTCAGCCAAATCCCAAATCGCCGCGAGACCTATTTTCGATTAATGGAATTTTTTCTCGTCCGTATTTTTTTACAGCGATTGTCAATTTTTTTTGCAGACACATCATGTATTGGTTTTGCGAAATGATATCCGTCGAAGAACGCCGAACCGTTAACCGATATAGCAGAGAAATGGTTGGATTTTCAGGGTTTTCTGAATTTTCAATATGTATTTCAGAGATATTTGAGAAGAGGCAATGCTGAAAATGCGCAGTTTTCCTATTACGCAAGAAAGTTCAACAATTTCTTTGGGTTTATCAGCCAAACACCTGAAAGATGCTCAATTGTCTCGACGCACACTCATCATTTTGAGGTTCACATTTATTTTCAAAGAAAAACAATTAAATTGTATTTGAAATTATCGATTTTAAGATAAATGTTTTCTGAAAAAGTCAGATCAAAAAAAACTTTCAGGAATTCCTCCCGATCCTTCGGGGATACCTCATCCTTGCCAGAACAGCAGTTCGATTCCCTATGCAAATCCTTGACAATGAAGGGAGAATCAGAGCGCTCCAATTCGAGCATTTCATTAATTGTCACCACTTCTGGGCGTCAATATTCGATATTCTGCATCTCATCATCTATCAGAGAGTACATTTATTTTTTTATGAAATGCTTACTATATAAAGTGGTTTTCAGTTTCGACTCATTTTTCCAGAAAATCAAGTTATTCTATCGTTTTGGAGAGAATTCAATAATCACACCCAACAACTTTTCTATAGAAGAGTGGAATGTTTCGTTGGACAACGCCACAACCATAATGGAGCTATAGTAGGGGTGACAATTCAAAATGAATGTTATTCTGTTATATTTTAGTTTGCAATTTTCTTACTCAACAAGACGTTCAATAATTGGAGGCTTTATGCGGATAATCTCGAGGGGGTTATAACTCCTTCCGCTGGAAACCAGGCGATCGATCAAAACAGGCAAAACGATGGGGACGAGGACGATGAATCTGAAAATGAAGACATGGATGTGTAAAATCTTCTTATCCCTACTTGATACCCTACAAGCTATCATCTCAATGTCTTTTTATTTATTGTCTCAATGTTCTAGGAAGAATATAGAGTAGAATTAACCATTGAAGGATCCCTTTTATTATTTTTCTAAGCTTAATTCACCATATTTTTGCACGACAGTAAAATTTTTCTCACATCATTAAACGAATTCCATTTAACAATGACGAGATACCCCCCTTCTTCCAATGTTTTTACCAATTACCTATTATTTTTTTGTTTTTTCCGGTGCTTCCATGTTGTTTTCGTTGTATTTCTGTGATCTAAATGCTTAGATTTTTCTGAAGAAATTCGAATTTCCCAAATACTTTGTTTTTTGTTGCATTTGTTGTTATTTTTCAGTTAATCTCAATGAAATGTTGTTGTTTTGAACTTTATTAGATAAATTTTGTTGTAGAAATCATTATACTGCAATTTACAAATTTTGAAAGTATCTAGCTTGCTGAAATAACATTTTTTACACATAACATTTTCAAAAAGAAATCAATTCAAATTTTCAAGGCAAAGCTGCGCAAAAATGTAGAGTGACGTTTATGCCTTTCCACGAAAAAAAATCACTACTTCGAACCGTTTTCAGTGCGTTCCAAATCCAATACCTTACCAGACTATAATACCCAACAGTTATATTTGCTAATAAGTTTTCAAATTAATGCAAAAAAATCCAATTTTTCTCCAAACCCGTTCATCTTCATTAGATATCATTCGTCCTCCCATCCAATGTTATTGTAATCATGTGACACCTCTAAAAGTCACCCGAGTTTGAGTTAATGAGCATGATTGTAGGCAGCCATCAAAGGGCTTCCCAACACGTGTGCTTTAATCTTCTTTCACGGCAACTGCGTGATATTAATGAACAAAATGGATGATATCCCGATCATTTGATTCTGGCATTTCTCATAGAAACGAGAGTATTTTGCCGTCCAATCATATCTCATTCGATGAATAATAAGCGTACGTGTTATCCGGCACAAAAGGAATCCACTCAAAAATATAATTTATTGATGAAATGCTCTTTATTTATCAAAAACGTGCTTAATCAATTAGTCATAAATAGTAATTAATGGTACTATTCAGCTTTTGCAAATAAAAATTTATTAACTGGTAAAAATAGCAACCATAGTCGAAAAACTTGAATTTAGAAATGTAAAATCGTTACGTTTATTGGAATTTTTTCAATTTGTTTAGCGATTTTTAGTATTTTTACTGGCTTTTCTAGTTTTGTTTTGCAAAACCTGCTCAGTACCATAAGAAAAAAAGCACATAATTTTACACAAATAAAAATTTAAACAGCATCATATCTGTTTTCGTCGTGGTCATTGTTAAGACGATCGATGACCTGGTTGGCATGGCGAATGAAAACAGACTGCAATTTGAACGAGTGTGTACAATTAATGCTAAATGGATTAATTACCATGATACCCTCCAGATCACTGTTTGAATTGAAAGTCTCGTTGATTATATCCCGGATGTGTCCATCAACGTGGCGAAGTATCTCATCCTTTGTCGCTTCTGGCATTCCATTGAGATGACCGTACTTCTGCAATTCAATCATTAAAATCCGTCTAGCTTTCAATTTGCTCACAAAAAGCATAAAGGCCTGACAAACGTTTAAGACGTGTATGCGGCGTTGTTCTCTTTGGTTTTGATCCATTTTGCTGAAAATATGGAACTTGTTCAATGAAAGAAGATTAGACTAGGAATGGTAATCAGAAGACGATTGATGGGGTGGCGGCGTGTACGCACCGTATGGAGAATGCAGATGAAATGGATCGCGTTGCTTGGAGACGAGCTCACCTAATAGACCATGGCATTCATGCGTAAGTATGATTTAGCAGAGCTGGATAGCATGGGATTTTGATAGGATTCAGATGCAATTAAATGTTGTCAATTTTTGTTTCATTTTTCTCTTATTCAGGCGCCATTAAAATTCCGTATAGCAAAATGGTCAAATAATTTAAAAATATTTGAATTTTCTAACAGGCGTGAGAACAGTGAAGAATGAGAAAGCCACAAAATGCTCAAAAAAATCTTCTCTTGCATTTGATGCGATAAATCAGCAAACGAGAACACAATATGCGGACTGCTTACATTGTCTTTGCGCACGTTGTGCGATTCGTATCGAAACAAATTGTTTGAATTTCTTGCCGCTTTTGATATGAATTCGCGTCGGCCCTTTTATTGGTTCATTTTTTATAAGACGCATTTCAGATGAAAAATGTGGAATTGTTCTCGATGCCGTTCAAATTGGAATTACAATCCGTTTGCTAAAGATTCGTCATTCAATCGTTATTCATTTTTTCAAAAATGTGGAATGTGAATAAGAATTTATATGACATCCCGTTCTTATATACAAGATCAAGATATTGGGTAATAACCATTACAAATGCTGTTTCCTACGATCAGACGGATGAAGGGAAAATAAACAAGACTCGGGAACGTATGATTGGAAAATAAAACTGTATGGGATCGGCTATTTTAGAAATATCCGACAAGGTGTGTTCTAATAAGAGCAATTTGGTTGAAGTGAGCGAATATCGACAGCTACGGCGAGTAAATGGAGCGGAGAATTAATTTTTATGAGTTAATTTAATTTAATTCATTAACGTGGCGGCAACAAACGTGAGAATGAGAAACAGTATGAGGTAAACAGTAAACAATGAAAACTATAAGATGAACAAAGAAGGTGAACGAAAAACGGGAGTCTGTAGACTAAGTTGGGCGAATCTGCTACATAATATGTAGATACATGGTGGCGGAAAATTAGATGATTTTTGTGAATAAGGCTTCACCCCCATAAGGGACCCGAGTCCCATGTGTTTGTATTATTTCTTCGATTAGATCTCAGTTGTTATGCGATTTGAGGTATTTGACATCGCTTTCATTCCTGCTCTCATCTTTATTCAATTCCGATGTCAACTTGTCAAATACAATTCAAGAAACAGGATTTTTGTTTTTGATTTATGGGAATTTTACAGCAATGAAATGGTTGGAGAACGATTATTATACATACTGAAATAATTACTATTTGATATAGAGATTCTCCAAAGATTAATGAAAAATAAATAGATTGTATGAAAAATGGCGAGGGAAATTATACTTGATTAAAAAGATTAATATAAATACGACTGATATATAATTAAAGTTTTTTCCTCTAGAACATACCTCACCAGGTGATATCCACTCACTGGTTACATACTTAAGGGAACTGCGCATATTTGGGACATAATTACAACTATAGCCAAAAAAATTCAGATAATTCTACATAGGTGTAATATTAAAATTGGTAAAAAATGGTTCCATGGTTTTTTGTTTAATTGTGCAATTTCAACTTTCAATAAATGCTTAAAAATTTCAAATTATTAAATTATTTTTTCGTCAAGGCTTTGCTTTTGGATATTATTATAAGCAAAATAAATAACAAAGAGAAGTTTTAAATGTCGAGTTTTTTCGCTGAATTTTCTAGTTTCTTCTATAAAATTTAGCTTGTAGAAATTTGTTTTCAAATAGGAATATGAACGACAGATTTTGGTTTAAAACGATTGTTTTCAAAAAATGAGGATTGTTGATTGATTATTCGGTCTGCTTGAAGACCTTCTCGTACGTCTCCTTGTAGGCTAGCGGCCATTTGCAATAGTAAGCGATATGAAGATAATTCTGCAATGAAAATAGTGATAGCTGGTTGCTCTTGCAAAATAAAAAACATACAAGTTTCTTCATGGCCACCTCCACTGCGTAGAGAAGGTCCTCCGTGTAATCCGGGCGTTTGTTCTTCTCCTTCTTGACGCAGTCCTCGCAAAATGGCACCAGCACCCATGAATCATAGGTGCGGTCGAGTGTGATGATCGCGCATTCAACGGACGCCTCATGCCACGCGCAGAACGGCTTCCCACACATCGAATCGGACATTCGGTCAAAGTAAAACTTGCGAAGGAGAGCATTTGGGTGATATTCCTAGAAAAAAACCCTTTAAGAATTCTTGCTAGAATATCTAACCATTTTCTCTTTAGGTTTCAAGTTTTTACGCTCTTCTTCGACTTTCTTTTCAGCTTGCGCCCAATCGAATTTTGACACAGTTTCTAAACACAATTTTTTATCAAAATGCAAAATTCCACAATCTCACTTTTTGGGTAGTAATTTAGAATTTTTCTTTTCCAAAACGTCCAAACATCGTTTAGAAGAGTATCCTGTCGCGCTTTTACCTGAAAACCAATTTGTCTCAGAAAATTTCCGTCAATTACTCTCCGCAAAACTTATGATTTTTTGGGATTTCATGATTACCAATTAATTTTGTGGTCTTTGACTAATGTCGGCTATATTGTTGATTTAAAACATATAAGAGTCACATTCAAAAAGGGTGTTAATAATCAAATTAGAAAGTGCAAATTGATATTCGAAACCCTCTCATTATAGTGTCTAGATTTCATAATATGCCCTACCCGCATGAACGAAAAATAATTGCAATTTCGAATTACTCACGGTGTCGAACGGATAGAGAATCTTGACGGCATGATGAAAATCGGAGTAGAGCGGATCGCTGATGTCGTACATGAACGGGTCTTTGATTCAGTCGTCGCAGTACGATATGAAAGATTGACTTCCGCAGTAAACGTTCTTTAAGAAGACGACTCCCTTGACCGGCAAAGATTTGTGAAATGGGCACATCATTTCGCCGGAAACTTTGCCAGCTCCAACCAAGGAGTGCGTTTTTGGAAGAGGGGCATCCTAAAAGAAACGATGAGGATTCTGTGACTCTGCTGTGGATTCTAACCTTTTGTCCCCCGGTTAGCGCATCGAAAAGAGCATCGACATCGTTGCAGGTCATTGAAATTAGATTTTGGTCTTGTGTACCTAGAGCATCAAATTTGTTTAAAACATAGAAATTAAAAAGAGAAAGAAGCGAGCGGAGCAGATGAAGCTGCCTGCTCCTTCAATAGAGAGACTGAGAAGTAACTAGACATTCATACAAAATGCGCATATCTCTGCTTTCCATAAGCGTATAAGAAGCAGAATGAGCAATACGCCACACATTGTTCATATAACCATGGTGATAATAATTTTGAGAATGATTAGAATGATTAATACGCATGATTAAGATTTTATTATAATGAAATATGCGATGAGCTCGAGAAAAGCATTGAAGTAGACAGAAGAGTGTCGACAACCAAGTACAAAATGCGTATTTGTGAAAAATATATTCAATCTATTGAAAAGAAGCAGAATCGCAGAATCGCTGCGTAAGAGCCGATTCGAAGTTTTGCGATCTCCTTCGTCAAATTTAGTTGCAAATTTGAATTTTGACACTAATCTTTTTCGGTTCTAAAATTTGGCAATTTGTGAAATTAACAAAAACACCGAGTTCCCCTTTATTCTATAGGCTAGTCATTCGCTTTATTGTAATCTCTCGTGTTTTACGGGCAGTATTGGACTCATACGGCATTAGAGATGGACTTGAGCTGCGAGGATTTTCGTCGATCCGTTCAAGAAGAAATCGATTACCACATCGAAGAATTCGTAAGTGATTTTATTCGCAAGTTAAAAATCCCCGAATAATTTTAAGAGAGAAGTCCTTCGACAGGGAGATGAGTACGTTCTCACTGAGGAACTTCGCCCTTTTATTGACGAATTTGTGAGTGTCAAGGAAAGATTGGATACTTTGAAGGCGGAATGCCTCAGAGGAAACTGTCGTCATCTGCGTGCATCGGTTCGATTGTTTCTATTTTTTGAAATGTTAATATGTTAGGCAATGAAGTTCATTCAATTTCAGTTCCTCATCGAGAAGCTTGACAGAATCCATGTGCGTGCTTGCAACGTCATCTGTATTTTCCTCATTGAACGGGCCAGGGCCATGGGATTGATTGAGCAGGGATTCTATCCCTCACGAGAATAACTAAATCCAAATTCTGATCTTTAATTGTAGTTTATGATTTAATTACCTTTTTTACTGTGACGGGAAGTGGCCCACCTACCACCCGTTTTCTAATATTATTTAACTTGATATACATATTTTCATGGAATTTATTGACAATAAATAAATGTACCACCAATTTCTTTTCATTCTAATTGTAATAATGCTTAATTATTCAAAATTTTAATTGAGAAACACGATTTTCTCTATAGTTTAGTGATATTGTGTATATTTTTTATTTTCGCTAAATCTTATATATTCACTTTTTGCTATCCCTTTCAAAAAATCGGCCTTTGGCGAGTAAGAGTTTCTAGTGGTTACGGTAGGAGTAGGAGGTGTCGTACGGTAGGCGGAGGAATGTGACCTAGAGTGGGCGGAGTTAGTGACTTGCGGATTTAGTTACCCTAGTTACTTGTGCGCCTCATTTCTATCAAAATGGTCCGTGTTAAGACACATTTGCGTGTTAAATCGCAAAAATTTTGTGATTCTCTCACCCGATCCCTTTCTTCCCTCATGAACGGTCATGTGCTTGTAAGTTTTTTGTAATATTTCAATATTTAAAAAATATTTTTAAGGCCGAATTCGACTTGGAAATATTCCCTGAATTGACCACCCTTCACAGAAAATTCAAGCAGCAGATGCGGTGGATCAAGTGGAAGCTGTTGAGCTGCAGACACAACTTCAAGACCCAAGGTTTTCATACCCACTCATGGATGAATGTAGGCGATTTCACGTTACAGTAGCAAAAAATTAATTTTTTAAGGACAATGTTCGTACGCTGCGAAATATTCTTCGCCAACTGAGACGTCAATCAGAACATCTTGAAATGCGCGATCAGCAAAGATACGTTGCCTTGCAAAATATCCCCTGCGAGAATTATTGGATCGACATGTTCCGCAGAGTTGGACTCTTCGCATCTGAATATGTAGGCAGATTAATATAAATCTGTTAATGAAAAATTGAATTTTCAGGACCAGTTGCATTTTGTCGCCGATATGAGAACCAAGTTCCTCTTTGATCAATTCAATTTGCAAGTGCGCGAGATTTGGTACGCAAGGACTCGTTGTGGATTCGGAAATGACTCGCACTATTTAGCTGAAGTGAGCTATTTGAACAATTTTTATTTTTTGGCACAAATTTTGCGAGTATGAGAATTTTCTTTTACAGATGGCCTATGAGATGGCGCAGGCTTACTTTGAATCCTTGAAGGAATACATTCGCAATAATGAATCATAAAAATCTTGGCCCACGTATTATTCTTCCTTTAATATTAACTTTTGTGTGGCAAAAATTCTCTTCCCAAGAATTCCCTGTTCTTTGCCTTTTTGAGCCGGTTCGGGAAGTGGACACCTACCACCCGACCGCTACAATACTAAAATCCTAGAAAAATGCATTTTGTACTTTTTTCAATCCCCATGTTCAACCAAATGTATATATGCGATTTTTATTAAGTTGCCTTGTTTTTGTTCCTTTCTGTTCACTGATTTGTTACCGCATTCTGAAGATTTCGGTTTTTGTATACGTGAAGTTGAGAAATGTAGTTACTCTAAGAAATAATGAATTTCATATATTGATATGTTTGAAATAAACATTGAAATTTTAATTGTTCTTTGAAATTTAAAAAAGAAAACAAGGAGAGTATAGAAAAGGAATGACGCTGGTCGCGAAAAAAATTCGGTCAACGATGAGAAGTCTGATACCAAAAACGAAAACTACACCGATGGATCGCATCTATGCTAGATATGATTCTCATAATGAGGAGTCTGACAGGAGACCATTGAGGCTGATGAGGATGAATTCGAAGACGACCCCAAGAGGAGGAAGAAGAGTTAACTCTGAGAAGACGACAGCGCAGTTCCTTTCAATTAAATCTATCCAGTTTTGTTGTTTTTTTTTTAGTAAATAAACTTAAAAAAAAAAAACAATACCGATTTCTAAAAAAAGATTTAACAACAAGTAACTCAAGTCAAATCGATTTTACCATGTCCCAGCGTCGAGATGATTTCGACAAGCAATTCTTCTTCAAGTGAAGTGATTCGAGAACGGATTTGTCCAATATAGAAAGAACGGATTTGTCCAATATAGAAATCGTTTATTTAATCAGGTCCAAAAAACAACGCGTATAACTATGTACACCGAATGAAATAGTGATCCTAGGCTATATTCTCTAGGGCTATTTTAAGTACTGAATCAATTTTGTACAAAATTAACATTTTTTTGCATGAACGCTTCACCATGCTGTTTTTTTTCAAATATCACATCTAATCAGCTCTGAGTATCAAAAGTAAGCAATGAATGGAATGACTTGCAAAGTTTGGCAGTTAAAGGTTTTCGAGTATTCATTCTTTTGCGACTCCTCCACGTGGATAGTACTTCTCAATGGTCGAGTTTGGAATACGTTTAAGCATTTCACGTGGGAAGATGCGAAGAAGCTGCCATCCGATGTCAAGCGACTCGAAGACGGTTCTGTTTTCATAGTGTCCTGAACAAGATATCATTAGGAAAAAAATTTGCAATAAAATATTTTACCCTGGGTGATGAAGTTCTTCTCGAACTTGGTCAAGAATTCGAGGTAGAGCAAATCGTCTGACGACAAAGCTTCCTCTCCGACGACGGCCTTCATAGCCTGCACGTCTTTACCGATGGCGTAGCAAGCGTAGAGCTGATTGGAAACATCGGAGTGATCTTCTCTGGTCATGCCCTCTCCAATAGCAGATTTCATGAGACGAGAGAGGGATGGAAGCACGTTGATTGGTGGGTAGATGAGACGATTGTGAAGCTGACGATCGACGTAGATCTGTCCCTCAGTAATATATCCAGTAAGATCAGGAATTGGGTGAGTAATATCGTCGTTAGGCATGGTAAGAATTGGAATCTGGGTGATGGATCCGTCACGTCCTTCGACACGACCGGCACGCTCGTAGATGGTGGCTAAATCAGTGTACATGTAACCTGGGAAACCACGTCTTCCGGGCACTTCTTCACGAGCAGCAGATACCTGAAATCAAACACAATAGAAATTCTTTATGGATTTAATTGTGAATTACCTCACGGAGAGCTTCAGCGTATGAGGACATATCAGTAAGGACGACCAACACGTGCTTCTGGCATTGGTAGGCCAAGAATTCGGCTGCGGTCAGAGCAATACGTGGGGTAATGATACGTTCAATGGTTGGATCATTGGCCAAGTTAAGGAACAAGCACACATTCTCCATGGATCCGTTCTCCTCGAAATCTTGCTTGAAGAAGCGAGCAGTTTCCATGTTAACTCCCATAGCAGCGAACACGATAGCGAAGTTGGTGGCCTCGTGCGGTTTGTCCGGAAGCTGGACAAGACCACCTTGACGCACAATCTGGGCGGCGATTTCGTTGTGTGGCAAACCGGCGGCGGAGAAAATTGGGATTTTCTGAACAAAAAGGCGTCTCTTATTAAAACTCTAAATATTTTTCTCACCTGTCCACGAGCAATAGAGTTCATCACATCAATAGCGGAGATTCCAGTTTGAATCATTTCCTCTGGGTAGATACGCGACCATGGGTTGATTGGTTGTCCGTCGATATCCAAGAAGTCCTCAGCGAGAACTGGTGGTCCCTTATCGATTGGTTTTCCAGATCCGTTGAAAATTCTTCCAAGCATATCCTCCGACACTGGCGATCGCAAAATATCTCCGGTGAACTCGCACACTGTGTTTTTCGCGTCAATTCCCGAGGTTCCTTCGAACACTTGGACGACGGCCTTGTTGCGAGTGATCTCAAGAACCTGTCCGGAGCGTTTCGTACCATCAGGAAGAGTGATTTTGACAATTTCCGAGAATTGCGGGAATTTCACATCGTTGAGAATAACCAATGGTCCGTTGACACCAGAGACAGTTTGATAGACTTTAAATTTTCTATATTTTCAGTTTAATCAATTTTTGCACTTACTAAGTCTCGGCTTGGTGGTGTAGTTACGGATGACAGCGGTCTTGTGACCAGTGATTCCCTGATTCACGTCAACGGCGGCCATTTCCTAGAAGTTTACACATAAATTAGGTATAATCATCAAAAATGTGCAAAAAAATTGCGAAAGCTCGACAAAACACAACAAATCGTGAACGATTATCAAGAAAATGGTCTTTTGTCGTAGTCTTTACACGCTCCAGCGGGACGAGATCGCGTTGAGACCATGGCAAACGGCCCCCTGATATAGCTCCATAGAGCGCGTTTGCATAGAGCAATTCGCTTTTGGTTAAAGTTTCTGCATCATTTTTTCGTGTATTTCACGAGATGATTGGATTTTCATGAAAAATTGAATTTCAGCGTCAAAAAATGAAATTGAAAAAATGAATAGTCGGAAATTGGATGTAGCGGTAACATCAAGTACTTTTTTCAATAAAATATCAGAAATTAAATACTATTTGAAATGCAGTAAGATCTTAAAAAATTGTAAGAAAATTCAACGCATTTCTTTCTTTTAAATTTTATATTGCATTTTATTCACAACCTTTTAATAGAAAGATATAAACATATAGAGTGTCAAGAAATTAAATTAATATGAAAATCAGCTTTGAGATTATAATTACTTTGAAAACCAATTAGAATCAAATTTTGAATTTTAATTATACTCATTTTTTCATTTTTCCAGGCGTAAATCAAAATAAAAAATAAACTAAAATGAAAACGGGCTATAAATGCAAGCTAATAACGCCGTATCATCGATAGTAAATGAAGCTGAAATTTCAGAAGAAATTTTGAGAGATTTTCTTCGAAAAGATTTAAACAGTTCGAACAGTTGCGACAAAAGTCTTGAGAGTTCTTCGAGAAATATTCAAAAAATCCTTTAAATAAAAAAACCTATTAAGCTAGCGAAAAGAAACATGACTTTTGTCTACAATTTTCGGTGAAAATGAAAAGCATTCGACAATACTAAAACTCTGAATAATCCGAAACAATCCATCGGGTACTTATGAATAAGCGAGAAAAAAATTTAAAAAAAATTCCTGTTTATGTTAGAAAAAAGTTGAAAAGATAAATTAAATTGTAAAAAATCCGGAAATAATCAATAAAAATGTAATTATATACAAAATCAAATTAAAATTTGATCCCATAAAAATCCTTGGCTTCGTCGGCTATTTTGAACAGCTTGAAGAATTCATTCTGAAAGCCATACGAGATTATTGAAAATAATTCAAAACAATGTTTTATCTTTTTAAGCGGTTTCAAAAATTTAGAAAAGTCTGAAATAGTTCCAAAAAATTTTACCATTAGTGCGAGATGTTGGTGCCTATCATTCATGCAGTCTGTTCGTAGCTTAGAAATTATCTCGACTCGGCTCATCATTTCTTTCTTCTTCTTCTCATTAAAGTCGCCAGGAAAATTGGATAAAGCTGCCTGAAAGATTAAAAATTTTGAAATATTTTTTTTCGATAATTACAAATAGCTTCTTGAATGTTGGGTTATAGTATTTTGAGAATTTGGCCCATGATGAGGAGCAGTCATCCAGAATCTTGCTGAAAAAAAAAGAGCAAATCCGAAATGGATAAACTAGTTGACTTACATCTGCATGTCTAAAAAGAATGTGTTATCAGAGATGAACGTGTGAAGAGCTTTTAAGCATTCCTTCAATAAATACCCTTTTCAAATGAAGTTCAAATTTGGTTTTTAACAATTCACCTCAATATTCTCATGATGATGGTCTCCATTCTTACATCTAGTTCGAAGCTCTTCAAGTGTCTCAATGGCGCGAACAAGATTCGGTTTTATCTTCATCGTGTTCTCATTTTCGTATTTCATGACGCACTGAAAAATTCAAGTCAGAAAAGAAAACCATTCAATATAAATTTACAAGATTTTGAAAGATTGGCTCGAACTTGACGGCGAAATCTTCCCAACTCTTTTTGCATTTGTCGTCCATACTTCTGAAGCAAACAATATTTATTGATAAATGATCGATATTTAGTAATGGAAAGAGAAAGGTGGAACTTTAGAAGCATATTCAACATACATTGATATTAATCACCCTTAATAACAATGCTCTGAAGCAATTCGTACACTGAACAGCGTATAACCTTTTCAAATGTCAAAGTTATGCGTTTATATTATTCGAAATTGCAATTCGCATTGCGTGACAATTAAACAATTCAAATTAACACATAAAATCACATTGTTGTCATTGTCCGAAATAGCGACCAAGATTATAGCGAGGCGAGGTAAAAACGGAGCACAGACTCCTTAATTCATTTGAATAGCAACGCTGTGGAACACCTGCAGTGGTATCCACAACTCGCCGAGCCGTTGGTAACCAAGGCTATTGCGGTTGCGTTGTATTTATTCGTCACTCCGAATATAATTGCCATCGATATTTTCCTAAAATGGATGTGTTTTCATTTGAGGGATAAATTGAATGATTTCGATTCGATTTTGTATGAATTCCATTGAAATTTAACATATCAAATTTTTCAATTTGGGCTACCTTTGACAATACATATAATCAATATATGTTTAAATAAGAAGCCGGTTGAAGGGCGAATATCTGAAAACGCATTTTTCAACTATAATAATCTGTATAAATTAACTACTGCAAGAAAGTTAGCGCTTTATTGCATCTATGTACTTAAATCTTATGGACCAATTTCGTCATGAGAAAAAAAATAAAAGAAATTTTTTTGTTTCCACAACGGAATTTTGAGAGAAGTGAATTTTGAAGATAAGTGCATTTTCAGTAGATTACAATGGCAAGATGAGGATTACTTTTCTCGTTATGACAATATTAACATATTTCTCCTGGAATGAAGGATTTGTTGCAAAATTTCAATCATTCTGGAAACCGCTCAACATAATCCTCTCTTGGAAATTTCGAAAAAGTTACCTTGAAGATTTGAAAAAAATTCGACCTGTTACAAATAATTTCGCGATGGTTTTTACAGTAATATCAGCTCTTATTTGAATTACTGATGATTGAGAAACAAAATTTCTTCTATATGTTATGAATATAAATAAAAATTTCTATAATACTCTTATTGAGAAGCCTGATTTGGGGAAAATGCTTTTCTTTTTCTAAGCCCTAGGCGGTTTTTTTTTCAATCTCATTTGAGACAACGGAGCTATGAAATTTTGTAGATTCCATTATATTGTCATTGTTCAAAAATTATGTTTTGGTCCTAAATAGTCATTTTGAGAAACTCTCAAAAACAAAAAAATTTTGAAAACCGAAATTCAAATTTTGTAGCCGTCAAACTGTGTACAAATTTTCAGACTAGACTTAGTAAGACCTCAAAATCAACGATTAGCCTTCTCACTACTTTTCATTCTTACATTCTTAAAATTCAAATTATCGCGTTTATTTACATTATGTGTTTGCTTATGAATCATAATGAGACAATTTTATGAATATTCATAAATGTTTAACATAAAACAAAAATGAGTAATCTTATTCAATATTGTGATATGGCCATTTCTGATGATTCAACGCTTTGAGTCATGGCAACAGCGGTACGCTTTTCATCAAAATGTTGCCGATTGATTAATAAACACATTTCTCTGCTCATTATATTTCAATGTCTTTAACTTGGTTTATACAATAAAGAGGCCAAAAGCTTTACCATTTTTTCGCCACGTTGGCGATACACAGTCACCAATTTCTAAAATTATGTAGCCAACTGATAGTAAGTTTGCTGGGCTTTTGGTTAGATTCTGAATTTATCATAATTTCAGCAACGCCAATGAACGCCTTATAAAGGTGACCCTCCGTTTTAGTGAGTATTTATTAGTGATTTGATTTATTAGCTTATTTTATACTCTATAAATATTTTTCAGAGCAGAGATAAAACAAAATTTGTAACCTGGTAAGCTAATTATAATATTCTCAAACAACCATCTTCAAGTTTTATAGGTTGCGCGTTTCCTGCATCAATTTTAAGGAAATTCTCAAAAATCACAGAGGATTGTCTGTGATATCAATTTTTTTTGCTGATATTTTATTAAATAAAACATTAAATTAAATTTTAATATTTATTTACATGGCAAAAAAATGAGAAGCAATGAATGCAATTAATTCTAATTAGTTATGCTAATATTTTAGTTGATTATACGAAAAGAAAACTAAATAAGTCTTATAAATTGAGATTCTGGGAAATTTCGAATGCGCTTCTTAAAATAAAGATTTTCAGTGCCCGAAAATAGCGCCATTTTCTCATTTCTCAATCCCTTTGATGTTGTCGTCTCTCTAGTATGAGCCCGCTGGCTTGTCTTTGAGTATATGGGCACCAGCTTGATATTAATTTTTCCTTTACTACTATAATCTTATTCTATCCTATTCTTTTTCATTAGCTTTTTGGCTTTCTGGTCGGTTTTGTACCCTGATCAGTGGAAAACAAACTTTTTTTCACGAATTTTTGTTCATCTCTCATTTGTTTTTTTTTAACGTGTCAAAGTGGATTTTATTCGCATTGTAAATTCTTATAACTTTTGTTTACAGCATTTTTTTTGGTGTTCTCTTGAACCGGTTCTCAATTACGAATTTTTCGTAAATTTTAGTATAATCTCGTTCGCTTCTGACGTCATATTCGGCAACGAGTTATTCGTGATTCTTGTCGTGAACGACTTCTTTTTTAATATATTCTTTCAATATATTTCTTATCTGTCGTGAGCAATATTCTTTTTTAATATATGAAACACGTCTTATTGACATCTGTTGTAATACTCCACATGACAGTATAAAAGTGGAGCAGAAGTACTGGTTGTTTATTTGTCCTTATAATTTTATGGTTACGTTAATATTATTCAGCTTTTTCTTTCTTTACCATAAAGGTTTAATTAGCCAAGTTTATGGTGCACACACATACACGCTCATACAATTCTACCAAAAAACATAAAAATGTCATAATTCAAATATTCTACATATATCTTTCTTTTTTCAATATGCCTCATTTTGACATACAGTATCACATACGTGACTCATAATTTTCATCTCTTATATTAAATTGTACTATCACCCTTTATTAAATTGTTAAGCTAGCAACCTACATCCACCCCCCGCGTTACCATTAATAAAAAGATAAGATCGCATATAAAAACCACAAGAATACACACCTTCTTATGCTCAATCCTATTCTTTCATTTTTTTGCTTATTGATTTCTTTTATTTCAAATTAAGTTTAATTACCCAAGTTTGAGGTGAACCACAACACCACTGAACCAACGACCCCTAAATACAGAGCGTCAAAAGTGTTTTAACTACTTCAAGTTCGCTTAAAATGTAAACTGTGTTCTAGAAAAATCGCTCGAAATAAAAAAAAATAGAAATTATATTTTTTTCAATTCAAATTTTGGTGGTATCATTTATTTCAGAGAACTGAGAGCATTGTAACCTGGAAGCCTTTGAAACGGCTGAATTTTTTTCAACACATTCAGATGGATATACATTACCACCCGCTAAAAATTATTGTTACACATAGGCCTAATTGAACTTAATATTGAACACCATTTGGCTTATAATCCAAATGCTTCTCCTTTTTTTTATTGTATGTTCTTCTAAATAAAGTTTAATCACTGAAAATTGTTAGAGTAAGTTTATTGTAAGATAAATTAAGAATATGGCATTGTATACTACTAATATCTATTTTTCCTTTTACTGTATAAAAATTTAGTTTGGATGTTTTTCTATTCGAATTAAACGAGATGAGATTTCGATTTTCTTTTCGAACTTGCCACAAATTCAAATTCGACGCGACGCGCCCAATTCCGTCTCACTTCTCAGGTTTTCTCTCAACAACCGAATGCTGTTATCAATTTGGAACCAGCATTACTCGTCGTATGCGCCTCTGCCCGTTTCATGGTCTCTCATTTAATGGTGCCGATTTGTCGCCGTCGCTGATACCAATCGCGTCGACCTTTCCATTCGAAAAAAAACTGCGTCCTATGCAATGGGGGGCGTCACACAATGCCACTCTCATGTCTTTTGCTTCGCATTCGCATTCACCTTCTATTCGCTGCTTAGCTGCCTTCGTTGCAAATATTCTGAATGGAACAGAGAAATCCGGAAGAAGATGAACTTCGAAATAATGAGCATTAATTACGGGGGTTCATCTTCTTCAAGAGTTTTCTGGGCCACTTTTTCGGGATGTAAGTTTGCCATATGCCTTTTTCGAGTATAATAATGGGGAACGTACCGCTACCAAAAAGGGAAACTGTTTTTTTAATGATAAATGACTTACTATGGATCAACGTAATCAAAAACAATTGGAGAAAACAAACTGAAATTTTTGTTGTCAGATTTCCCAATGGGGGCAATCAAGGTTGAAAATATGGATGCTGAAGTGACGCGAGTCTTAAAAATATTCTCAAGCATGGGAATTATAGAAGAAGACGAATTCAAAAACTTGTAAAAGCTATGAAACCTTAAAATGGTAGGAAGTTTTTTTTTGGAATATCGAAAATGCAATATAAAATTATGCTCCAAAAATTTTAAAACTTTTAATTTTTGAGGCAAATTGGATTTAGCAGGCAAACTGATTTAATTTTAAATTGATTTTACAAAGCGTAGAACATCAAAAAATTACTGCAAAACACAAATTCAGAATGTTTTGCACTACTTATTATTCAAGCGAGTTTGGAAAGATCTAGAAAATTCCGTACTCTTTATTTTTATTCAACATTTCTTTTAATTTATGATATCCGAAAGGCAACTTTTAGAAAATTGCCACACATTGTTAAAATTTGTGGGAAAGCCGTTTCCATTTTATGCAATTCTTTTAAAGAAATCTTGATTTCTTTTGAACCTAAATTCAAGTATATCAGAAATCTCATTTTTGGATTTGAACCGCATATTTTCTTAATTTCGGGAAGATTTGATGGTTTTAAAACAATCAGGAAAATCATTCGTTTTTTCAACGCCAGATGCGCGGTCGGCTTCAATCTCCCAAATACGAAATAAATTATCCCTCTCTACGCCCTCGTAATGGTGTGTAATTTCCCTGAACCGCCAACTCCACAACAGATGTCCTTCACAGAAATCGAAAGAAGACATTAAAAATGGCTGGATATTTGTGGGAATTGAATACAGCTGTGGCCTATTGAAGCCGAACGATTTCATTATTTTAAACGTCGATATCTCTTTCGGATTAGATTTTATCGATAAAAAGAAACAAAACAAACAAGATTCGAAGATAAAATGTAATTTATTGAATAAAATAAATGGAAACGACTTAACTATTATCATATGATGATTATTCTTGTATAATTGCCACACCAAAAATTATAATAATATCCTAATTGCAAAGAACACTCAGTAAAGGCTTGGCAAAACATGAAAACAAACGTTGAAATATCATTGAAGAGATTAATACATCGCTTGCTGCTTTCTTCGACATAATTAGGCATTAAAAATTAGTCGACTCAAAGTGAGCTTAATTATTTTAATGAAAATGTTCTTAAATTTTTTAGGTTTGCGGATTTCACTCCAAGTAGGAATACCCTTAAATACGATTAAATTACTTTTTTGTCCCATTGTATTATCAATGTCTAAGTCGCTTAAAAACGACTGCATGAATTTATGGAAAATGCAGTCGCTTAGAAAAAAAAATTAAAAATTTGAGAAAAATGATGAAAACCTTTTTTGTATGTGTACTAACCAATGTACTTGCGTCTCAACTAACTCCTTGCGTTGATTTTCAAAATGTACAGAATTCAGCACTATTTGTGACTTGTTAATTTTTTTATGTTTCTTCCAAAAGGTTATGATAGATTTAGAAGAAAATTTAAATGTTTATTGCCATTAAATTTCACAAAAATTTTGAACTCATTATGAAAAAACGTTCTTCAGCAAATTTAATTCAGATAAAATTCCATACTTTTCCGTTTTTTTTTTGCATTATTTAACATCTGATTCAAAACCGGAATTCTTGATACCAATACAATTATTATACCCCATTGTCAGCCACCAAGGAAGACAAACGATCTTTCCGTTATCATCGCGTCGTATTTAATTATATGCGCATGATTTATTCGCCTCTGGATGTCACATTTTCACTTTTCATTAAAAATAACATCGCATCAATACTAGTCAATTCCTTTTTTTAGTTGTCTCAATACGTTGAAAATAAAGGCAACACCCAAAAATGGGGGGGGGGTTCGAACATTTTGAGAAGAGAGAAATGATTAGTAGTTGATTGAGACGACTGCCCACTACCATTTCTCTTTGTTATTCTCAGAGTGTTCTTCAATTTACTTTCGATATCAATGACGTTTAGTTGTTAATCATTATATTTCACTTCATTCCATATATGAACATCGAAGCAAATTTAACATTTCTTTGTTGTATAAGAGTGTTCAGTTTGTCCCATACCAAACGTTTCTTTCTTACTTTTTTGCAGTTTTTATTAAAATTGGAAAATATTTGATATAAATTTGATCTTGACATATAACAAAACATTTTTCAGTGTCGGTTTTTTTTTGTAAAAATGCATTGTCAATTCTCCTCGCTATAATTTTTATTTCTTGATAACATTTCAAGAAAAATTCTATCTTCAAAGAAATTGTTGAAAATAACCTATCTTCATTTTTTCATGTTCATTTTTCAGACCCCCGTACCTGAATGCATTAATCGATAATGAACTATTTAATTATCATCTCTTTTCTTTTATTTCTCAACAGGGGCATTGAACCAAACTGTTTAAAAGATGATGAAGTTATCAAGCGAATCAGCAACACCGCGAATTTGGAAGAACGTCCAAGGCCAAGTATGTAACATTGGAATTCGATATTGACGATTTTTGGGTTAAAAAATTTTTTCTTCAGAAATCAACGAGATTCTAGAAGTTTTTATAAGCTTAGATGTCAAATCATTTAGCTTAGTGCCACATTCAAGTCTTCTTGAAGTTGATGGATATGTTACTCGAGAATGGAAGGTACAAAAAATATAATTTAAAAAAATCAAATTTCACTTTAGAACTCACTTCTGGAATTTTCTCATTTTTCCCCCTGCTCGAATACAATCAATATTCGTGAGAATCAAATAAATCTTCAAAATCTTTAATAATTTTTCTAGCATCCCTAAAGTCCACAATTTGGAAGCCTCGACTTGGATTTTCGAATTCCCACGAGTTGTCGCATCATTCACACAGTAGCACGCTTCATTTGAAAGACGACGGCACATTGATTCTCAGGGAAAGGTGCTCGTATGACAAAAAAAAAAAGAAAAATTTCCAATTCAGAGTCAAACAAAGTATTCCATGTAAGACCAATGTGAGCAGCTATCCATTTGGAAACACAACGTGCACATTAATATGGAAGAGCGAGGATTTGACGCAATATGAAGCGCGCATTCGATGGAAAATGATTGAAAGCAATGGGGTTGAGGTGAGATTTGAAATAAAAAACTTTTAAGAATTTTTTAAAAATAAATAACCACCACGATTTCAAACGTACACTGCTTAAAATCCGGTCTAGTTAGATTTTAAGAGTAGTTCAAATTTTTGGATGAACAATTCCAATTTTTGACATTTTTTGTCTTGTTGTAAAAAACAAGTGAATGACTATCCTTATTTGGAAATGAAAATTCCATAAGGTAATGTGCACATTTACGAAAACAATTAAAAAATGCCCTTAACCAATTTTTTTGTTCTTAAAATCTGCTATCATTCAAAATGTAAGATTTGGGAGGATTTTCTTCATTTCAAGTTTTCAAAATTTGTCCAATTCATGGATTTTCATTTAAAGTTGTTTGAAATAATTTTCAGGCTGGCGACCTTCTTCTAAATTCCACGTCAACAAGTCATAACGACAGTTATACCCAAAATGGAGTTATCGACAAGCTTACATTGGTGTTTACCTTTTATCGTGGACCTAATAAGGTTCTTCTTCTGTTCTATCTCCCATCAGTAATTTGTTTGGCAATCTCGTAAGATTCCAAAAAAAATATGTTAATCAAAATTCTTAAATATAGATGGTTTTCAATTCTACTGGGTCCAATGGCAATAACGAGATCGTTGCTGAACATTGGAGCATTTATTTGCTCAATGACTGTCTACATGGCTAATTGGGCAGGTCTCCCAGAAACAAATGGAATTACATCAATCGGTAAAACATTGTCGTACTAAAAGAATTTGAAGCTTCACTTCTAGATATATGGCGCATTTTTTCACTTCTGTTCATACTAGTAGTGATTATTGAGCTAGTGATTGTCAGCTTAATGGCGAGTTTGGGAAGATCTAGAAAATTCCGTCGAGGGTCTAGCAAACGAAAGGGCAAATATGAAATTGAGCCGGTTTACGAAGAGCTCAACGATCTTCGGCAAAGACAAGCCAGGTGAGTTTTTCTTGGGAATTCAGTAACCAATGAAACTTTGCAGACAAACATGCGGCTGCTGCCGACTCTCGGCGCTTCTCCTCGATATTTTCAGCTTCATCTTCATGGGAACCGTGTTCGCCGCGTTCTGCGTCGCCAATTATTTCGAAATGGACCTAATCGTCTCATATTTGAACAATGTCGATATAACCAAACTGTTTTAAACCTTCTTATTCGTGTTTACCGAAATAATTAATGTTGCGACAAGCAAATAGAAAAGGCGTCCACAAAATAAATTTTATTTGAATTTGAATATCAATTGAGCAAAACGGATATTGTTAATGTCATGTTTCACACAGTAATCGGTGAACCAACAATAAATACACATAAAACTGAAAACGGTATGCGAAAAATATAGGTGGATGACTTTAAATAAGTCCTTCAATATTTGGAGGTTGAATATATGGTAAGTCTTTCGCGTGGTGCTGCTCTTCGAACTGTGGACGATATTCACCGTGATTTTTCCTGCGATCACGAACGTATCGGAAGATGAAGAAGCCAGAGATTGCCAAAAGAAATGTGCCAACCTGAAACCAATAATTGTCATGACAATTTATCCTTCTATGATAAAAATATTGTTATTAACAATTTCTCCCTGCCTTAAAATTGTACAACATTCTCTCACATGCACTATTAGCAAATGATATGGAAAAAGAATTATCCAATTAGGAGAATGTATTTAGCTATTATTTACTTTTTAAATTTTTGTGGCCAATTTTCATCTTTCATCGTCAAATTTTTGATAATCAAAGTATATTTCCAACAAAAAAAAAAGAACCACGTCATAAATATTCATCGCTCTTTTCTCTTGAGTCTTCCAAAAATAAATAAAACTTCTTTAGTGTTATGTTTTGCCTTTTTTTAGCCAATTTTTTGTTGTTTACATATTTGTACGGCAGTTTACACATACTAGCCAAAAGAATTTTTAATTTTGGACATAGAAATTGTATGTGTATAAGTAAAATTTTTTACAAGGAAAGCTTCTAAAAACTCGCATTGATAATCATTTTATGTTGCAGTATGAAATTTTTATTTTTAACATTCTTCTTGTTCATATGAATTCAATATTGACACTTCTATTATGCAAAGTCAATACAATAACCTGAAGCCCAACACATACCACACAAGCAATAACAATTCCAGCGATCGCTCCGCCGCTCAAATTTGTGCCGCCCTCGTTATGCGTTTTGTCCAATGTGATTGTTGCATTATTCTCTATTGTACTATTCGCTGCCATTTTTCGGTAAACAGCTCGCCGGCGCGGACATATACAATAGATATCGTCACCGTCCGAACGGCAGCCAGAAATAATCGGCGATAGGGTTGAAGCTGAAAAAATGAGAATACACTAGGGCGACTGGAATTGCGAATGAACTGTTTTCAGTTGGACAGGAATAAAAACAGGAGGGGGGGGGTAGAAGTGACGGATGAGAGGCAAAAATGGGAAACGCGATCTAGCGGAAACGACACTAAAATAGATGAGGCGCGAAACTCTCTGCGGTAACATACATATATTCATATGTACACGAAAAATTTAAGCGAAATTCGATATGTTTATGATATATATGGAATAAACAAAACATCACTATCAATTCCCACAAAAATTGCATCATTGAAAAAAATGGAAAAGTAGGAGGAGGAAGGAGTATTTGAATGAGTCAACCCCAAATTTGATAAGGATGAGCAAGAATAAAACATTTTTGTGTGTTGAAATTGATGCCCTAATGGGATTAGGACGCTTTCAGTTAATAAATAGAAATGAGAAGATTAAATATGACAGGAAAATTAAGCGTTTGAAAATAGGTTAGAGGAGTTTCAGACAATTTCAGCATTGTGGTCACTTTCTTGGAACTACATATGGTAAATTGATAATAAAAAACATTTTTTATCAATTTGTGTTTTCTTTTTTCGAACGACAAGGATTGAACGATTTTAAAATGGTTTTGACAGGTTTTCAGGGAAGTAGATTCTTCTTTGGATTGAATCGTAGATCGATGGATTCTCGTTGCCTATTCTAAGGGGACAACGCAGAGAGAAGAAAAAATTTTTTGACTCATACAAATTTCAAACTTTGCTCAATATTTCTCTATAAATTTTCTTTTGGTATGATTCTTTGGTTAGAAAACATTTAAAAAAAATTTTTTCGTTTCCCAGACGAAAACAATTCTCACCGCTGCAATATTGTAATTCAACATTGGGGAAAAATGCGCATGTAGATGAGAAAACGGCAAAAACTAACAATAAGAAGGGCAACAATGGAACAGAAATTAGTCATCACACGTTTGGTTGGCCGCCTAATCAATGGAAATTGAACATTATTTACTCAATCGAGAGTGAGTACAAAGCGGAGGCAAAAATCGATTGATGTTATTATCGATATAAGCCAGCGGGGGTAAGAGGAAGAAGACTTCATGCAAAATGCAAAGGTAAACAATGGCATACACATAAAAGTGAAAAGAACGTCAAACAAGTGAATAAATACATTATAATGCAATCATTGTATTGTTTGTTGGTTCAAAATTATTGGCCTTTGAGAAAATCGAGAGGAAATGGTTTTAATACGACTCATGTGGGCAGAAATTGATGACTCGATTGGCATTTTCAACAAAAAAATTTGTGTTCTGGAATTCCAGCGTGATTTCGTATTTTCAACGAATGATTCCATAGAGGTCAAACACCATTATTTATATCGCCAGTCTCCCAAGAACCTTCAACAGAACATCGATTACAGTAATTAAAGGATCAATTCAACATTTATTTTTTGAAGAATAGTTTTTAGTTGAAAAAGGTGCTGGCTTATCATATGAAAACTGGCAATCGCCTTCTAGACAAGCAGGATATTATATGAAGCGAAAATTACGGGCATATGCAGTGAGGAAAAAAAAGTGAAGCTGACAGATTTCAGCTAAGATAAAAATCAGAGAGCTGTCAATCATTATGCAATCCACTTCAACGAATATTCTTTATATATTTACACACCTACGTATAATTATGAATGCAAACTTTGTGAGCAGTCAAAACGACGGCCTTGAACGCGATGAAATTGATAACGTCAACTTCTCTTGGGTGTGTCTTTCCACCCGAGTTTTGTGTTGCATTATTTAGCATAGCCAAGAAAAATGTTGCACTTAAATTGAATAAAATTAATGGTTACTGTATGTTTTCCTGATTTTTCAATGTGATACACAGGCGAATAAAAAGAAAACTGGTAAAATGTGAGTAACAAAAATAACATCATGATGGAAAAAAAGGGAGGTGTCATGTGTCGATTAGGACCTGAACAAAACATTCATATTTAGTAACAAAATGTATAGTTCTAAAATGGGAAACCCGAGGGGAGGAGAGATGAAATATGAGACGGACAACACGGACCAAATATAATGCAATTTCATGTTCAAGGTGTGTGTATGGGTGTTGTGCCACACAATAATAAAAGGCAATGCGTACGGACAAGCAAACCAAAAAAATGAAAGGAAAATGCAACAAATGGGATTGTTTATAAATGAATTGAATTGCCAACTGGCGGCATAGTAAATATATGCACGTTCTAATATGCAAATGAATTATTTGGCAACCAAATGAGGTTTTAATATTTCATATCATAATAGATTTTTGGCAAAATCTACCTTATTGTACAAATTAATATTAATTAAAAAAAAATCTCAAAAAATTGCTACAACATTTTTTTCAGCATTTTGCATAGGGGTTTGCGATTTTCTTTTTTCATAACATGTATAGCGCCATTTATTCATGCAATGAAAAAATTAAAGAAATCCATTTTTTTATTTAAATTCAGGGTCACGACGCGAAGTCGATAATGAAATTTTTTACTTTTTATTCCCTGTGTTATTTTCCCGTATTATTTTTTCGAAAACTTTGAAGAGGATAATGAGTAACGGATTGACGAGCAAGGAAAAAAACAATTATTGATATAAGTACTGATAATTTGACAATATATGCCTATTTTTCTTCATTTATATACTCTTATTATAATAAATAATGATCTTTGTGTTGATTCGATGCAGACTTTGCTCGATGACGATTCTAATGAACCTTTAGCGGATTCCCAAGAAATATTTCAAAGTCAAAAAAAAATTCCTAAAAAGTAAAAAAAAGCGAATAATTACAGTACCGACTTCGCGTCGTGACCCGCTTAATTTTCTCGTGTGCCTTTGAAAAGAAATAGCAGAGAATTACGATATATCGCGTCAATTTTTTGTAATTTTCGACGTTCTTTCATAGTGAATTTAAATGAATAAAATTGATCCTTTTTATTGCATGAATAGGTCCGTAAAAAATCCAAAAACGCTCAGAAATAGGAGAAAAAACGAGATTCCAAAAATAAATGACATAAATTTCCCCCCCCCCCCTCGCCCATCCTCAATTTGGTCTCCAGCAAATGCGAGTTAATCAGATAACCGAAACATACATTTTTTTGGTGGTGTTGTTCTACTAGACCCGGTTCTTTTGCCCTCGTCACCAAAAAAAAATTATTTTCTACGGTAGAATTCCATCAATTCCAAAACATTAAACGATCATGCGACGAAAAAAAAACGAGAATGATATGGGAAGAGATACGATTTTATTGTATTGTCTATGTCAACTTTCCCAACGCTGTGTGGTTTAACACTTGCGTCAGAAATGAAAACGAGACGTGTTGCCAGTGGCACCGTGTCAACATACGCACCAAACATAATGGTAAAACAATCGGCACAAATTTTGCTGCTGCTCGCTGAGTGGATAAGTGCGACCGCGAGGGGGGAGAAGCGCGTATGAGGACAACAATCAAGAAATGAGGACTTGAACCAATTCTCATGTGACACATTAATCCTAACTAGGCAAAAGAATGCAACACACCAAAAAAGGAAACACGAAACATTTGGGCGTTTTTTTATTGAAAATGTTGAGTGGTTGTGAAGTGCTTGAAAAGAAAAGGATGAAGTGTTAGATCTTGTGAATATGATTTTTCAAAATGAAAGAATGATTCTAAATTGACCCATATATGGAAGAAGAGATTTACTGTATTACGGTTTTCTAGATAACCTTTTTATATGAATTTTTGCAAACTAGACGGAATTGTCTTTTTTCATTGAAAAAACTCCCAATTCATACAAATTGAAAGCATTGAATAGGTCCATTGGCAGAAAATTACTTTTTTTTCAAACAATTTTTCGAGTTGAGCAAAATCCGGAAAAATACGACAGTCGAAAGGAAATATCAATTGGAAACGTGAGAAAATGAGAAGCCAATTATTTTTTCGCGAAAAAAAAGATCGCAATGCGAACATCTCTCGAAAAAATAAAAGAAAAAGCTTAGCGCGAGGCGAGCAAATAATTAAACGAAATTCAGGTTGATATTGAGAAGGGTATATTTCAACCATCTAACGCAAAAAAAAAATGCCGGCCAAAATGATATGAGAACCAGTCCAACAATTCGAAGAAGATTCGCGCGTGGGTGATAAATTTTATGAATTTGTCTCGAAAAACCGGCAATGAATTATTGGTGGAGGGGGGCAGCAATTAAACAACAATTGATGAGGGTATTATAGGAAAAAAGAAAACCTATTGGCAAACATTTGAAAATATCTTACCGATGAGACAATTGAAATTGCGCCAACCGAATATGTGGGAGCACGGCGGCGATTCGGCGCATGTTGTTGCTGATGCCAACATCACAAATGGCTCCGAAATGCAGTTCATTCTTCTTTTTTTCTGTCGAAAAATGCAGACAAAATTGAATTTTTTGTGTCGAAATGGTTTTGTCGAAGCACTTGAGTGTCTTCTTGTACAACAATATTTGTCGGTTTTCTACCTTTTTATCTTATTTCAAGTGGTCACTTCATTTTTTTACCATCTGGTCAAGAATTGTATATTTTTCAATGAAAAAACGCCAAATTCGTTTTCTAAAAACCAGAAAATTGTGAACATACATATCAAAGTTAAGTGCTGCTTTTTATGGTAATCGAAAGCGTTAGAAATAAGTTGGTTGGAAACTACAACAGGTGAAATATCGACCCTTCCAATTAAGGGGGTGATGCAGAAAATATAACAAAAAAATTGTTAGACATTTGTTTCGCATTTATTCAGATTATTTCTTTTTTCTTAAATTCTATAGGTAGGTCAAACGAACGTAAATATTATATAATTAAAGAATTTGGGAAGGAACGCATTGCAATAAAATTAAAAAAACTAATTGTCTATAATTTCAGATATATGTATAACAGTTGAATGTCAATTTTTGAAAACTTAAAAATATGAAGTAGTATTACATTAATCTGGTTAAATCATTTCCTTCAGAAATAATCTGATTTTTCACAGCGGTTGGTAAATTATAGACAGGGTCTCAGAACGTTTCTCGGGCGAATCTCGATTTTCCCAGGAGTACATATGCAATGTATGTATAGAATTGACCTTTCCAATACGGCACAGAATTCATTTGTTTATTCAAGGTAAATCGTCCGATTACTTACTTATAATGTTTTTTTTTGGCTTGTTCAACTGTTTTGAAGTACATGAAATTTTTAAATTTATGATCTCAATTTTGAAGGTCCAAAACACATTCATTAGAAAGTTAATACAATCTTACCTAGTTCTATTAGCTTTTTGAACTTTAAAAATGAACCCTGGGCTAATCTGCACACCAAATAAGAAAAAAGTTTTTGATCTCGTGTCCAACATAACAAAAATTACGTCTAGAATTGTTCAGTGGAGAGCAGGGTGAGAAAATTTGCACGTTATATGGAAATCCATTGAAAATTATAAGCCTAGACATGCCGCCATTTATTATTTCTGAGAAACCTATCAATAGGCATAAAGCATAAATTGAAGCTTATCATTATTTAAGATTTCTTTTTAGATGAGTTATCGCGTTTTGTTTTATCTATTAAATTTTCCCGCAGCGAATCAGACAACAGAAATTCTCGCGCGCGCGCTTGTTTGCACTATTTTGGCTCTTTTTTGACAGTTCACGTTTCCGAAATTCGGTCAAGCGTCAATAGATCCTATTTTGGAACATTTCGCTTGACTCTCCCAATTCGATAACCCCCCATTATGGATCCCATCGCTGAAAACACACTCGATATTCTTTCGCAAAGTGCAGTAGTCCTAATTGCCCTTGCGATTCTGGTAGCCATTGCGTTTGTCGCATTTAGGTACGTGAGAGATTGATTCCAATTTTCAAGGTTAAAATGATATCATTCGATCAATTTCAGCTGCGATTCTCAAAAAAAACGAAACTTTGACAAAAAAGAATCGTTAAATCAAAATTTTTTAGAAGAATTTCTGGATAAATTGTGTTTCAATGCATATTTTTCAGGTGCATGCAAAAATCGTGATTGAATCTTCGAATATGCCGCAGGTGCCACCCAATCATGTTGTATATACATAATTTGTCGGATTGAATGAAAAATAATAATAAATTGAATTCACGCCCTGTGGCAATGCCATTTATTTCTTGCAACTCCGTGTTATTTTGAAAAAAAAACATGTTGAATCAATGTAGACCAGGAAATTATATATTCCGTTTGTCAATAGTTAATAATTTGTGCTTTGTTTACCGCTAGCGACTAAAAGTAACCTAATGAGTAAACAAAAAAATCTTTTTTTTATAATTCTATTTTCTTATATTTCTATGGGAAAAGTACAAAAATTGCTAGAAATTCGCAATCTTTGGACCATTTCATTTCGTCTACTTTTCGGAAGCTCTTAGAACAATATTATTGTCGGTTTTTTCCTAACGCGTTAAACTTTGGATGATTTTTAAGCCTAAAAAGGTGCATTTTGAGCGGTTACTCATTTTATGACACTTTTCGTGAATATGCTTGAACCGTGCGAATTGCTTACTTAGGGTTCCTTTGGTTCAAAGTGAAACTTCATTATTATTTCTAATACCTTAACAACCAAAAAAAACATCATTGAATAGAAAAAGCTGCCTTTAATTGATAGCTGTGAGCCTTCAATTTTTCTATTAAAAAAAATGCCGAATCGGTAGACATTTTGAGTTTTGAAATTACATGCTTCATCGATTTCTAGTAGTTTATAAAATTTATTGTGAAATTTTTGAATTTCCGCTTTATTTTGCCATTGGAGTGATTTTCTTGCCGGAATGCTTCCGGAATGTTCTAGGCAAATGCTTCATGTCTTATTACTCATTTTTCCCCCAGCATTCTCCCACGTCTTTAAACTGAATGAATCATTTCGCGAATGATTCCTAAACATTGCTGATGATTGAGCAGAAGCTGCTCATCTTTGTTAAATATGTTACGTAGATCGTTCGGAATTAGAAGCCTCATTCCTCATGGGCTATAATTTTGAGAAATCTGTGTTACATTCGGTTTTGGCTGCCATGGCAACAATAGAAGTCCCACCAGTTGAAAATACGTATTATCCATATCAGTCTCAATTTTTAGCGATCCATTCAGTATTAATTCCCATATTTGTTGGCTTCATAGCCGTTTTCCATTTATATAACATTCTCATCGTCATCCGTATTATTTTTCCACCAATTTCGACAATTTACTAAATTTTTTTTTAGTTATTGCGCCAATGCAGATTCAGCATTCGAATGGTTTCAATCCGAATGATACCAAATATAAATCCTGTTGTTGTCATGCGAAAACATTCACAATAATTCTAGGCATTTTGGAAATATTTTCGATTTGCTTTATTTTGGTCACAGGTACTGTATTCCCAGATTCTTGCTTACTTTTTCTTCTGAAAAAAAAGGGCTGATGACGTTAGACATCAATTTGTGCTGAAAAAGACAAGAATGGCGCTTTTTCTTTTCAAGATCAAACTTATCAATCTTACCTCTTGATGAAATCCTCTAAGATTGAAAATTATGCTGTACTCATGGATTACTGTAGCTCTAATTGTCATTTAATCTCATTCTGTTTACAAATTACCATCAAATTGGGTTCTCTATGGAATAGAATATAGAATAAATTAAACAACAATTTCATCAACCTTATATGGAAATCAGTTTTCAGACAATTACCAAGGGGGAAACAAATTATAATTTTGGTTAACACAATTTCCATTTCTCTGAGTTAACTTATATATTCTGAGTTAACTAAATCGTCTTAATCAAATTTCTAGACACGGGAAAGTCTAAAATTCAAATTTGAGCAGTAAGTAAAAATTTGTGAAAATCAGTTTTTATTATAAATCATACATATAATTTTAGTGCTACCCGATTTGAACATTCGTATATGTGAAATACATTCTTCAAATGAGACCACAAGGTTCAAAGTTCGCTTTTATTTCAGTTCATATTTAAAATTTTCAGCTACAGCACAGGCTCCGATCGTGATGACAGCTTTCACAAGTTTTTATGTAAAATCAATATATATTTGATAATATGGGCAATATTTCAGGTTTCAAAATTTCTGTCGTCTTTTTAAAGGTTGCTTTTTTTGCAGATACTTTCGATAAATGTTATGTTTTATGGAATCAAAACGCTCCGATATCTATTATTTTGTCCACATTTATTTTTTAAGTAAGCCAATCAAATATCATCAAACATCTTGAATATGCTATCATTTCTAGAATTTCTACATTACTGAGTCTTGGCGCCATTTTGGGCTACCTGATATACTCATTGGCGACGCGAAAATTGAACGTGGTTGGACCCTACGTTACCGGTGTCTGTCTGATTTCCTTGTTTCTTGTCTTCTGGGTTTACACACTGGTAATTGCTATGCAAATTTTGCCGCACCTGATGCCAATTTTCAGTATATCGAGATTCGATGCGCACATTTTATTAAGAGGTCAAAAGAAACTGGATTCTCAATAAGTGTCGCGAGACCGATTGGGCCTGCAACGATATCCTTGAGTGAAAGGGAGCCAATTCCAGTAAGAAGCCGATTTAATTAACAAAAATGAGGAGCACAATCAAATTGATTTCAGATACCGATAAGGCAGCTTCCACCATTACGCCATACCAGACAACAATATATTCTCAACGAAACCAATGCGAGTAATACGAACAAGCTAGATGATTGATATCAAACGTGTATATTCCTCATAAACTATTGATTATATACCCAATTTTCATGCACATATTCGTCTCTATTAATTTAAAATCACTTTAAAGAAAAGGAAAACAATTCATGGGTATGTTTGATAGAAATGCTGAATTTCAAAAAATTGAATTGCGCTGACCGCCATCCAATTGGTCCCTTTTTTTTTTTTGATTATGCTGTTTCACTTGATGAGAAAATGCCAAAATTCTCTCAGAAGAATTTTTCCATTCAAGACGCAAGGCGACAATTCGAACGATTACTCATCGTCAAATTGGAACGAGTGGAAGATTAAGATCTGACGGAACGAAAATTTCAAGGTTCATAAACATTCTCAGAATGATATTGGTTCAGTAGATGTTGGCCTTTTTTCTTCCTATCTGATCTATCAAATTCAATTTGTCTACATTTTTTTTTCAAATATTTGATAATGCATGTATCATTTTGGAATTTCATAATTAAAGTCTTGGAAGAATTCTGACAAGGCAACTCAATTAAATCCCTCAAATTCTCAAATATTTCCGAATCATCATTCTGAAAATTTTGAAAATAAACATCTAACCAGTTCACTTTATCAATTCTACAAGAAGAACTGTAAAAATTCCATCGCTATCTTCTCTTGTCCTTCTGTTTTTTTGGCGATTTTCGCAAACTTTGTTATTTTGTTGACAAGACCGAAAACCGAACAAATCGTTTCAATGAAATGGGTTGGCAGTTTTAAGAGTATAAAAATGTTCACTTTCACTTTCATTATTTTTTGGTTCTGATAATATGTATATAAAGGTTATACTTTCAATTGCCAACAGTCTATTTGTCCCATTGAACATCTAAAAACTTCCGTTTGTTTTTTCAGAAAATGCTTCAAGCCGAGTTGACTGAGACTACGGTAATATTAAGAAAAATATATAATGTGACACAGTAATATTTTAGACTGAGGATAAAGTGCGCCGTTTGGTCTCATTCTTCACCAGCACTCCATATGAGGATATCGGATTGTGAGTATTCCATTGGCAACAAGAAGAACATTAACTGCTTTCAGGGATTTTGATCTCACTTCTGGAATCGATAAAGCCGATCCCGATTATTTCTTCACAATGATGACGGATGCCATCAATATGCATTTTGGAGTTGCCGCCGAGCAGGACCAAGTTAGCGAGTCAAAGACTGTCCAGGACCTCGTTGATATCATCAACAGCAATAATGTTTAATTCGTTCCTAATTCGTGATGCAATAAAGTTTTGAATGCAATGAAAATGTTCTCAGTAAACTGGAAATGTGTGGTTGCTATTATGAAATTCAAAAATATGCTTCTCTCCTTTAGTTATGAAAAAATTCTCTTTTTTTCCGAGCTGTCAATCATTTGAAGGTCAGACATGGCCAATCGAATTTGAAAATGTTTTATCGAAACAAAAAATGTTTACTCGTCGGAACAAGACAATTAAAAATTAGTGAATTGGCATAATGTGGGATGTGGGGTTATTATGAATAAACGACTATCACAGCGTTGCCTTGAAGTGTTTGTTTTTTTATGAAAAATAAAAATAACTAGAATTTTGATCAAAACTACTACAGAAATAATTTAAATTTTTTTGCAAGTTTCTGTTCAAACATGCATCATGGAATTTTCAATGAAGCTACCCAGCTGAAGAACCTTGATTGGAAATTAATGTTTTAAACCCCATGCGCTGAAATTTGGGCTGTGGTGCGATCGATTCCCTCAATAATGTTCATAAGAAGAAGTCTCGTCCTAAAAGAATAACTGTATTTGAAAATTGCCTTAAATTGCTTACTTTTCTAGATTTCCTGCTGACAAGTGTTGCAAAGCAGAAATTGCATAGTTCTTGTTCTTATCGTTGATTCCAGCGACGGTTTGGAGGCTTGAAAGATATTGAGCAGCAAGTTCGCTAGAATTCTCCTGAATAAGTCAATTTCACATTGAAATATTTATGGTGCTTACAGATTTGATCCCATAGTCCATATTAGCGGCTGCTGGAAATGCGTCAGTTCGAATCACACCAGTAGTCTTGTATCTCAAATAAAATATTTAATGATAAAGATAATAAGATTATTCCTTCTAATACCTCTCAATCACGTCCATCATTCTCTTTTTCGGCCCGTACGCAATCTTCATATCATCAAAATCCTCTTTTTTCAAATCGAAAAAGACATTCAAGTCGATATTTTCGTTTTTGAATTGCTCGCTGTATCTCGACAAATCCATTTCTTCAAGCAATTCCGATAAACTTCTTGGAAATTTTGCGGCGCTTTCCGATTGCGTCGGAGCTTCTTTTCGAGCGTTCTGCTCTTTTCGATGATCTTTGATCATTTGAAGAATTTTGCCGTGCTCATAGGCGAGCGCGGCAGCGTCTTCACCTCGATGATTCTTCACGTCCACGTCAGCTCCCTGAAACAAAAGCATTGTTAAAGCATCGAGTTGATGATGATTCTACTCGTTCAAGAAGGTTCGAGAATGTCAGCTCATGGCCGGTTGCAGCCGATTCGTGAACTGGCGTGTTTCCCATAACATCAGGCGCATTTGGATCAGCCCCAGCCGAGAGGAGAATATCAGCAGCCTGTAGAAGAATTTCATATAGGAGGTTTGCTGAAAAATTCGATTTCTTGAAAACAATCCGCAAAACTCTTTGCGAATTATCCTCAAAAATGTCCACAGGTTTCTCTTCTTTTGAATTTTCTTTAATTTTCGACATCTGAGGCCTCGAAACTTTGATGTCTTACTCGAACCAAAACAATTTACATTATTTTCAAACATACCATATGCTGGCTGCAATTCGCTGCATAATGCAAAGCCGTTCGCTTATTACTATCAAACATTTTTACTTTTGCCCCTTTGTTCAACAAAAGATGCATAATCTGCCAATAATTATATATAACAATATTATATAGCTAATAAAATACATCAGTATTTCCACATGCAGTTGCCATCATCAACGCGGTTTGGCCTTTGTTATTTTGATCATCAACCTGAAACCAGATTCTCCATGTTTTCTTCGTCATAGTTATGTATACCTCAACACCGTAATCCAGAAGAACGACAGCATTGGACTTGTGCCCAAGATGAGCAGCATACATCAATGGTGTCCACCCAGACAGATTTTTGGATTTCAATGCGGGAGATTTGATATTAGCCATCTCTTTGAGAAATTCAACAGCGCCGATGCTTGCAGCGGTGAACACATCCATTGTGTATTCGTCATCTCGATGGATTCTTGGCATCGGTTTTGATAGAATTTCCGAAAGGAATGGAGTTGCGCTGGAGGAGGCTGGCAGATAAGTGATGCCAGGCTGCTCCTGGGAGAAGCGGACTCGAGTTGACATTGCTGAAATTGCAAAAAGAATTATTAAAAATGATTAATAGGGCAGTTCAAATAGAGTATTGTTGGACGCACATTCGACACATAGCCCATTTTTTGGGCAATCGGTCAATTGAATCCGACAATAGATATAAATGCTTGTTGAATCAAATGATATCAACATGGGGTTTGATCGCACAAAAACGAGTTTTTCGCGAGAAGCTAGGCCATCTCTTCATTTGGACTCGTCGAGAAAAAAAAATATCTGTTCAAAATCCACCAACCTCAATTTGAAATATCTAATTAGAAGCGACACATCGAAAAGAGGCGCAAGGTAATCGTTGAACAAGACGAATGTAAGAAGTGACATCAAAAACAGTACACGAGAGAAATGGAGAGAGAGAAGACACGTGAAAAATGAGAGGCCGCAGGGTGGAGACCTATTGATAGATTGGTTTTGAGATCAAATAAAATTGTGGAGAAAAAAATCACACGAGTGACACAAGCTTTCCATGGGACACGATACGATTGATTACCTTTAAAACTTGTGTTACTCAAAGTGAAAGTTCCATTGGACAGTCATAAAATATTTGGATTTCTAATGAAATTGTGATAGTTAGTGGGATACAAGCAACACATTCCATGTGCCCAAAATCGGATAGCGTATTGCGCTGAAAATATTGCTATTATTTGAATTGGTGTCAATGTATATGTAAAAAATATATGTAGCTGTTATTTTATTTTAAATTTTTACTAGTAAAATCGTGAAAACGTGCCCTTAAATTACTGTAATTGTTACTTTACTACGTTTTTTGTGCAAGTTTTTAGGGTACATCATTTCTCACAGTTTAAATTAATAATTGAATTACTATAAAGAAAAGTTCTCCAGTCTGAAAGTATCCAGGAATTTTAAAATGTATAAAATTGCTATTTTTAGAATTTTTCGCAATATTTGCTTCAGGTAACTATTCTAAATCTAGTTTCTCAATTTTTGGCTTCAATTTTTCAAATCTTTAAATATGATACTTTTTTTTAAAGAAATCATTAAAATCTTGATGTTTTCAAAGTTTTGAAGGTGTTATCATAATTTTCTAATTGCTTTCCAATGTATTGAATTTTTGAGCTTTATTAAAAAAGCATATGCTGTAATCAGGAATATTATGTAATTATACAGAACTTAAGTACACGTTACCAAAAGTTTCACTATAACAGACAAATTTCTATTCTTTATTGCTCAAAGTTGCCAACAGGCCATCAATTTTGTAGAAAATAAATGGCTGCGTCGAAAATCTGCTGTTAATTCTTTTCTTCTCTCCACATTTTGATTGACGTTCATTCTCGCTCTTTTTTCGGATGAAGCCGTTTCTGGACAACGCCCGTCATGCTCACAAATATTCGGATGTTTATCAACAACACAGGGTTAGCTGTTTATATTTTCTATGTTTTTTTTTCTGATGGGTCTCGAAGCGAAAAAGACAAAAACACTCACTACTACATTTCGGAAGAATAATCGTTTTCTCACAAGCGGTTTTTTAAATTGTTTTCCGTGGTGCATGCCCCCCCCCCAAAAAAACAACAAAATGTTTTTTTTGCTTCCCTAAAATGGAATGCAAAATATTCGGGCACAATCATTTCTGACGAACTCCTCAATAGTTTCATCATTTTTATTCATTTATGGCGACCTGCTTATAAATGCGCATTATTAAAGACCACGTCACAAATACTTCACATTTATGCTGATATTTGGGTATAAATTTGAAATTTCCACTTTTTTTTGTATTCGCAAAATTTTCTTCCAACAAATCTGTTTGCCTAAAAACTTATTTTTCCAGCCCCCTTCTCCACACAAAAAAATATATATATCCAGCAAATTCTTGTCAAGTGTGTGGTAAGTGAATTTGAAGCTTCCTTGTTCCCCCCGAATCTTTCCGCCCCATTTTTCTTCGAGTTCCTTGCCAATTTTTTTCCACTTCGACTTCTTCTGTTGTTGTTCCGATTCATCCAATTTAAGAGATTTTACTGAAAATTGAATCAAGAGCATGTTGCCTCAACAATCCATTCTTTTCTTTGGAGAACTGGTCCCCGGGCTTCAATGCTCGAAAATCAGAGCTCACAAGTTGCGATTACCCCCAGTTTCACGGTCTAATAAAATAGTGCTATGAGTCAACAGCTTTTCAAAATCTATATTATGTAAAGTTTGAATCCAAAATTTCTTTAAAAACTGCCATCTTTTACCATTTTAAGCTATTTTCCAGATCAGAAAATGAAAACTCTTGAAGATTATGCGCATAATATATACACATGCTTCCTTTGCTTTGCTAAAAGTCTTCGCCATTTTTTTCCAGCAAAATGTTTTGGCTTTTTAATCCCATCTCATGTTTTATGCCTAATTGGGCTCAACTTTCAATTGCGAGTTCAATTTTCATTCCGTCTTCAGAAGAAGGGAGGAAGGAAAAAAAAACGTCGCCCTTTCCCCTCTATTTTTTTTTCAATTTCCTGCACCACAAGTGTGTCCCATTAAGGAATTTCAATGGAAAAGGGGTCCAAAGAATAAATACGTCGGCAACTTTTCGTGCTCATTTCATTCCTAATTTTCAGTTTCGACAATGGCGGCGATGAAAAATGGCGACGAACATTTGGAGGTGCCCAATAAGGTAGGCTCGCAATTTTCAACACCAAACTAAATGTCTATTTGCGTGAAAGCTGATATTGGTCAAAACGCTTCATATTTCGATGAAGAAACTACACGAATATCACTTTTTCTTGTTTAATTTCTCACGGCTTCTTCTTCTTCTTCTTCTTTTTTTCATTCGTCCCATTCATGTTTAGTTGGTGACGAGTATTGGGCCATAACAATAACGAGGTTATTGCTCATGCTGCAACACCAATTTCTAAGAAGATTTTTTTGTTTTCCATGCTCCCCCAGCCAGTTTGCAACTTTATGCTCTGTCCCAAAAAAATAAGCAAACAAATAACAGAAATATTTGTCTCAAAGGCAGATTTTTTGTTTATTGGCGGAACCCACCCGACAACGGCGGCAAAAAATGTCGTCTAGTCCCAAAGAGAAATTATTTCCTTATTAAACGGAGCCTATAGATATTTATTGTAACTAGAAAGGGCATCGCTTTTATTTAATATATTTCCGTTTATGGAGAATGTGGTTTAGTGCATTTGCTCTAAACAAACAAACGCCCATTTTTTCCAGTTTCTCTGCTCATTTCCGCAATTTCTGTTTAATATTTGATATTTTTTATTTTCACAAAAATTGCTATGATATTTGGTGGGGTTCTGGAAAATTTCATACAAGATGATGATTAATTAATTATTAAATTAATATGAAGAATAATTCGGTGTCGCAAAAGAAATCGAGCACCTTGAGCAATTGTGGACAAGCGTGAATTTTGAGGGGCGGCAATTCAAATTTCGATTTCATCAGTAGGAACTTGGGAAAGAATTAACAAATTAAACTCACCGTAAAATTGCGCATGATACTAGAAATTTAGTATATTAGGTGGGGGCGGGAATACGCGCTCTATTGAAAAAATTTTATTAATTCGAATAATGAAGTTTTTTGACCTACTATCTTATTTCAGAAAGTTTTTAATAGTATATTAGTGCGCATTTCAAACGGTTCGCAACTCAAATTTTAAAATTTTAAAAAGACCTCAAAATGTTGAACAATTTTTGCTCTTCAAGCACTTTTCGCGTTCAAAACGAAAACCAAAAAAAAAACTATGTAGTATTTCGTCTTCTCCCAAGTGTATCAACATTCTCCAAAAAAAAGTATGTCATTTTTTTTCGTTCCACATATTTCATGATAGGACGTTTCGGGCGTGCAAATAACACCAAAAAATGTATGTATTATTACATTCGGGTGAAGAAGAAGAAGAGGAAACAAAAAATGGTAATCAAAAATTCCTTCTTCGACATTCCAAATTGTTGTCCATCGAACGATCAATCTTCAGCCGTATGTTTCAGCCTTTCAAAGCAAATAAATACCCGAAATTTCTAGATACTATGTATTATCTCGCAAATGCATTTCTTCCCAATGGATCTGTTTCGCTGAATGTTTGACGTGTCCCATTGTTTGCGCTTCCCGTAGCTCATCTTTAAATAGACCAGTAAAAATAGACTTTGGCTCACAAATTTATATCTAGAATGGTAAATTGATATGAAAGAAATAGTGGAACTCAAGGTTTTGTTTTCATCGTTTCCGTTTGCTTGCAATTTTCTTCCTTCATCATCATCATCATCACGAATTGAATCAATTCAGCAACTCCGAATCGAGCCAAAAGAAACGGCCCAACGGAATATATTTCGGCTCACGTCAATGTTTAGAACCGGGCCGCTCTCACTACGTCATAGCTCAATGTGGAATTGAGTAGGAAAGAGAGGGAGAGAGTGAAAACACAAATTCGTCCGCTTTTTTTGTCTCTCTCTCCCTCCCTCTCTCTCTCTTTCTTTTTTATCCTCAATTTTTTGTTGTGTCGTGTTTTCTCAAATCTCGCGATTTTTGACATGCATAATTGACGTGTCGGGCCAGGCAGACATTAAAAATTAATGACTCCTTTTATTTCGCGGGATTATGTAAATGCGAACTAAAACATAATGATGATGATGATGATGATGGCGGAATGCTCAAAGCATTCTTCAACCCGTTGAGGATGAGCTTAGAAGTTTAGCATATGTTCTCAATTTTTTTTTAACCATATGTTTGTTGTGGTGCTGGCAAGGGGTATTATTGGGCGAAGAACATATTTTATTTGAAAAACCAGATGGCGAGAAAGTCAAACGTTGAAAAAAAATGTCTTCTTTTCGAAATCTCAAAAAAATCCTTTTTTTTCTTGTGTCAGAAAGAACACAGCTTTTCCCTAAAATTACTCTGGAAGTTTCTTTTCATACGTTCGCTCACTTTTTTTGCTCATGCTTCTAAGAATATCATTTTCTTAATCCTATGATATCAGAATTGCAGAGCTTTTTTTCGTCTTAAAAAAACATGAGACTCATAAATAATCCAAATCTCAAATTCAAATACTTTGATTTAAAAAATTGTTCACCCAAATATCAAATTGGTGTTTTATATATAGAGATGAGACATCAAATTTTGAGGTTTGAGAAAACAACATATATGAAAAAACTGAATAGGGCATAAATTGGTATCTAGGTGAAGCAAAGAATTATTAATATTTTATTTGTCTAAAATTTGTCAAATTTCTTCAAAAACCAGAAATTATAAATATTTTGTTTTTTTTTATATTTTGAATGGGCGGTTCTTGCTCTTAAAACGTTTTCAAGTCTTTAGATGTGAGATAGGTGTGAGAAGCCTTCCTTCCTTATTTCCAACAACCACATTTCAAACACCAGATCATAGAAATACCTACATAGGGGAATTTTTAGAAAATCGAACTTTTCCCCAATTTTTCATTCTCTATTGATTTTTTTTGAGAAACGTGAGAGCCCACTTCCATACAATTTTTCAAATCTGAAAATTGTCAAATTCGGGCTGAACAACGTTCTTTTCTCAATTTTCCCATTAGAATGTTGTTTTCTTTTCACTCCTTTTCAATTCAAACGGAAGTGATCCGTCAAATCTCAAAGAAACATCTATGCTTCATCCAATTACTCGGAAACCTCAAATATCTTATTTCTCGATCTAGTCGTTTCGTTTCAACAAGTGTTTCACATACGCATTCTTCATTTCCACGAATGTGTCATCCCCATTTGTCTTCTTCCATCATATTTCCTTTTGAGATATTCATGACAGCTTAAAAAAAAACGAAAAAAAGGAAAACATCAAATTTATAAGTAATATTTTAAGCAAGAGCAAATTCAGCGCAAAACTAAACAAACATACCTGATAAACTCCAGCGAAACGTCAATAATCAATAATTTTTCAAAAAAATTTTTCGATATCACTTATTGACATCTGCCTTCTGGGTCAAGTTGCAACTGATTCTTCAATCTTTGTATTGCTAACAGCTGATTCGCATTTGTACCCATTTCATCCTGACACATGTTCCTCTCACTATTTCGTATGACGCTTTTTATATTTTTCATTTTCGCAATAGAGGGCAAACATTTGTTTGATAACATTGTTGCTTCATTCATTCATTGTTCTCGCTTTCTCTCTATCATTCAAATATATTAATTTTCATTTTATCAATGCGATTTTTTTGAAGAAAATTGGTTTTCTAGTTTCAAATTTTGTAAAGCGTCGGAAAAAAATGAAAAAAAAAGATTGAACCAAATGTTCCCAATATCGATTTTTCTTTTCAGATGGTTATAAAGTGCGCCTCTCATCGATCATCGGCGGCAAGCGCCTTGATGATGCCCGAATTCTCTAATGCCAATGTCAATTTGGAAGGTAAATTCGAGTATGTGGATTCAATTGAATCAATGATCGGTATGGGAGCGTTTGGAGCCGTTTTCAAAGGGGTTGACCTAAAGACGAAGAAATCGGTAAATAAAAATTAACATATACTTATTTTTCCATTGCATTTTTCTATTTTAAGGTGGCTGTTAAGAGAATGCTTCGCGTTAATGTGAAGGAAAATGAGCTCCAGCAGATTCGGTATATTGTTTAAAAAAGAGTTGGCCATTTATGGATTGTTATAGCGATTTTAAATGCGAATATTTGGTTGGAGTTTTGGACATTTGTGCGTTTGACGAAATCACATGTTGTTTGATCATGGAGCTTTGCGATTGCGATCTCGATCATCACATGCGAAATATTTCAATTGAGGGCGTCTTAAATCCTCATAATTTCAGGTGATATTGAAATGCCAAATATTCGTTGCTCAGGCTCAATATTTCAACATTGGCTCGTATTGAATAGTTTTTTCTAGTCTTGAATGTTTTATGAATAAGTGAGAATAAAAAAAAATTTGGTGACAATTGGAGACAATCAGACTCTGAAATTTTCAAGGTTTTTTGTTAGGCGAACTGATATTATTCAATCTATATTTTTGAAAAATGAATAATAATTGTTTTCAAATGATTTTAGTTTTGCCTCTTACAGAAGCCTATACCTACTTTCAGTAGCCACAATAAAGCAAAGCCTTGAAATTTAGGCAACAGATTTTTTTAATTCAATCACTCATTTTGAAGCCAAAAAAATTTATGTAATAACCCATAAAGGAAAATTTCTTATCCTCAAGTTATTTCAAATAAAGTTTTGCGCTTAATAGATTGAAATTAAGCTCGACTAAAAAATTCTACAATTCTCAATATTTAATTTATTTTTGATGTTGAAAGTTCATTTTTAATATCATGAGCAACCGATGTGCCGTCGATATTAAATATTTATTTTCAGACAGCTTCTCGACAATATTGCACGTGGCTATAAGGCGCTTTACGAAATGAAAATTGTTCATCGCGATATCAAACCGCAGAATATTCTCATTTCCTATATGGACGCTTCGAAGCAAATTGCGTGCGCCAGAATTACCGATTTTGGTGAGTGTCGAGAGTGAATGACGGCAGTCATAATTGAATTTTTGTTCAAAATGCCAATGTTTTGCTCCATTTTTCCAGGAATTGCACGCACACTTGGTGAAGAGGAGACCGAATTATGCAATGTTGCTGGAACATTCTTCTATATGGCGCCGGAAGTTGGCGCGAATTTACTGAAGACGTGCCAATATGATTCAAAGGTTGATATGTGGAGTATCGGATGCCTTTTGTTTCAATGCGTCACCGGGGAGGTAAATTTTTTGGCTTGCAAAACATTTTTTTTAATTTTTGAAACATTTTTCGCTGAAATTGAAAATTTTGGAGCAAAAATTGCACCAATTTCAGGTTCCATTTGACGAATGTAGTCTTTGTAAGCTGTTCCTCTACGTGGCCGGCGACAATTTTGAAGCCTATGATCCACCAGAGCTCCCGCCAGAGACTTCCGTCGAAGTATCCTCAATCATCAAAGATCTTCTGCAATTAGATTCAAATAAGCGCTGCACACCCGTTCAATTCCATGACAGAGCAGTCACCTGGACAAAGCAAATCTGTTAATTTCGAAATTGTTAGGCTCTTGAGACATTCCTTGTCATTTAGTCATATCTCTAATAATTTTAGTCATTTATTTTATTATATTATATAAGAAGCCTTCTTTAATTCTCGGGTTGCATCCATAATAAATATAATATAATTATAATTGAATTCCTCTGGAAATAAAATCTCAAAGAGATCTGAAATAATTAGAAGAAGATGTTGAAAAAGAATATATATATATATATATATATATATATATATATATATATATATATATATATATATATATATATATATATATTCTTATAAGAATATATATATATATATATATATATATATATATATATATATATATATATATTCTTTTTCAACATCTTCTTCTAATTATTTCAGATCTCTTTGAGAAGTCATGGTCAAAGTAATTTAGCCCGTAATTTGCTCATTGTGTTGTTCGAAGTTGGCGATCGCGCTCCTGACGCTCATTTTTGATTGATTGGAGATCATTCGTCATTAGCTGAATTGGCTCGAAGCTGCGATTGAATGTGTGCGAGAACGGCGGAATCGGGCTGCCGACAAGATTCCAAAGACCATTTCGACTCGCCGCTTCAATGCATGCCAAATATGGTGTGTTCTGCACCAGGTAGTAGAAGTCGTCGCTTGAACGAATGTCAGCGCCGACCAATTGTCTAGTGCATGTTTCAAGTGTCGCACCGTGACCAACAATGAGAATGTTTCCTGTAAGGTGGCAAGGATTCGATTTTAATTCAAAAGAAGCCCGAAGTTTCAATGGAAAATTGAAGCAAAAACGGAAGTGTGAATTCAATTTTTCGTTTGATGCTGGAAAACTTCGCCAACTAATTAATTTCGTTTTAACCAATGAGGGGCTTTAAAATGACAAATTCTTTAAGACTTCAATCATCTGAACACACTAATCTTCTAGTAAGTACCTTCTGGACACTCGGAAATGACCTTGTTGATCATGGCAAACGATCTGTTGTAGTAATCGCTCAGCGTCTCCGACAATTTAAGCTCCTTCTCAGTCATGCACGGAACATAATTATCCTTGATTGGATAGCCTCAAGAATAAGAATTGCCTTTTTATGGTCAATGCTCACCACTGTTACCCAATTTCTTTAAATCCCTCGCCGGAATCCAACTCGGACGAGAATGTCGCGTCCAAGTCATCCATTCATACAATGCCGGGTCAATGCTAATATTGATGCGTTTTTCAATTCCTGAAATTGTCCAATATAAATTGTTCTTCTAACATGCAATTCTACCCATTCCTTTAAGAAGCCCGATGGCCGTTTGAACGCATCGGAGTGCCGGCGAGCAGAAGACATGATCGATTTCCAAATTTTGATCACGGAATGCGCGACCTGTAATTCAATCCATCTCGATTTCATGCCATTTGTTTATAAAAATCGATTTCAACAAAGTCGTTGATTTATAAACATTGTTTTTGTGGACAAGAATAGTGCAGAAAAAAAATATGCGCGTTGCTCAAAAGTCATTTGCTTCTTCTGAGCAGTTGCCTCTCTTGCATAAAGTTCCATTAGTTTTGTCAATTCAACGTTGTAAAGTGTTTAGAGGCGATGAGCCAGTTTTTGAGGCATCCATCGAAACAAAATTCAAAAACACAATCACAAGTTTCATTACAACGCACCTGTTAATTTGGACTGCAGATAGCCGATCTCAGTAAGCGGCGTGTCTGACAAAAATGCCTGCCATCCGTCGGATCTCTTCGGAAGATTTCTCGGCAAATTAATGTCCTGCGGATTATATCTGCAATAATCGCCAATTAAAGAAATTTGCGAGTTGGAAAAGTAACAAACCTTCCGCGACTATCAAATGAATTGTTCCAAGTTCCCGTTTTGCTGAACGCGAAATCGCAACGTTCGCCATGTCTCACAACGAAAATTCGACGCTCAGGCATTCTTCTGAAACAGAAACAATTCATATTTGAAAACCGGCATACAATATTCAAACATATAAACTGTTGGAATGATGAGTAACGAATGGAAACGCGACAAATGTTTCGCAGTCGTTCATCGCGCAACGCGGCCAATGAATGGACGAGCGAGAGAGAAAGAGAAAAAGAGCGCCGGGCCGGGCCGGGCCGGCCCGGCGGCTGGGGCATTGTCGCAAAGAATAGTATACAGATCGAGTAGAGGTATTCATTTTGGAACTGGGGGACTTATTGCTATTATTACTATTATTATTGTTTTCATGTCTAGTGGAACCCAATCTCAACGCAACAAGGGTGGAATAGCACAATAGACGATGAAGTATCTCTTGAAGCTTATTCCAGATTGGCAGCTTTAAGACCACCACAATTTGTGAAATAATTTCTGGTGAAAACTTGCGAGTTTCGTACCAAAATTAAGCCTATTGATCACATAAAATCGCTTTCATTCAATATCAAAAGGTGATTTCACTTTGTTTTATACAATCCTTTTATGAGCGCATAAAAAATAAAATGATATTTCTATTTTATGGCCCCTCTCCTCAATTTTATTGGAAAAAAAAATTCATTATCGTCATAATCTTTTTATGAAATTGCAGTTTGAGAGCACCACCGAAAGTCAATAGCAAAAATTGTTTCTCGGTGACGACGATGATAACAAAATGGGAATGCTGATAATAAAAGATGATGGGGAGGGGGCTGTCGGCGCGGCGAAGAGATGGCTCGTCGCGTTTTGTTGTGTTGAAAAATTGCACCCCATTGGCGTAATTTTTCATTTTCCCATTCGTTCCGCTCAAAGTCTCGCACAAACACACACACACACACACACACAAAAAAAATGAGCCAATGAATTTTGCGGGGCGTTTCGACGACGATTATCCGTCAATAGCCAAACGTTCTACATTGTCGTCGGAAGGGAGGCAGGAAAAAAAAGAATTGCGATGCCGAGAACAACAATGAAACGCAAATTACCAAGGCGACCTTTCTGCTTCTTTTTTTTGTCTGGTGTCATGCGTCTCGCACGTTTTCGACGATGGGTGGCAATAATGAATATCACTGATGAAGTGCAAGGTCGTCGCACTTCATCAATTAATTAATGATCAACAAAACAGTTATTGATGTTTGGTTCAATTTCAACAATACCAGCTTTTTCAAATAATAACCGCGCGCAGTCCAAGAACAAAGGTTGGCGGAGGGGCAATGGAGGGTATGATGAACAAAACAGAATTTGGAAGAGAGGGTCGGGTTTGTTTGCCGAACGAATTCAAACCGCCCTCTGCTTTACCTCTTTGAAACTAGACAAACACCAACATTGTGGGTCCAAATATAAATCAATATTTATAATTTCATAATCACAAATATGAAACACCTAGTTCAAAAAATAAATATAACAAATAATAACCGACGAGAAATGTATTGGATGGATTAGAATTCGAAGCAACTCGTAATGATCACCGGTATATGCGAGAGAAAACAATCATATGATATGTAATGTTATCCCACCAATTTCGGCATTATGGTCACTTAAGAATGTTTGCAAACTAGAAGATATTACCCATGGATATAGTGGCGGAATGATTGGAAAAATAAATAAATAAAATCGCGCGGATTTGGATGGATGAATAAATTAAATGAACCACGAGTCTTCTGGCCATAATTCCCACGGAGCGCGACGCTGATGATTAAGCCAGAAGCTTGTCGATTTGGCAACCGGTATATCCATAATAATTGGATCGTCATAGTATTCGAGGTGCTCGCGGAAGTAGTGACTGAAATAATTTCATTTTATCTCACGCATTTTTTTCTATTGAGTTAAATAAAAATGCATGCAAATAATTGAACTATTTTCAAATTTTAATTAATTTAATGTATAGAAATCATAATAATTATCATGAGCAATATTATTTCATTTTGATTTTTGGTTTTGAACATTGTGAATCATGAGATTTTGATGAGATGATCTTGTGCATTTTCAATTTATTGGAAAAATAATAATAGCGATTTTTTATTTCCCACACGCCAATGGGATTATTTAATGCTTGATGTCTTATTTTTCTCCATTAAGATGTTTATCAAATTTGTTCGATTCAATCGACAATTCGGAATTGAACTTGCGTTGATAAGGTAATCAGTTTCAAGGTTCTTTCTTCCCTAAACCTCGTTTTCAAATCAAGTACATCAGTTCGATGGTCTTGAGAAGAATGTTGAACCAAACAACTAGGCGAATGTTGCAAACGAGAGAAACGAAATGCGAAAACCCTATCATAAATTTAAAACGGCTTTGGGTTGAGAGTTTTCTCGTTGCTTTTGGTTTCTTCTTCTCACAAACACTTCTACATTTTTTTTTCATTTTTTTAAATATATTTAAAATTTACCCCGTAATGGAGCTGATATAGACGCAAGGAATTCCGGCAGATTTCAACGATGAATCCGGCAGCATGTTGATGAAGTCTTGCGGTTTGCTCAACGCTGAAATTTTTATATATAGTTTGGAAAAAGGATATAATCTGCTTACATGTATCCGATATCATCATCAGCTTTCCGCCAGCTTCTTCAACATTTTCCGCTTTTTGACTAAACGAGCAATCCCTGAAATGTTTTCAATATTTTTTTCATTAAATTCAATATATATTATTTTATTTTCATTAGACATTTTCATAGATTTGAGATATTTTTAAAAGCCTTTTGCTTTTTCTATTCTAAACCTATTCTCTTCTAAATTTCTATATTCTATATTACATCTTTATCTTAAAGAAAGTTAAAGCTCGAACTTGTGAACTATCATGGAGGTTTCTTCGTAGGCAAACAAAATTGTCAACTCAAAATCTTTAAAAACTATTGTTTTTAAAGGTACACAAAGGTGTACCATATAGATTTGATATCAAAATATCTAATATTTGCTTTATAAAAATGCCGACATAAAATTATTCCGGTTGTTTTTAATGCTTTCGGTTTGCGCAATCGACTTTTCTTTGTTATAATTTGTTTCATTTATGGGGCAGATGTTCGTGTGAAGTTTTGAAATTTTAAACGCCTCACTTAAAAAAATGTCTTTCAAAACATTAATACTGCACAATTTCGTATAATGTTTGTTAAATCATTTCCCATTCCAAATTTTTCCACAAAAATTAGAAGTACAACCAGCGGAATTGTGATGTTTGAACACAATTTTCTGGCGGTAATCACTTTAAATCGAATTCGTAGATAATTTAATTGCAAAGATATGATTAATTTCTTGATATCTTGTGAATATTGCATTAGTTCTTCATAATTGAATCATATGGCGAAATGGTAGGTATTAATTGTACTAAATTAGCTATAATAACTTATATGTATATTGATGTTTATGACATATGCAAACCCAGATTATTATGTGTGAATGAAAATTCATCCAATTTCGAAAAAAAATTCCAAATTTTTACATTTTTGTAAGGCAATTTTCATCACTTTCAAAGAATGTTTTCAAGCTTTCTAGCAAAAATCTCACCCTCTCGCCACTAAATACGCCAATGGTCGATTTGCCACGTTGACAATTCGTCGGCAAGCATTGTAGGGCTCCGCTTTGACGAGCTCGAGGTTCTAAAACAATCAATTATGAAATATTTAAATTGCGCAAGAAATTAATCAACCCTAATTGTAGTATTTGGCGGCAAATTGAAAAGTGATCCCAGCATATAAGCATGCTTCATTTGATAAGTGTAAGCTAAATGATTCGGCTGCTTCACCGTGAATACCATCATTTCCGATTCATCTGCAATTATAGTATGATACAAATTATTGATGTGCGATTGTAAAAACTCACCAACTTCTTCATATTCTCTAGGAACTTTACCCATAATATACCCAATCCATATCGTATAAAGTAATAATGCTTCTCGCATTTTACTTTCTGAAAATAAATGAAATGATATAAGTTGGAAAAAAATTGAGCACAGCAAAGATGTCAATCAAATAAAAAATAACGAATTGGGTTAGAATTGATGACTGGCGGTCCGCATTGTCCGCCACGCGCAATCGCACCATTGAGAGACTGTGGAAAACTGAGAGACGCCGACGTCAAAGGGCGAATCGTTGCTAATTTGCTAAAACGCTCGTTATTTATTGCTCCGCGAAATTTGAGCCATTTTCTATGAACTCTTGTGAAAAATTCGAGAAACGTGCTGAGGGGTTTGCCCACGAAAAAAAAGCGAATCATTCGTTTTATGGGGCGAATTGCGTCGTGCAAAACAGTATAAATGCGGTTGGGAATATTATTGACCTAAAAAGGAACCAATTCGTATATAATGGGCAAAATCATATAACCTTGAGATTTGAAAATGATATGATAAAGCATATGAGGAAATTTAAACGGTTTGGAAACGATTAAATATTTACAATAATTTTTGCGCAAAATTGTTGCGGCCGTGTTTACACAAAATGCGCCATATTCTACGGGAAAAATATTATGAGAAAGGCTTGCGTAGGAAAAATTATGTGGAAAAAAACGTTCCTCTTCGCGCGATTTCGGCGAAAACGCGGAAAATCTCTATTTTGCATACGCGCAAGCATACATTTAAAAGAGAAAAAAACACAGCCTTTCACCACTTCAAAAAACGCTGTCAGATGCATGATGTTTCAAGCCTTCCCCTCCCCCCCCCATTCAAAGCAAAAGCTTATGACATCAAGCAATTATAACGACAATCGAGCGATTAGTAATCAGACAATGAGCTCTCCACGGTTTTCCTGAAATATGAGCCGCGCATTTCAACGCGATAATTCAAATTCACTACTTGTCTTCATCCATTACATCACGTATCGTGTTCATGATTTTGTTTCCGGTTTTGATTGCTTGTGCAATCACACTCAACTTTTTGCTCTGCTTTGATGAAGTCGTAAGGGTCGCGTAAAATGGGTATTTGTTCACATGCTGGAGTTGAGCCTTATTGCACAAACTGCGCTCTTTCTCATCAATCAATGCAATCGGCTTATCATGTCGGCAAAGTTTATAATCGGGAACCTCCATTACGTCCTTCCTAAAAAAAAATGATTGAGTATTCATTCTAGAATTTAATACTCTACGCTTCTTCCGGATTAACATGCTCCAACATTGGAATCGTTCCGATCACGACAGGAACGGTTAACTCAATCACATCGACGCCTCCCGTTTTAACCTTGACAGTATAGTTATACGAGACCGCCAATATTCTTTGTACACTGCTCGCCGAGCTGATGGAAGGCCTCGATCGTTGACTAGTCAAGGAGAGCCTCCCAATTTGCGATCTTCGACGAAGTGGAATGAATTTCTGATTTTCCGGCGGCTGACGAAATATTTGATTGGTCGGGGTGCTGCAAACAAGATAACGAGTTTTCGAGCATCTGAAGTGCAATGCCTTGGAGCTGTGCATGGAATATGCACTTTTTTGTCGATTTTATTCACACATCCACCTTCGATATACATCGCTAGCAAATCTTCTTGAATCACTTGATGATCGATAGTGGAACACTGAAAAGAGGGATGATGTCTTAAAAGTAATATGTATCCAACCTCAGCGTCATCGTCCAAATTCGCACCAAATTTGGTATTTCTGACCAACGACAGAGCCACTTTTTCGATTCTCCTGTCACTTTTGTTCTCAATTTTCCCTTTAAACATAAATAATTATTCGTCAAGACTTATTGCCGCATTCTCACCGATAAATGCAATTGCTTCTCCGCAGACAAATGCGCACCGCTCAATGGTTAATTGGAGTCGGATGTGGCCGCCGGTGCAAGCGAACCAGCCAAATTTTCGTTGCTCAAACTCATTTTTTGGCTCGAAAAAATGGCGGCAGACGAGGTTCAAGTCGAGCGGCTCGATTACTGTTATCCCGCGAACTGCTTTCACAATGCTTGGATTTCCATCTGGAATTATACATAGTAGGAAGAAATGAACTGCAACTGAGAAAACACTTCTTTGAGCTTCTTCCCCAACAAAATGATCTTTCGAAATCGACAATTTTCAGAATAATTTCAGAGAGCAGATTTAAAATCTATATAAAATCATACTTGATGTTTTATATTCCATTGTACACTGTATCAAATATTGATTATACCCTTTTGGAGAATATATTGATGTTGGTAGTTGATCTGGTAACACTTCCTAGCAAGTATTATTAAATAGTTTGGAAAAATACTCCTATGGTTTACCTCAATTGGAAACGAATATTCTTTGGTAGATATGATGAAATTATTATTAGCCACTTGCGAGAACTTTTTCATATAGGTCGCATTTTCCTGAAGAAGCTCGTCCTTCTAAAAATGATCAAATTATTGAACTGAATCGAGTTAAAATGAGAATTGTTCACCTTTCCCTTGCAATTCACTTTACCATAGCCATGAATTAAAATTCGCAACGAGCTTATTTCAATACTGCTTCCTTCAACAATCTTGATGATAAGTCTTCCTTTGACATGTTCATTCCACGTGTAGACCGCGTCACTTTTTGAGAGCTCAATTGTGAATTCTGTTAGATTATCCTCATCCGATGTCGAATCCGGCTTAAACCATCGAGGACGAATAATTGCAAAAAAAAAACAAATACGAATCACTTACAGTATTTATCATTATTGCAGATAGTGAAATGCAATCGAAAAGCACAACACACGTACGAAAAAATATAAACGAGCGGGACCGATTTTGGCGTGTTATGTACCTATGGTTTGTGACAAATATTTTCCGGTTATTATGTCTCGTTTGCGCTATTTGGCTCCTCTTTGAGCTCGCCTCGGCCGCTGATCACTTTGCATGAATATATATATATACAAGAGAATGGCATTAAACTTCCTGTACTATGCAAAAAAAGAAAAATGTTGCAGACAATCAATTACGCGGGTGGGAGTGGAGGTCCACCACGACTTTCTTCATTTCTTTCTCATTCTGTGTCAATCATGTTGAGAATGCGCGAAAAGAAATCAGCAAGCAATTATCGACGAATGACGTGAATGAAACGATTCTTCTATTTTTAGAGCGATCATGTTGAAGCATTTTACCTTAAATATAAAGAGTAAACAATGCAAAATAGTAACAAGGTATTTTTAAAAATTTGCATAAAAAACGATTATAAAAAAGGGTTCCCTGATTGGATTGAAGCTTCTCGTCAACTAATCAATAGCAGTATAATAATTGGCGTGATGAATCAACTAGTTCAATTGAACTTCATATGGATATAATTACAGATTTTTTGAATGCAATGGATAATAAAGTTGCAAATATTGCAATTTTGTAAGCACTACATAAAACCTTAATAAAATAAGAAACCTGCAATTTTTGTCTGTGATCTGTCAGATATTATGTTCAGCTTTCATTCCTCTTTTAATTCTTAAAAAAAATTTTATTGAATTTTCGATTACTTCCGATTTCTTTTGAAAAGTGAATATCGATATCGAGATGTAGGAAATTATAGATAGCACCGCTTTCAATCCTTAGTTGCTCTTAAATAAATTAGTGAACTCTCTTGTGTGAAACAAAAATTTCAACTCAAATTCACTATACTTTTAATTGGTGTGTGGATTTTTATTGCGAGTCAGTGAATTAGTGGATAAAATTGAATATCAAATTAATGTGGAACATTAGGAATGAAATATTAGAGAAAAGAGGGATGAGCACATTCAAATTGTGGACGTGGGACCAAAAATTGTAATTTTTTTACAATGGTTCTCAATTAATGATTATGGTATTCGTATAATTAAAGGGATAACAAATAGTACAAAGTGTATAAAACGCATCAAAATCCGAAAACATTGTAGCTTAAAAGAAACAACAAATCAACGAACGTAACAAATTCAAATGGAAAATCAAAAAAACTCAAGTTGTGAGCTTTTTTAAATGGTGAATCATTTTTTTTCCTTTTTTTCTTTTTTTTGCATGGTGACAAATAATAAACAGGAAAAATGAATATAAAATGTGGTACAAAAATGAACAAAAAAAAATTCGATTCAAACGAAAATGAGCATCGAAAAAAAAAAAACAACTGCGATTAAGTAAGTGGCTTCAAATAGTTGATAAAATGGCAATCGCCCAAGATTCTCGAATGCCTCTTCACATAATTGTGATAAACGAAAAGCGGATTATTTTTAGCTTCAGATGCTTCTATTGGTAGGAGATGTATAGCCAACGTCGGGGCATTACGAGATATAAAAATTCGAGATATGGTGGTAATGAAAGTGTTGAATATGTTAGGAAACAAGCGAATCATGTAGAAAATATGCTGCAAAGGATTGATGCAATTGAAGCATGTAATTATGATTACAATTAAAGGGCGATGAGAAAACGATATTAAGAAAAAGAAAAGTTGGGGAAAACAAATGAAATGTTCGAGTGGTCAAAACAGGGATTCTACTGCTCAACTGGCTTATTGGGGTGAGTGAAAATGATGTCCATGTCGACCATTTTGCCGGTGACGACAAACCAGACGTCATATCCGAAAACGCACAATGTGGCGGAATCGGTGCTGACATTGCTGAATATCTGCCAGCATTTTTTCGACTTGAAGAACTTGCGCACTCTCTCATCTTTTTCGATCAGACTTCAAATTATTAGTTTTTTTATTTGACGCATCATTCTAATCACTTACAATTCCCACATGTCGAGAACGAATTTCATATGGCACACGTTTTTGAGGCACTTGGTGATGTCAATGTTTCTGGCGCCAGCTTCGAGATACAAAAAGTCCTTTGGACCTTCACCATTCGCCCATCTCTGAAATTCCAGCATTTACATTTATAACGTCTAGAATTGTTGCCGTGACGAAGGCCTCGAGCATGTTCGTGGTGATGGAATGATTCATAATAGTCATCCATCTTGCAGTGAGCGCCATAAACGCATCAGCGCCAATACCCGGGGAAAGTGTCAAACAATGCGCATTGTTAATCTGCAATAAATCAATTCCGATATTGTTTCTTATTTGCAACCATATGCTAACCTCCGGATACTGACGGCTGAGGCGGTAATTGCTGATCAACTGAATTTCGAGATCCTCAATGTCCTTGTTTTCGAGTTTGTCGAAAATCTGGTCCATGTCAATCAGACTATTCGCCCAAATGCGAAGCTGCTTACACGAGACTGAAGGCATTTGTCTGATGAAATCCTGGGACTGAAAACCCAATGGGTTGAGAAATTAATTTAAAAAATATATTAAAATCTTACAACTCCCAAATCGACTCTTGTGATTTTTGAATTATTTACGACACGCTCGTAAAGCTTCAATGCAACACCCATGTAACATGTGTGATAGAGACGAGTATTCTGGCTGAAATTTGTCTTTTTTTTGATAGTTACTATAAATGAATGTTTTTTAAGCTTATAAACACCTACATGTCGTGATTGTCTGAGATCTTGACTCTAAAAAATATAAAAATTATAACACAGCCTAAATACGACTTGAATAACCTCATCACGTCTGTCGAGTCACCCGATTGCAAGAAGTGAAACTTCATCGATTGCTTCGGGCTGTTAAGTCCGAAATAAATCGTCACACCGGTCTGCAAGTATAAAGTGACCTTGGTTATTGTATTTCACCAAATCCCACCATCGGCACACCCCCGAACTCTCGCAGTTCAGCGTTCACAATCTGTAGAAGAGAAATGTCGTAGCCGATTTCTTTTTCAAAGTGGTAGAGTGCCTTCGACGCCATCGACAAGCTCAATCTTAATTCAAATATTTGATTTCTCCATTGGCATTTTTATTTCAAACCTTGTGTTCATATCGCAAAGCTTTACAATATCCCCAGCAATTTCGATTGGAACGTCGACGAACGACGGCTTCGACGGATCAGCTTTGCTATTTTTTCTCTCAGCCATTTTGTATGACTGAAATATATCTGAAAATTTAAGACGATTAAAAAAATAATTTTTATCATACTATTATCAGTACAAAAAGCCTAAAAGAAGCACGAAAATGGCGTTGAAAGTATTTAAAAAAAAATGCAAATTTTAGGCGTGAAACGGCGATAAATTATAAATGATGATGAAGACATTCAAATCGAGATGTTTTTGGCGCGAGCGAGATGCCGAGAGCAATGAGAGAACACGCGAACGCGCGAGCGCATGACATGCAGACGTTCGTTGCGAGCTGCGAATTTTGAATTTCCATATGGATTACAAGCATAGAAAGTTTCAAATGTGAAGCAGTGGGGCGAGCTTGTCGCATATTATTATGAGCGCGAGGTTAAAAAAATTTGAAAATTGCAGACCAATTGTTGAGTTTGTTGCCATTGCCACAGCACTTTTTTCGCAAACAAATTGGAATTTTAAAGCTTTCAAAAAAATTCAGCTTCGAAAATGCAAAAAATCAAATAGTCGAAATTGTTTTTTAGTTATAATAATTTTCATTCAAACTCGATGGGAGTGTGCAAAATTGATGGGATAATGTGCAGAAAGTTAAGAACGTGAAATGCCCAAATATTGGGAGGAAAGTTGGGGCGGGGTATTTCAATATTACGGAGGAATGGCAAACCTACTTGAATGAGAAGGCTATTTTAAACAATGTTGGTTGTTTTTGCTGGATAACGACAATATTTTTTGGATATACATTGTGAGTACAATTGCGGCAAGCGTTATGGAAAACAATGACTCAATTTGAGAAGACACTGACATAAGACGCGGGCGGGGAACAACTCACTAATTCAGAATAATGTTCTATGGTAGATAATTGTAAATAGTTAATGTTCTAATGGGATTACTCATTGCGTTAATGAAGTTACTCATTTCTTATAATTCAAAATTTTAAGAAAAATTATTGAAAAGAATAATGATTGTTCTGCGCGAATTTAATGGAAATGATAGGGGAGCTATATCAAAAGCCGTTTCTTTGTTGGGAAATGCTGAAATCGAAAAAAAATTATTAGTGTAAAATTTACTTTTATGGAGAGCATAGGATTTGTGGGATTCATCAATAGGCGATTTTTCGCTGAGCCCATAGGTATAGGCTTTGCTTTTCGCATTTGGGACACAAATTATTGTGAATACATTATTTTGTGTTGACGGTAAAACGTTGAGATTGCGATTGTGCAATGTTTCTGTTTTGACGAATATCCCCGTATATTAATTGAGCGCGTGATGGACACTTTTCGAATGGCGAAAAATGTTTATTGTAAACAATTATCGGTGCGAGGTGGAAATGTGAGAACAAAACAATTCTATTATCGAGGTGTAAATGAAATAGGGAGTTGGAATAAAGAAAAATGATTCGAATGGAAAAATTGCTGAAAATGTGAAAAAAGGAGACATAAATGCGAATCGTATGTTACAATATATTTTTTCTGAAATCGCATGTGAAAAAAATTCACCTGGTTTTTGAGAATCAGCTATTTTTCTTTTTTAAGTTAATATTTAAATAAATATATATAGAGTAAAGTAATTGAAGATTATTTCTGTAATTTTACCCTAAACTAAAAATGGAATGCCACACGTTTAAATAGGCGTGGCTTATTCTTTAAATTTCTCGAATTAACAGTTGGAAAACTGCCAATCATCTTAAGGTTTTTAAACATTTAAATTGACTAATTTCGATTTTTTAAATACTTTGAAAAAATTATTTTTTGAAGTAATAGTTAATAATTTTGTTAGAACGGGGAATCGAATCATCTGCTCCTCACATGTCACAAGTTTCTATTAATTTGCACCTTGCGAAAGAATTTCATCACACTCATTTACTGACAATCTTAAAAATGCTGAAAAAAATTTTTTTGAAAGGCAGCAACCAATAAAAAATATAAATTTAAACTGTAGATTGTTCATCCCATGCGATTCTCTATTGAGAAGTGGGCCAAACCTAATATGAATACTTAGACTACCTTATGATCTTATGCACAAATTAACCGATTTGATCCACGCGGATGATCCAAGTTGTCAAACTTTGTAAATTAATGTTTTCGATTTGTTGAACTAAAAATAATAACAGAAGTAATGTCCAGAAGCATCCGTTGAGCTGCAAAGCATTATTGTAATAATAATTTACATGATGCATTGCAGGCAAAGCTCTGAAGACGAATAAGCCTAAGCCAAAGCAGGGGCATTGAGAGATTTCAACTTTGATTTACGAAAATCGAAGAAAATATTCAAGAAGATGACAAATACCAAATTATTAGTTTATTATTAGCAAATTATAAGCTAATTGGGCAATTGTTAATTTTATAAAGAATATTGAAGGGTGTCCGTACCTTTCACCACAATTCGTTCAAATTCTGATACTATTGATGAATTTTCCTGTTTAATATAAACATATTTCGATATTTCAATTTATTATACGCCCCCAAACTTTTCTTACGGTATTCCATTGAAATGCTTTTTTTATAATAGAAATCGACAAAATAGTTAAAGTTCGACATATTCGAAATCAATGATTTCCCACAAATACCGTCATATTTATTATTTTGACAATTTGAAAAATTTTCTTAAAAACAAAAAACATATTATTCATTTTTTCGGAACAGATTGAAAAGGAAAGTGTGATATTACGATATATTAATATATAAGAATTAATTGGAAAAAAATAGTACTCGTTTTTTTTTAGGATGAAATATGTTTTTTTAAAATCATCTCTATTAATTCTATTAAAATATATTTAAAATAATAATGCATATGGATAATAATTTGCTAAAGCTTCGTTTGTCCTGATCATTTCTAATTAAAAATGCAGCAATTTAAACCTATGATTTCTAACCATACTCCATGTGGAATAGTGTGATAAATCATTAAATGTTGAGGAAAATCTATATTATTTAAAATTAGTGTCTTAAAATAGTAATTCTTTAAAAATCGTACACTTTCGTATATCCATTTTTTGATTTTTTTTTATTATTCAAACAATTCAAGCATGCTTTCAGCGCGAATTAGCTGGTAGTCACCAAGAATAATTCTACTATACAATTTGCCGTGTCTATATTTTACTAAACATTTCTATATCATCAAAAATAGAGAATCTTTCAAAGCGCCTTTTAAGCCCCCAGTCAGAGTATCATAGAGGAAAAGCCTAAACCTTAACTGAGTCTGTTTTGACACCTCAAACTTGGGTAATTAAACCTTTTATTTAATAAACGAGGCAAGAATAAAATATAAGTAAGTTATAAAATCAACAAAAATACAAATAGAAAAAGCAATAGTTCATAGCGAGCCACAATGTTAATAATGATTGATCATCGTTGTAACAATCACAAATATTGCATCAATGGGCGTGTCTGAACAGTGCTAACGAGCACACTCCCCGGGCCTACGCTTAAGTGACTAATACACTTGAGTTGCAAAACACAATTAAAATTTAGAAACAAGAAGATAACAGAATTGGCAATGTTCAAAATTAAAATCTAACATTGTATATGTAAGAACGATAAGTAACAACTATTATTCTTCAACCAATTTCGTAATGGCCTCCCGGCTTCAGAAAAAAAAACTTCATCAAAATTTGCGCCACTATTCACGATGTTTAAGTTAAAATTAGTAAAAGATAGATTTTTTTTTTTTTTTTACACAAAAGCATTATTATTGTTAAGCATACACATCAATTCACTCAAGAAAGTTAAAAAAAACTTACGCAGTGTGGTCTTTGCGCTGTGTGGGCTTGCATTTTCGACAAATTTTGAAAGGAGAATCGTCTTCGATTTTCAACACAAGTTCAGCATTGTTTATTTCTGTCGATTTCATAATTGCAGTCCCTTCATCGTCAGTCTCCAATTTCCACAAGTTCCGTTGCAGTGGTAATTTTCTGTGAATGTCATGGTATTCCTCCCATGAGTTCTTGCATTTGCAATTCATTTGTGTTTCAGCTGGTAAACATTTACAATTTTCTTCGAATTCACAGTTTAACAATTCTGCTTCTTTCAGTGATTTGCATCTTAGCTCTGGGAATTTCCCGTTCGTCCATAAACTTGTCGATTGGTTTCCTTTCATAAACCATTCGCTGTTGATCGATGATGTTGGAAGGCTCACTTCTTGTAGATGAATGGACATTTTTCCCAGTGTGTTGCCTGTTTCAAGTGTCACATTCCATTGTTTCTTGACATTTTTGAAGCTCCGCAACCGAGTTTCCGTGATTTTGAACACAATTTCATGCTTCCAATCGCATCTGTACAATTCCATGATTTCTTCGTTGATCGGTACTGCGTATATTCTGTATAGAATGCATCCTGAGCTGGTGTAAAAACAATCACACCCCCATCCACCACATGATTCACTGCAACCCGTCGTCCCTGGAAATCGATTGACTTCGTCCAGTTCTGTCACTTTCGAATTTTCTGTGATGTTGGCGCATTTGTTTTCCGTACACGATCCCATTCTAGGGCATCTTTTCACACTTAATACTTTTTGTTCTGTTTCTCTAGAAAACGCGATGGTATTTTTTATGCATTTCATTCACGATTCTATGAATTCGATCTTCAATTCTCTCAATGTTATTGCATTTTTTGTTACTCGCAAACATGCTTCACGTGTCCACGAGTTAAATGCAATGTTCTCCTTGATGTTCCATGCGCATTTTTCGTGATCTGCGCTCTTTGTACATAGCAAATTCCGTGATTCTGTAACATCGACTTCTTGGCATCCATTCGTTATCCCAAAGTGAACTAATACTAATGCTATAGAAACTGAATCCCAGTTGATTCGTCGTCTTCGTCTTTTTTCTATAAATTTTTCTGCAAACCATCTGAATAATGGTAATACCGTCCATTTCCCAAGCTTCACTGTTATTTGCAATATTGAAAAGCATAGTTTGATCAGGATTCTTGTTACAACCGACACAATCCATATCAAATTTGTCATCATAGTGCACATACATCCGATAGTTACAAGAAAAAGAAATAGTATTG